TAATGTGTAGTTAGTTGATTGAGAAAAAAAAGAAGGGGAATTGCAAATTGCTAAATAAGATATGCGGTAGGGACGCTACGCAGTCTTTAGTAATTAAAAACGAAAGGGAAGTAATCGTGCTTGTGTAACTGAAATACCATCATCTAGATAAAGGGGATGCGTACAAGCTGAGTGTGAAATCACGAGGATAGAGGTGTGTTTCGTTTTCGAATAATAACAATAGTTTCTACATTATCGGTTTCCACATCTCAGTGGAGGAGGGATCCTTGTCATTTCTTATTCATGCGTAGCATGCATGCACCCCAAACAGAGGATTTTCTACCAGTTCTATTCAACAAACCAACCAGAATAAAAACAATTTTAACATATATAGACTACATAAAGCACAATTACAGCGGACCTGTTTCGGACACGAAGACCCAAATTCAAATCCCAGTCAAGTTCTTCCCTAATTTTCGTTCCACTACAAAGTAGATTCAAGTCTCCGTCAGGGTCGGAGGGATGTAGACACCGATCAGAGACCGACCTACGACCAAATGCAAATGACGACGACGATGTTTGGGTAGCTGAGACCTCAGAGACAAAAACATGCCATCCAAGGGGGAAGCACTGAATGTGCGGAGAAGTTAAGAAGAGTTAAGAGATACACGTGTGCGAAGAGACATAAAGCACAATTACAGTATATTTTTCACAAATCGTTTAAACATTCATATATAATTATACGAATCTTCGCATATGACGGAAAGGCGATTTGATCAATTAGGGCAGGCCTATCGAACTGGCGGCTCGCGAGCCAACCGTGGCTCGTTATTCCTCTTTCTGAGCCGTAGGGAAAGAACCTTCTCCATACTTATTTTATTCTGTTCTTGTTTCTTTCTTCTCCAGACGTTACATGAATCCCACCGTCATCCGTTTTTTTTGTAACCAAACTTAAAAATATCCTCCATATCCTCTTTTCTAAAGAAAACGTGATAAAATAATAATGTTTAGTTATTGAGATCTGAATTGGATACATACATATATATGGAAAGTATTTTTACATAAATTGACAAAGTCAAACCAAATATGTGTAGTAGTGGGAGATTCGGTTAAGAGTAGGTCTCATGTAAGGCCTAGAAGAGGAAGAAAAGAGGGGGAATTCGGCTCATCAAAGGCCAAACTCATGTGGCTCGCAGAGGGGAAGTTCGACAGGCCTGAATTAAGGGAAGATTATTTCGTAAAAACAATATATTTTTAAGGACAGGAAAACATTAGGAGATTGAAGGGCTTTGCGAAAATGGCTTTATCTGGCAGACTGCCATGCCAGTTTGGCTTAAAAATTGCGAGGCCTATCTCTCTTTGCTGCGAGAGGTTCTTTCCTAATTATTTTTTAACTTTTTCTTTTTCTTTATTCCATATTTTATTTGCATTTCACGCCACGATCGATGCATAATTTCGGAATGTTGACAATATTCTAATTTACCTTCAAGGTGCAATAAATAAATGATATCTTTTTTTACACTGAGATATATGTACATGGTTGACTGACTGTTGGTTTTATCGCGAGCAGATGAAGGAGGGTGCAATTATAACACCTGCTGATAGTCACAAGCAGTAAGACAACCATCTTGCATAGTTCTGTATCTTTTTACTTTTTTTTTTTTCTTTTTTGTCGACGTATACCACTGAAAACTTAAAAAAATAGAAACAAACTTTTGTAACTAGAAACAGTAAGTCATTGCACCGTCAGTTACCATTCACTGCATTTTTTCCATGTCAACTGATGGGCCGATGCGACATTTGTAATGTAGTGGACAGAGCAACATTCTCTCATCTATTGATCACATTTTTATCATCGTATTTATATAATGTAATGTACAATATGCAGCTACATTATGATAATCAGTATGTCCAACGCATTCAAACTGACAACACCGTGGGTACTTCACTTTTTTGTTCTTAAAATTTTTTTTTCAAAGATATTCAAATTATTAATTAATCAAAGTGTATTGTATGTTTCAGAGTTAGGTACTTTAATACAATTATGTACTTCCAAGTTCTCCACTTTTCTTGTGGTATCTCTGTGTAAAAAGTGTAACTATAATGCTAATATAATAATAATTATAATAATAAGTTGCACAAGGCAATAGTCTTGTGTGGCCATTCGAATGTGTGCTTCCGGCCGATTTCCCCACTCCCTTCCCCCCCAAAAAACTTCCTGGCACAATGACAACTTTCGACTATCTCCACCCTCCACTTCGAGATCAAAATGATCTCGCGGTTTGCACTCAGTGTTACCTCTGTTTATATTATTATTCATTCGTGGGGGGACAGGTGTGCAACTGATTTTATGATGTTAATATAGCAACTGAATGTTGACAGAGTAACGTTCCAATTAGCGATTGGCATTTTTGAGCTGATTAGAGAGCCAATCGAGGCCCTCGTAAAGTCCGTCTCCACTTGTGGCACACGTTGCTTGGATGTACCAATTGCGATTACGAAGAGAGTGCAGCCCCAGTTTGTCGGTAATTTCTGCCGCGTTCATTGCATTTGGGAGATCCTAGAGTATTAATTATTTAATAAGTACGGTCTTAAATATGTGTTTATTTAATTTATCCTTATTTTCAATTTCATTTACGCATTGAATATGTAATATTTGTATAACGAATAATATTTATATAACGAATACTGTCAAAATAACTTTTACTTTCACATAACTCACACAATGTACTCACTTGTTTGTTAGCAAATATAAGAAGTACTGCATCTCTGAGTTCATCTTCTGCCAACATTCTCATTAATTCTTCACGCGCTTCACCGATACGTTCCCTATCATTACTGTCAACGACGAATATTAGTCCCTGAAAATAAATTTGATCTATGAAAATAACTTTATCGGAGTCAACATACGTATTGATGTTAAAATATAAAACAAACCATTCCATTTGTATAGATAATAATCGTATAGATAATAATCGTAGCTTATACAAAGAAATAAAATTGATATCAAGAAAAATAATTTAGTCAATGAATCACATACTTGTGTATTTTGAAAGTAATGTCGCCAGAGAGGTCTGATTTTGTCCTGACCACCTACGTCCCATACAGTAAAACTTATATTCTTGTATTCAACTGTTTCTACATTGAAACCTAAAATTTACAATAATCAGTTAGTAAACATCTCAATGCACAACATCTTAACATATTTATGATATTTACGTAGAAAGAAGTGTTTATATTTACCTATAGTGGGAATTGTGGTAACAATTTCCCCTAATTTTAATTTGTATAATATCGTGGTTTTACCTGCTGCATCAAGGCCTACCATTAAAATCCTCATTTCTTTTTTGCCAAAAAGGCCTTTGAATAATGTTGCAAACATATTCCCCATGATTGACGTTGATTATGTAAATATCTAAAATAATAAAACAATAAATTTATTTCATCATGAATATAATACACATTGAATGCACAATTAAACCAAACAAAATAAAGTTCATGATAAAAAACTAGACTGAAATTAAACTAAAATTTTATATAACACATGTTACACAGTATCGAATTGTATTAATGATTCAATTATATATATCATAGTATTTTGTTCTTTTACAAAGTAAAATCAATTTGTTGTACATAATGTTAATACATTCATGCATAAGAAATATATCTATACGTTCAAAGACGTCCATAAACAAACAACAGATAATTAACGAAAAAAAAAACTTATGAACATGGATAAGAGAATCTTTTACAAAAAAAGGATAAAAAATTACGAACATTATAAAAACACGGTTATCACAAATTTGATATTCAAAATCGTAAGAGATGTAATGCCCGACATAAAAACAAGAACATACATCAAAGAGTGCAATAATATATATATATGTGTGTGTGTGTGTGTGTGTGTGTGTGTGTGTGCGCGCGTGTGTGTGTGTGTGCGTGTGTATCAGATTCGAAATCGTTTCAGAACGAATAACTTTCACAAAAAACCGAAATCGATCGGGAAATAACGAGAGGGCTTGTAACGCGTATACACGAGCGGACAAACGACAAAGGTTTCATGAACGACGGAGAAAACACGAAATCACGCACTGAGATACGGAAGCGACTGAGGGACGGAAAACACGAAGCGGTTGTCTGATACAAAAGGGCCAGAAAGCTAACCTGCACATTTACAAGCGAACACACCGACGACGATAAACGAACACCTCGAACGACGTGAAACGGTGGCTTGAATTAAACCGAACCGAGGAGAAAGACGGAGAGGAAAAAAAAAACGAGAAAAAGAAACTCTATGTAGGGACAACACGCACAAGATGCTCACGCTGCCCGCTTATTGATTCTCATTTTAATACATCGCTACGATTATGGGAGCTGGCGTACCGTTAAGGATCACTCTCGGAGCGTCGGTGAATCTTATTCACGATCTTTCTTCCTTTTTTTTTAAAATCGTGATCTGCTACCTAGAACGCCAATATCGAGGTATTGCGACAAAGGCGAAGGATATTGTGCGGTTTGTGAAGCCACTGCGTATCACCCGGTTGTCTGTCACCTTCGACCTACTCCCCAACGCAAATCGTCAAAGGTCCCTCGCTCAATGTTCCATTATTTGGAAACGTCGTCTGATTATCGAGATTTGCCCGTGATGCCGCGTCCCCGGTACAAGCCACTTGCGTTACTTACGTTTCGGTAAAAAAGATTACTTTCACGAGAAACGATAAAACATAAAACCAACACTCTCGAAAAGTACCGTATGTCAAAATGGCGGACGAAGAAAGGATTCATGCCTTATGCCACGTATAGGGCCCGCAAAGTTCGCCGATTGGCTAAACCGGTCACGTGACCGGGGAAAATCTTTGATGATTGGCGCTCAGCTCGCCAGGTGGCGTTACCACGCAGGAACTCCGGCGAAGTCATCAAAAATTCCGAGTTATGTACGTACATATATACAATATATACATGTATATATGTGTGTGTATATATATATACATATATATATATATATATATATACAAGTGAATGGACACGTTTTTAATATCATCGACAGAAAGGCCCACGCTCATGAGAGCGAAAAATCCCTTTTTATTGCTCTTAATTATCAATTCCAGTAATGTAATTATTAAAGACTGAAGTATCTTATCGATGAACCAAGATCATCCTAATACGAAGTTATACGTTCGTAGTGTTTGTACGTTCTTTTTCTTTTTCTTTTTTTTTTTCTTGTGAATGAATTTAATTTGCATCGTGCTAATCGAATCTGCCAAGTAAATATAAAAAAAAAAGTAAATGTTCAGTCGAAATAATGAAAATGGTCGTTTCCAGAGAAGAATAGAAATCTTCGAGTGTTTTTTTTTTTTAGTATGTTTTCAGTTTCAAATGTCTCGATTTTCCTGTTGTATTACGCTTTATGTAACGTCCTGGAATTGTATTGTTGGTATGAACATTTATATTCTATTTTCCGCATTTATTGCTGTTCGATAGAGCACCATTCTTGTTAATAATGCTATATCGCATTTTAGTTCGTTTCTGTGAATTTTCTTTTATTTTGCCGTAATGAATCATAATTTTCAAGTAGATCTGTTGTTATTTATCCTTTTATACACCTGGAGTATGATATTTTTCATCTAATGTTCCTTCCCCATAAAGTTGACATTCTTCTGTACTGTATGGGACACCTGTTAATATTTCTAATGTTTCAACTAATTGCCCCAGTTTTCTACAAATACAGTAATTATTATATATATAACGATTAGCATAGTGGACGATAAAACATTTGCAATCAATTATATTACCTTGGTTGGAAAGATACTGTGACTGTGAAATACCAGCCTTCATGGTTATAATGACTTGGCAGTATGCCATGTTCTTTATCAATCATAAATTCTTCAACGTTGGTCTTTTTATTTATTCTACAGTTTAACCTGCATACTGATAGAGATCGATCAATAGGACTTAATCCTACTAAAATATATATACTAATTACTAAAAAAAGTAACAATTGCGATTATACTTGATAAGTTTTTGAGTGTTAATGTTAGTTTCTTCGTATCACCTATATATACAACACCAAAATCCAATGTGTATGATGATAATTTTAATATTGGCAAGTGTATTTCCAAAATTAACTCCACATTCTGAAATTATATAAATGTAAGGATTAATTATATTCAAGCAACAAAGAATAGAGAAACTATTTACTTGATAATGTTTATCAGAGTGTACAATATATAATAACTCTTTCACTACGATCTTTGCATCATTGAAGTCTCGACTTGAACTTGTATTCATTATAGTTTGAATTAATTTCTCTTCTACAATACATGCTATTTCAACCTGCAAAAGAAATATTATCTAAAATTTATATTCTTGATACACAAAAACATAAATTACCTCAGCACATCCATTCGGACTTATGCATATAATTCCAAAGTTATGCAGTGCTGTTTCTGTATAAACTGATTTAGATTTGATATGAAATGGTTTGTACGTTTCCAATGTTATCTCTATTGATTTGTTGTTAGTGTTATATAGGAATAACGTTTTGGTTAGCCTGAAAAGAATAAATCAAATAAAAAATGATGTTATATCTTTTAAATTAAAAGGATTTGTATTTTGCAACTTTACATACTTTAATCTTTTCCTTTGAGTTTGCATTACTTTACTAGCACAACATACAAATGTTTTATCAAATTTAGAAATATGAAAATCTAAATGAGGTTTTGTAATATTTGCAGTAACATCAATTTCTATAGGGGAAAAATAGTTACCACTCTGCCTCGCATAATAATTATCTTTGTACCTATCATTATTATAAAGGTTCTTATAATTCATTATATATATAGTTTAAATTAATTTATATCTTTATAATTATAAGACAGGGATATATTTCCGAATGGTACTGATCGGATTGAAATTTGGAGCAGTGAAAAGGGAGAAAGGAGTAGATTCTAAGTAATTTAATAATTTATTAGTTTCCATAATATAAATAAAGTACTTTCGGTATAATACATTGAATTCTGTCTGTATAGACATGAATTATCAGCCACCTTTTGCTTATTAAGTAATTGTTGTCGTCAACTATTGAATAGTAAATGACATAATAGCAATATCAGTTAGTATCGAAGTTAAAATTTTATTTATATTTAGGATTCACTCTCCTTTCTTTCCCTCCTCTACAAGTTTCGATTCGATCAGCTATCAGTGCTACTTGGAAGTACAATTTAACTTAATTATACAAACATATCACTTGGAGCAATTCGTATAAATCCAAGAATTTTACAAACAAATTCTCCTTCAATACTTTTATTCATCATAGTCTTGTACTTTTCAAGTTGTATATCAATAATTAGAGAGGCATTGCCTTTAGGTGGGATGAACATTTCTCTAGGAATAACCTTGAAAAAAATATATTGGTGCCTTTTTTTATTATTCATTTAAAATATTTTCCTTAGTAGTTTAGTGGAGTCTATTTCTTTACTGTGCATATTCGTGAATCGATTAAACCATAGTATGGAAGTATTGAAATTTGTAATTCGATATATTTTTTTTCTTCTATATTACTTGTATGTGGATATATTTTATTTTCTGTATATTTATGATCATTTTTCGAACATTTATTGAAGTTTCTGGTGGTATACTGATTTAAAGTTTCACTATTATGTATCCAGGATGTGGTTATATGTGAAGAGTCCCTAAAACAGTTTGGAAAATGTAATTGTGTGCCTTCAATAACTATAATACTATAAATATTTTTAATAATAATTTTATAATTTAAACCATTTACATGTAACTAGATGTAATGTTACTAATGGCACTAGAATCAAATTCAATAGAATCACATGCATGTGTGCTTCTTGAAGATAAAAAATGTTCTTCTAAATGTATTTCACTATCAGCCTTTTGTTGATTAGTTCTCAATTTCGATGCCAGTTCATCAGTAAATGGAGTATGAAAGTTAAATGCTACGTTAAAAGGCATTGATTCTAAAACTGGTTTTACTATAAATGTATGCCAGTCAATGATTATAGGCACTACACTTGTATTTGTCAACAATATTTTTCTCTCCTGCAGATGAATACCTGTAGATACCATTCCATACCTACAAATACAATTTTGTAGACTGCTAAATTGGAATTTTTTAAAACATTTTAAATATACCTGATAACAGGTACATTAAATTCATTCCTGTCAGAAATTGATAATGAAATTGGTGATCCAACAACTTGCACACATATCCCTATAGTATACTGTGGTAGACTAGTAATGTTTATTTCTAATTCATCCACATAGATACCCCATGTATCAGCAAAAATATAAATATCTACAGGTATAGCTTCAAAAGGGCCAATATTTAAATTCAAAGGATCAACATAAATTACTATGCCTGATCCAGGTTGTTTTACTCTATGCAGTATATCTTCTATAAATAGAAGAGGTACTTCAAAGATAACAATATCTGTATATAAAATCTAATGGTTCTATGAGTAAATAGTATCCCACCTATCAATCCCTTCTGTCGACTGAAAATTCGTTTATAAATGAACTTGATCTGATCTTCTTGCGACTTCCATTCGCACGAACACGTAATAGGATAAAAGTTCTTTATGCGAAGCCAAAAATCAGTTGGAATCGAAGTCTCGTTTTTTATAATAAAAGTTTTCTTTTGTACTAAAGGTCGTAATTATTTAACTACACAAATATCCATCATTCGAAGAAATATGTCTTCTATTGATCGAGATACCTGTTCTTACGGGTAAATTTGAAAATTCTATTACAACAGGTTGCGTAACCGGTGGTAGGAATTTTTCATAAAATGGTACGATACTTCCAGAGGAAACCATATCTTGTAAACAGTTGTTACTTCCCATGACGTTACTCATCTATAATCATTCCTTCAGATGTATAGTTTATACAATTACGATAGTAATATTTGTTGTTTGATAAAAATGAAGTCACGAATTGAAAGAAAAAATTGATAAAAATTTGTTTTACTTGATTTATCTCCGAAGTACAAGTATTTGGGAAGGATTGCTCGCCAGATTCTTTAATCACCATTTTTTGTATCGATGGACCTGCTGAAGCATCTTTAAGAACATCCCCTTGATCCAAGTTCGTGTTCATTAATTCCCGTTCCTCTCGTTTTTTGTACTTGTTCAATAATTTCTGCAGTTGTATATTAAGATTGAATGTCGTTCATTTGAACAACGTGCATCTAAAGTAATAGTATAACATTGCCAGGAAATAATTTACCCTTGTTCTTTAGTAAATGAGACGTTATAACAATGTGTCGATTGTTTTTTTAGTTGGTTGAAAATTTGGAAAAAATTCTTAATTAAAACTTGAATGTTTAGTTTCAAAAATTTGAAATTTCAGATTAAAAAACTGGTAAGATTTAAAAGTAAAAAAAATAAGAGAAGAATGAGATTTTACACTTGTTTGCAATCTCCATTGTTAACTAAATGTACCATGTATTTCTTAGATCTTCCCGCCATATCCAAAGCGAATTTGAGACTGTCTACTCGCCACTTGACTTTAACGAAATTATTCTTGAACTTTAATGGTGTATCGTCATTTAGTGGAAAATAAAATGTTACATAAAGTGGTTCAATGGAACATTCGATGCCCAGCATCAACATTCTTCGCGAATTTCCCATAAAGCATGGTATAAATAACGATTGCACGATCCCCTAGAGATTGACAAATAAATAGTATTATACAAAATGGAATATTTCTTTTCTAAAATTCGATATTTGAAAAATTGGGCCAATATTTAACCTCTGTTATAGGCGTGATAGTTATCTCAATTTTCTGACTGTTTCCAGCCATTACTTCTCCTTTCATTGGGCATACGCAAAGTTTCATCTTCGAAGAATCCAAACCATTAGTTTCACCCCACGAATAATTCACAAGGTCATTAGCGAGATTCTTTAATATCAAAATGTATGTTTCTTCGACGCCGATGTACAGGGTCCTGTCACACGTAAGAATCTCAATAAAAATAACGAAATTTTTTAAACAGCAAGAGTCATTTTAAAATTACAAACCTCGTGGGTCTAATGACGCCCATGCTTATTACTTGCTCTTGCCATAACAGGTCGAATTGCTTTAAGTTCACCAGATCGTGATGATAAAATAATTCATCTGCTACCTATAATATACAGATTAATTTCGTAAAAGGATCAAGAAAAAGGATAACAACAAAAATGAAAGTTTATAAAGTTTGCCCTTACTAACTGACACGTCGATCTCTGTTCTTCTTTAACTTCCAGTGCCTCTGCTACTTCTTCTTCCTCTTCATCTTCATCCTCACTTAGTTGAGGATATCGGAAGGGGGGCGGTATTTCCAAGATACGTTCCAATATTTCTTCCGTTGTTCGATCACTGATTTCGATTGAAATATAATTTTTAATAAATTATAAGTAATTTTTATAGGAAAATGGTGGTTCATTCTGATGAGAGAAATAAACATAAACAAGTATCTTGCAACATACAGTGCAATCGCACAAGTGATTGAAATCTCTAAAATGTAAATTAAAACCAACGCACGTTCTACTTTCCTCCTCCATCATATACTGCAACCAAACTTCCACATCGACGATCCAAATGTCTACAGACTGACGGCGAAGTATTCTATTAAAAAGAGATTCTAACTTCTGTCGGATAAATTAATCGATAAATTAAGGAAGAGAATAAAACGATTTTACAGCAGAGCATTTTCGTCGTTTCCTGGTGCACTCTCTCATTTCTAGACCAGAATTTTTTGGGATCGCGTCAACCGGTATGTCTTCTACGTATAGTCTATCATAATTCGATCAATGTTGAACATATTAATTTCACAGTATACGTTTAACAACTCCAAATTAAACATTACTGTTTTCGACAATATTTTACTTTTTTTTTTTTTCTTTTTTTACTTAAACTCACTGCAGAACAGCAAAATAGTAATTCGGTTTTAGATCTTTGTATTCTGCGGTCACGGTGAAATAGTGGATTGAAGTTGGAGCGAAAATTCCTTCATCCGGTGTGATGTGAAGCAGCTTTAAGGGGAAGTAATCCTCTTTCTGTATTCTGTTCACGTTGGCTTGCACGTTTCGTTTCATCCAGGAAAAATGCATGCTTATCTCACTATTTCAAAATTATCGTGATGTGTTTGTGCAATTAACAGCATGTCGAAATAAAATCGTTTCATCGTTGAATTTATGATAACAGAAGTGGTACCTAGTGTTGTTCACAGCAATGATACATTGCCCGATACCGTCAGGAGCATTGGTATTCAGCTTTACGTAATAATCCGCTCTTTCATCTATATGTTTCGCAAACGGTCTCAATTTTTTCAGATGCTAGAATTTTATTTATTTTAATTGTCATTCTTCGTATTTAAAATAATTACTGTATAAATATATGTGTATATACATATTTTTTTAATTGAATTTACAGTATAGATACTTTACTAAGCTGGACAAAATTTGGTTCGTATATTAATCCATCGCCGATTATCTCTGTTTCCAGTAGAGTACAATTGTCGCATAATATGTACAATTTTTCCACCTGATGAAGCAAAAAATAAAACGTCAGGAGCGGATAAGCGGGGAAAGGAAATTAATTAATTTCGAATTCGTTTACGTGAATTCCGTAGGACTCGGGCGAGAAGTACATATGAAAATCCATTTCTTCGTTTGTGTCCAGTTCAAAGTACGCGGGACACATGGTAAAACAGGATAATTTTAAAATATTTTTTTCTGTGACATCCTGTTAAAAAAAATAGAAGAATACTAAATAACATTTTTTTTTTTTTTTTTGTTTTTTAGGTAAAAATATGTCAAAAAAACTCATTTTCAAAGAATTATTCTAGATAGAAAGAAAAACTTTTACCGTGATGTTCATAGAAAACCAATCAGTCTCGCTCATCATGAAAAACAGACCCTTACCGCCGGTATTCTTGAATTTTATTGGCACATAAGCTTCTTCTCCTATAAAAACTTTCTTGCAGTCGAAAGTCATGCTTACGAAATTATTATCCTGCTTCATCCAGCTAGATAAGCTTTCAGAGCTACTTGATGTAGTAGACTAAAAGATTAATGTCACCGTGGCGTATAAAAATATTATTTGTTTACTATTATTCGAACCAGATGCTTCTTGTTGTTCAAGGCCAATTCTTCTTACCACATCATTCGATTATCTTCATCTTTACATTATTTTATTTCCTTTCTTTTTTATTCGTGCTTCAGAAATATCAAAACAAGTAACTTTAACTAATTAGTATACTATGAATAAGTATATAAATATAAAAAAAAAATGTAAGAAAAGCGAGATCATTCACATCCACTTTCGGAGCTGCTTATGAGGGACTTACACTAAGCTACTAATTGAATATCCGAGTAATTTCCCTAAGTGATTCAAAGAAACAAAATTATTTTCAACAAGATCAAGAAAAGAACCTTGACCCACAAGAAGTCAAATGCCAATCACGACAGACTATTCTTATCGTTGACAATAATCAGAATATCGCACTTTCAAATTATCAAATGACGTTGCTATCTCTGGATGCCAAGCCTGGTTCAATAATTCGTCGTGTCTGTTCAAATATCTGAATGATGGTTCTTCGATCAGGCAAGTCCCTATGCAAAGAGAATATTTATCTTATTTCTTTATCATTCTTTTATATTTAGTCAGATCAAATTTCATATTCAATCAGGGTTTGCAACAATAAGTCCAACGTTTAAATTGAATTCATTGGAAGAGAAAGACAGGTGTATATTAAACTCATATTCAAAAGTGCAATTAACAAAAATATTTCATTAGTTGATAATTAATTTATAGTATGTTTGAATGAGTTTTGTTGGTTTACTCAAATTACTAGAGAGTGAAAGTACCTCCCCGTACTGCAGCAATCCCTTTGATTGTATTATTTTATATTTATGTTATTGTTCTTTTATCTAGTGGTTTTTATACCCAACAAAATTGGAGGTTCTTTGTATCCGTGCAATCGGATACTCAGCTGCCTTCCGTGTTGAACGTTTAGCACCAATACTTCTTCCGGTGCGTCAATGTCGTCGCAACGGAACAGAATGATCAATTGCAATTGCATCCCCGGCGGGATGATGCCTCTGTCCTCCACTATGGGCTTCACTATAACCCGAAATTTCGAACGATACGGTCTCCCTCTTATTTGAAATCTCGCTGGCATGTTGCTAATGTTTTGCAGTATAACTGTTTTCTATAACAATGTTTTATTAGAGTCATTCACTCTGCTGTGATTCTCGAATATTCTGTCTTTCAATTTCAATTTCAATTTTGTTTTTAAAGAGAAATCAATCAATGACATATTTATATACCTTATACACCTTCTTCAGTTCAAAATTACGAAATTGGACGTAATTCGTGTTTGCCACCAATATTTTCTTTTGAACTTCAGATCTTATACTTTTCTTCAGATATGGACGTGACACGAAGTGATGTCTGATTGAAAGGAAGATTACGAAATTAAACATTTTCAGACACTACTTGGTAGATATACTTGTCGATACGAACAGTTTTGGTAACGATGTCATGTGCGTTAATGGTTGCTTGAAACTAGCTTTTGGTTTTGGTTCTAGTTTTGATAATTCCAACAGTTTTCTGTATTCATCCCAAATCTTTACTTTTGGTGGTTCAATCGCTAACTCGCTAGGATGTACCTCTAAAAACTTGTTGATCTTAATAACAAGTTAGTAAAGTTGTTGATGCTTCTTTATACCTCAAGTGAGAACTTTATGAAGTACCTAGATCTCCTTCATATTCTTTAAAGTCGGCATCCTTAGGTTTGATCTCTTCATATTTTGGTTCTAAGTCTTCCTGGATTTTACGCCTCAGTGCTTTAATATCAGCTGGACAAGCATTTTGTAATTTATCTTTGTAGCTCTGTAAAATGTAACGATCATTTGGTTATTTTGATTTCTCTGTTTGCTAGTTAAAAAACTGAAGACACTAACGCATAGTAGATAGGTCGATTTACGTTGCAAGATCACGCTTTTTTGAGCAGATTTATCAAAACCACACGACATCTTCCAATTATAATTTCCGTATCGTACTGCACTTTGAAGTCTTTTATTAAGAGACTGCGTGTATTTATTTCTGTCATTATGTTCCATCTGGGTAAAGCTCATTTTGTAGAGAGAATTTACAAATCAATCTTTCATTACAATTAACAAATGAAATCACAAACGAATGCATTGCATGCTTAGTTACTTCAATTCTGTTAAACAAAATTTGAAGGGACATATACATGATGGTTAAGGAACATATGATCGAAATATCGAATATAATATATAATTACAAATCATAGATCAATTTTAAGACTATGATTTATTTGGAAACAATTTTTTTTCTTTATATAAAGGTTTAAAGAATGAAGTCCTATGTACAAAAGGATTATGTTAGTAAAATACTAGGATTTTATATTCCTGGCCGTACATCGTGCAAAATAGTTTTTTCTTATACCGAGATATAATTAAAAATCGTTCTCGTTACGTGCAGTTCTTTCTCTTTTATTGCGAGTCTCAGACTGCTTATAATTAAACGCTTGAATCTAGTTTAATCCTATTATTATTATTATTATTTTTATTATTACTACTACTATTATTACTTTATTATTATTATAATCATCATCATCATCATCATCATTATTATTATTATTATTATTATTATTAACGTTGACGAAAAATCGTCTGATTTCGCTTGCCACAGTTGCGATACAATCACAATAAGGTACACTTATTTATATTTATCATAAACCGAATTTCGTAAATACAAGAATTCGTGTATCTTTTCTTGTTTTTTAAACTCATATGTATAATTGTTCCAACACGCATAAACATTATATGCACGTATTTTTTATGTTTTCTTCTTTTTCTTTTTACGTATATGATATTACAAATTACGCTTTGTACATACAATCTAATAATAATCTAAATACAAACAAGCGACAAATTCTCAACGTTTCCTATCACGCATTTCTATAATACGTGAAATGATAAAACAAGTTTTTCCGTTTTAACATAATATAAAACTTAGTATACTTTCGTTCTTTTCATCAGATGAGTTACAAAGAAGAAAGCGATTATTGTATTTCAATAAGCATTATAGAAATTCGACAAACGTCTTCGATATTAATTATACATGTAATTATCGAGCAATACCTGAAAAGGAATGGGAGCTTGATAATAATGAGACGCGCGTGATCGATCCACCAAACAACACTATTTTTCTTTCCTTTTTTTTAATCCTCTTTTTTTTTTTTTTTTTTTTTTTTTTTTTTTTTTTTTTTTTTTTTTTTTTTNTTTTTTTGTTTTTTTGAAGCCTTATAGAAATTGTGTGTTTATAAGAGTGCACTTATTTTAATTTTTTTTTTTTTTATAGTATACGTAAACAGTCCATGAGACGCAAAAAAAGAAAAAGAAAGAAAATACATTCTTTCTTTGCTTCTTTGCGCTCGTTTATATAATTTACAATGCACGAATTTATGAAATTCGGACGAACATGTTAAACTATAATATAATTCTAACTAGAAATCAAGAGGAAAGTATCAAATTATAATTTATATGTATTTTATATGATGAAGAACACACAGAGTGAAACTAAGTTCAAGCTTTATATAAAACTTCATCGCGATAGATTTCGATTTGTTCAATTTTTGTTTCTCTTTCTTTCTTTCTTTTTTTAATTTCATTTTTAATAGTGTGTATATATATATATATACACACACACACACTATTAAAAATGAAATTTATATATATATATATATATATATATATAATAGTGAATATATATGTGTGCGTGTATATATATATATATACACATACACACACACACACACACAATCTGAGGCGTCGATTCAGCCTCTGTTAATTATCAGTAACTCAGCGAAATCTGGCGAAACGTATCACGTTATATAAGCTTGAACTTTGTATGTAGGGAAATAAAGGTTTTCGTTAAAAGCCTATTATTGTATGGAAAATATAAAACCCCAGATTATACTTCACTATCCTACAAATATAATGCTTAGTTCAAATGTATAATGATATCGTTTTTCAATCGAAGATGCAGTATGCTTTTGTATACTCTTTGTTTCTTCTCTTTTTTTTTATAAATTAAACGAATAAAATTAAAATTTCAGGGAATTTCAGACATTGAAACGTGAATTTCTAAAACATAATTATATATCCATTAATCTAACGTTCTAGATTTCTGTGTAATTGATCCTGTTAGTTTTTCTTCTCTTTTTTTTACAATACATCAGCTACGTGTATCGTTTTGTATTTGCCTCCCTTTTTTTTCATACATCTGTTTTTAACTGGGACAATTGTAAATAATTTTATCCGTTTTAATTGTACGAAGTGAACGTTCTTACATATATACAACCCACGGTCACCCCTTAAGCGTACAACTTCCATTGTAAATTGATTAGTTCGATGCATAATCGTTTATTCATTTCGCATAATATTAACATTAAGTGTCTCTTCACTTGCCAAGTCCGAGCGCAGCGTACTGTTCTTCCGTTACTTCTGTCATCATCAAGTTTCCATCAGGTAAGAGTAAGACCACTCTTCTAGTTCCACCTAATATAATATAAGAAAACTTTAATGTTACAGTATCTGATAAGAAAATCATATCTTTCGCTGTTACTTTTTATTTCTTAGCGTGCTATTTAAAAAAATTTTGACACGAACGATCAAGGTCAGCACATTACCTGGTGTTGGCTCTTCCGCTTGTACAACTTGAGCTACAACTTGACCGTGACCATCACTGTCTTCTTGCCCTTCTGTCACATCCGCCGCATTCGTATTGTCCATGATAGACATCACCATTGGATTTTCAGCAGGTTCAGTTCCACCTTCTTTTACGTAGAACTGCGAGGCTAGGTTTACTTGATCGGGTATCAACTGAGCTACAGCTTCCGCCACAGCATGATCCAATGTTAATACGGATCCCTCGTCTCCTTGTTGCTCCGTGGTAACATATACACATTGTTGCTCGCCATCAGCATCTCGAGTCACTAATAGTGTTTGACCATCCTCAGCTTGGCCAGCCACTTGATAAACGACACCATCCTCCCCAGTTATCGTTACTAAGTTCGAGGTGTCCTCGGCCACTTTCCTTTCCTCCGATATTTTCTCTTCAGTTTTCACATCAGTAGAAGCGATCGCTATCGTGCTAGTCGAGGTAACTGTAGCCGTGGTCAATCCCGGTGCGATCGAGGATTCACTAGCTGGTGCCGCTTCTGTCAACGGTGTTGTCGTCGTAGTGGCTGGCGTAGCCACGGTAGGAGCTGTGTCATCCAAGCAGGGAAGATCTGGCGCAGGAACAGATACATTTGTTAAATTGATCTGCGCTGGTTCGCTGGTCTGAACGATCGTTCCCGTCGTCCCACCAGGACTCATTTCGACTCTCATTATTCCACCACCCTCTGTAAGAGAATCAAGGGAAGGTAGGACTAATTCTGTGGTGGTAGTTGTAGTGGTGACGTCTATACTTTCTGATGTAGCTGTGGTGGTTTTAATGGTGGATAACGGTGTTTCGGCAGATTCAGGTTCTGGTTCCGGTTCGGCCGATTGTTCGACGGGTTCGCCATCCGGTCCGATAATACGTCCCGTCAATGGACAAAGAGTAAACGGCCTTGGTGGACTGTCAGGCTCCGTAGTGGCAATGGTATCGGCTTCAGAAGGTGGAAGTTCCGGTTCACCATCGCTGCTACTCTCTTCGGAGCCTACCTCGTGGAATTCCATATGAAGTCCATCACCCTCCGCCAACTTACTTTCTTTCAGTTTGTTTCCTGGAGTAGCGGCCGTTGGTGTTTCAGGTAACTTCCCTCTACCTCGGCCGGCAGTAGCGCGAGCAGCTGCTAGGAGGCCGCGGCCACCTGGTTTAATGATACCTGCTGCTTCTTGAGCTTTTCTTTTTGCCATTAATAACTTTTGCTGCGGAGATAATAATGACTGTGGCTTACCAACTGGTGTTTTCGGCGACTGTTTAGCCTGTTGCATTGGACTAGTTCCAGATTTTACCACTTGCTTCGACTGTGGACTAAGCATCGCGAACTTCGGTCTAATTTGTGTAACATTTCCAGGACTCACCGAGTTACTTTGCGTAGTTACAGCCGTCGTACGTTTTTGTAGCACCTGACGTGTTTGCTGGGACTGAACTTGTCTCGGGGCTGGCGCCCTAACAGGTGTGCGGATTGTTGATCCGATTCCAAGTACGCTAGTTGGTGTCGTCGCACGCAGTGGAGGTCTCGGTAACAAAGGTCGACCGTCCGCACTGCGTTGGCCTGTAACAGGTCCAGGACGTATTCCTGTACTTATTCTTGGCTGCAAAGTTATGGGAGCCGGCACCGCGGTCACGACATGTATCTGCGGTAACTGTGTCGGATCTGGTTTCGGCTGGATCTTTATAGGCTCGGTTTTCTGTGTACCACCTGCTTTATTCGTAACAGGCTTAGAAACTACTTTCATCTGCGTTACTACTTGACTTCCATCCATTTTAGAAACCACTTTTACCGGCGTTACAGAATTCGATTGCGATGCGGATATTACTTGCTTCCTCACTACGTTAGTATTATCTCGATTTTGAACCATCAAAACACCTTGCGTGGTCGGCGAACCTTTTACAGCCAATTTCCCGCTAGGGGACGAATCCAACTTGATGATGCCATCTTTCCGTGACATTACATAAACACCGGACGTTAAGTTTGGCATTTGCTTCGGGTCAACTTTAACAACTCCTTTGGCATTCGCGACTAAAACCGGTGGTTGGTTAGATTTTGCTCCTTCGGGAGATTGAAGTCCCAATGAAGTCGCAAGATCTGTAGACGAACCACTTGCTCTGTTAGACCCGTTTGATTGAGCATTGGCACGATTAAACGCGCGTTGAATCATATCGCTTCGACCCAACAATCTTTCCTCCTCGGACTCTCCAGTCCAATCTTCGTCACTACCTGTGTCGCCTTTCGTTCGTTTCGCAGCGCTACTGCCTCCATCCTCGGAATCACTCTCGGAGTCATCAAGCCTCCTCTTCCCTAGTACTAAACAAATTTAGAAATCTTGATATTTTCCTTACATTCGCGACGCATATGAAGATTGTTAGAAAAAGTACAAGTGCCAATTACAATTAGGTTACATTGCATAGATATACATACGGTCATTGTCTTCATCTTTCATAGAACCGCACCATTGCTTTACTTGATCCATTGCTTTTGATTTGCTTGATCGCATAGGTCGTCTGTATACAGAGAATTTGTCATTTTAAATTTATACTATTATTACCAAATGTATGAAACACAGAATGTTGTATAAACTGTAAAATGTAATTGTCTTACCCTACTTGAGCTGCAGTACTTGGTCCAGGTTTAGCTTCTGTTTTTATAATTGTTTTCTGAGCAGGATGACCGCCTCGTCCTGCTGCCTTTGTGTTACCCTGCTGCTGAGCAGCTTTCAATTCTTTTTTTTTAGCAAGATTTCTTTCAAATTCTTCTAACAAATGTTTACACGTAGCTACATGTTCAGCAGGTTCCCATCTATTGTGTTCACTATAATTGTTTGTGTATTTTGAATGTTTTTTGCAATGTTGATTATTATGTACAATAATGTACTATAAATTAACTTACTGTCCGAAACCTTCCCATTTTAATAGATATTCCGAGCATCTCTTTTTTGGATTAAATCGTTTTGCTAATATCTTTTCTACTATATATTCTTCGTCGCTTGAATCTCGATCGTCATCGCCAGCTTTATTAGATTTAATCTATAAAGATGGATATTATTAACTTTTTACATATACATCGAAATATTATTGAGGTGTAAAGAAGTTAACCTTAAGTTTTATCGTTGGTCTCAATTTTGGTTTCTCTCTCTTTTCTACTTCGTCGAAGGATTCATTGCTTTTTTGATTCTTTGCTTCTACAGTTTTATTATCCTTTTTACTATCGTCTTCTGGTTGTCCATTTCTAATTACTTTACGAACAACTACTGGTTTCCCTGCGAAAGTACAAAATAATTTTAGTACAGTGTTCATTAAAATAAAATTATTGCAAAATATATACCTTCTGCATTAGTAGTTATTTGATTCTGCCTTGGTACATCCTGCATTTTTGCATTGCTGATTTTCGTGAATGTTTGAATAGTTTTTCCAGCTGCGATCCATGAATCCCTTATGTGCGTATCCATTTTGCACCATTTTTGATACAGTTTCCATGAATTTGTTGAGTCTTTATCTGAACTCTCCTGCTGGATTTGTGAATCTTTCCATAAAAGGAAAGCCCACACTTGTGCTTTTTGTTCATTCTGCAAAAAGTTAAAATAACATAATACGTTGTATTAATATCATTATTACTTAGCATGTCAAGTAAAGATTACTAACATTACTATTTTCACGAAAATGTGAAATTTGGGTACAAGCGCCTTCTTTTGTACGATGCTCTTGAAATTCTTCAATAAAATGAAACACTGAATGGCACTGCCCACAAACAAGAACATCTAATCTTCCCATCTCTTCCTGTGCAGCTGATAACATAACAAAATTCGTTACTTTTTTATTCAATCGTGCTAATGGCAGTACAAGTTTCTTTTATATTTTGATCAGTACACTGACATACCAATGATCACTGACTTTTTGTAATATACTATAATACAAATTATCTCTTATGAAACTGTTCAAAAGAATACATGTATACAAGTTTCAAATTCAATGATCTTTGCTGATATATTACAAACATTACACAATTATGTCACAAGACTGGAATAAGCAAGGTTTTTAACAATACCTTTTTAACACATTCTAAACAATACCTTTAATAGCAGTAGGATTACTACTGATGGCCGAAGGGCCATCACTTCCTTCCATGTTGTTTAATTAAGTAATAAAATCTTTATCCTCGAAGTTTCTTTCTAAAAAAAACAAACAAATAAATATAAAATTTGCTTCTTACTTTTGCAACATATACAATGAAACAACTAATCAGTAATAATACATTAATCAGTAATAATACATTTAAAAAAACTAATTTCATTATTCTACAACTCTTCAAATAATACACATTGTGAATCACTATCCACTTGATGTATCAACATGAATATATAATAACTCTCCTCTACAAACGAATCTTTCGACATTTCACAAGACCTATATTTATAATTAATCAATTATGTAGTAAAAAAAAAAGAAGTCAATTATGTATCAAAACATTGTGTCATGTAAAAATGTTCCATTCTGTGTAAGTAATAAATGTTATGTACCACTTGCAACGTATATTAATTGGACAGTGCGTCAATGAATCTTGTCAAATGAATTTTTCAACAGTCAAGCAAACGTTTTTCACCGAACAAACGGGCACAAAAAGAAATGACGTTGCCTGGCGTTGCAAGAAAAGAAGGAACCGCGACGCTCGATGTTCGAAGTTTCGCGGGTGTCCGGGGAAAATTCACATGCGGCACGCCGGCGTGGAGATCGAGCGGCGAGCATTTTTCTAACAAGACACCACCACCGTCGTCGTTACGTTGTAACAATACGACGGCTTGCTCGACGCACACATCCCGTCGTTAAATAATATTCAAAACCGGTCCGCACGATTCAAAAAATTAGTCGTCGCGGGCAAATCTTTCTTTTCTTCTCTCTCTCTCTTCTTCTTTTTCCTTTTCCTTCTTCTTTGTTTCCTCTCCGCGGACCCTTTTTTTTTTTTTTTTATTTAAATTAAATGAATTCCCGCATAAATGGCAGGACGTCGAGGGACACGCAGTACGGAGTCATTGTAAACGCGGCCAGTGGCGTAAGTTACCAACGAATAAAACTCACAGATAAGTTCGATCTTGAGATAGCAGCCGGCTCCAACGTGATTGATCGTTACCGGTACGGAACGATTATTCTAGCTGCTGGCAATGCGGGCGTTCAGAATCCACGAAAACATTTAGAAACGATGCCATTGCCGCTGCCGCTCGCTACAGGCTAGTCCTCTGTCTATCATGAGCCGATGCTCGTCAAGATGGCTCTCGTCACGAAAGCTCTCCCCGACTATTCACTTCCTGTCTATCCATGAATATTTTCCGAACACACTTGGCCCGTTGTCGATTTCAATCCGACCGGTGCCACGAAACCAACGCGATGTCGACTTACGTCTGGCAGGCCGTGGAAAAAATTTTGATTCCCTCTTTCGATCTGGAATTTAATTGCCGTTGCTGCACGAGATGAGTATGAAAACAGTGATCGCGTCTGACGACAGTGGCGCCATGGCGCCTGCCCGCCACGGCAACGGCTCGCCTTTTTGGCGGGAACACGTTGCCCCATTAATTTCCCTTTTTCCCCTTCTGCCAGGGACGCTTCGTCTATGACCGCGTATTTTACGCTTGGTGTGTCGCGCCCGAGAGGGATTACGAGAGAAACGAGAAGAAATTACGCTCGGAAGACTGGTGAGACTTTACCCTGCTCATTGCCCGTTCAAATATACCGCTTCTCCTCGACGAATTCGTCTATGTTCCGGCTATGTTGGATCCGAGTATAGAAAAGGCGAGCTTATGTTAATTGATGTCGAGACAATTTCGTATGTAACAATCGTCGGTTATTGCGGGTTGATCTACGAGTTTTGCATGTGATCAACTACTATTTGTCCTGATCGGCAGATGAAATTTCAGATGCGCTGCGAGGCGTTTCCCTTCGTATCTTGACGCGATTCCTTTGATCTGGATTCGGAAGCGATTCAGAAGAACAAATAAATCCTCCGTATTGAACGGGACACCGCGCGAATGCTGTGTGGTGCACATGGATTTTTCATTGGAATTCGTCACGTCTCTTCCAAGGATTTCTTCCCTCTCATTGCAATTTTGTAGCGTCAATGTCTAGAAACTTGTTAAAGAACTTGTATATTAATTTTTTCAGTTGCAACGTCGACTTGTTTGTAGTGTCGGCGGCAATATAAACAACATTAACCTTATTTCCTCGCGTGATCAAACCAAATCTATAATATAAAGTAAGCATCGTTTCAGACTTAAAAAAGAAAGTTTAGACTGTATTTTCTTAATTAAATTTAATTAAACAAATAGGTTGAACGTCTGATCATGATGTTTGTTTCAGAAATTAAAAAATGGCTGATGAAGAAGAAGAGAAAGAGTATAGATGGGAGACTGGTTATGAGAAGACATGGTATTGAAAATATTTTTTCAATTACTCGAATCGTCGTATGCATAATCACGCAAATAATTTGTTATGCATTTGGTATACAGGGAAGCAATTAAGGAAGATGATCACGGATTGTTGGAAGCATCAGTTGCTGATATTATCCACAATGCTAAAAGAAAGCGTCAGATGGAAAAGAAGGTTGGTGCCAGATTAGGAATGATGAGGCACCTTTATATAATTCTAGACGCTTCTGAATCGATGTCTATTCAAGATTTGAAACCGACTCGTTTCTTATGTTCCTTGAAGGTACCAGTTGATATATGATATAGCAGTTGTGTATATCATATTTGCTTATAAATGGAACTTGATTTAAGCTTTTAGAAGATTTTATTGAAGAGTTTTTTTATCAAAACCCTATAAGTCAGTTAGGAGTAATTATCACAAGGAACAAAAGAGCAGAGAAAGTGAGTGAATTAGCTGGAAATTCTAAAAAACATGTTAAAGTAAGTTTTCTTGTGGGGCATTTACTAATTTTATTTTGATTTACAAGTATACATTTTTATATGTTTGTAGGAAATGCAAAACATGCAACAGATTGCTCCAACAGGTGAGCCTTCATTACAAAACTCTATAGAACTAGCATTAAAGTCACTACGTCTTCTACCATCACATGCTAGTAAAGAAATACTCATAATAGTGGGAGCACTCACAACATGTGATCCAGGAGATATTAATGAAACTATTCAAGTACGCCATATATACTATGACTGTGCCAGGAGATATTAATGAAACTATTCAAGTATGTCTTATGTGCTATGACCATACTAAAATGTAACGATTAATTTTTGGTTACAGAACATGAAGACAGATTCTGTCAGGTGCAGTGTGATAGGATTAGCTGCTGAATTATATATTTGTAAAAGAATGGCAACAGCAACTGGTGGAGAGCATGGTGTTGCATTGGACGATAAACATTACAAGGAACAGTTAAATGCGCACATAGATCCTCCACCAGCTGCTACTAGATTGGATGCTGCTCTTGTAAAAATGGGTTTTCCTCATCATGCATTACATTCTTCTGCGAATGATTCAACAATGGCAGTTTGCATGTGGTAAACAATTTTTAAATCACTTCATAAATAAAATATTCTTTTCATAGTAAAAAAGCATTTTTTTTCTTTTTTACAGTCATGCAGAAAATTCAGATGAATCTGTTAAACTTCTTAGTACAGGATATCTTTGTCCTCAATGTTTGAGCAAACATTGTGAACTTCCAGTAGAATGTAGAGCATGTGGATTAACTTTGGTATCTGCTCCACATTTAGCACGGTCCTATCATTATTTATTCCCTGTTGAACCTTTTAAAGAAGTTTCATATAGTGGAACTCCTTCAACTTGTTATGGTTGTCAAAAGATATTGTCTCAAAAAGATAAGAAGGTACGATTAATAAGAAAAACGTATGAATATAATTTATAAAATTTATGAAATATAAGTTATAACTGTATCTTCTTCCAGGTGTACACTTGTAATAAATGCAATCAAACGTTCTGTTTAGACTGTGAAATATTCATCCATGAATCTTTACATACATGCCCAGGCTGTGCTACCAATCAAGATACATATCAAAGATCCACAGATAGAATTTAACTAATAATTAATAAAAGTAATTAATAAAATTAATAACTTTAGTTGTTTTAAACAAAATATTTTATAGAAATTATTATTTTGTAGACGAAGAATTTTGTATTGTAAAACTGGGTCATGGATGCTCGTACAAAAGATATTTTCTCTGAAGAGAAATGAATGAATGAAATGAATCAAAAGACAATAATCAATGAAAGTTTATTTCATTTTTTTTTTTTTTACATTACGTATATCTTTGACATGACAAAGTCAGACTTCGCAATATACGTGCAATAAAATATATTGATTCTACTAAAAATATATTTCAATATATAACGTTTTCAAATTACAATAATTGATCTGTTGCCTTATTAACAGATTCCGGATTTAGAAAGTCTTATTATAAATACAAGTTCACTTAAACGAAAGGAAAACAAAAGAATTGAAGTTGTTTGTGTACATTTGAGTGATATTACAGGCTTCTTTCCGCCGAGCAAAGAATCCGAAGATTTTCGAGCGGTAACGTGGCCGCTTTAAAATCATGGTGGGAGGTGATTGAAGTTTATTAGCTAGCAGACAGATGGAAGCGAGCTTCGTGATATTAGAGCACATTATTAGTTTGCGATCGTCCTCCGGTGCGACCGGTTTCACGGTGTCGACCTACTTCCGATTCAATTACGTATGTTCATCCTGTCCGGACAAAGTGACTTTACATATGAGAAATTTTTCCTAGTTTCCTTTCTAACGCGCATCTTTTAACTCAGGTAAGGATAATGTTATTCACTAATGTTTTACGTTTTCCCCAATAAATAAGCAATAAATGTCCAATATCATTTCCCCTTTGCATACATGTAATTAACTTTATATTAATGTATGCATAAAATAAATTTACATACGCGTAAACGTTTTAACGCGTTTAGAATAATTTGTACAATTTGTATGATTGTTCAAGGAGAATGTTCTATGAATGCGAGTGCGCTCATATATGCGCGTATTTCATTTCTTATCTCCTTTTACAAATTAATACTTTTGACTGTATGTTTATGCATGAAAATCGGATAATTTTTTGTTCTTTTTGTTCATTCTTTAAATAGAATTTTATGTAGAAATGAACATGAACACGTGTATTTTAGATTAACATAAACGACAGTAAGTAAAAGGTGGAAATAGATGGTTGTTACCGTTTTGCAATATTTCCCTGCGAAATAGAAATTAATCACCGTGAAATGATCTTGTATTATCATACATTATTGTATTAAGAAATTTATACATAGTATTTATTATTTTTGTACATATTTTAATACATTAGTTAAAAAATAAGTAGTAATAAGTTATTCAATATCAATGTCAACAGAAAACCTAATTTATCACACAGATTATAATTTAATTTCGACTCGATTTCTTAAAAAGGAAAATAACCGGAATTGTTTAATAACAATTGATTGTTGATTTATGTAATCTTAAAATTAATTATAGCGAATGTATATTTTATCAGTTGAGAAAATTAATTTAATTGTCATTGGTGACTTATATCATGATCGATTTGTCGAAAGGTCACTTTAACTTTAATATTCGTTCTGCAAAATGATTGATACCATTAGATCTATTTAGAAATATTTTAGATAACAAGCTTCATTTCATTAGTAAATGATATATGTATTATGAAACAATATTAACCACAAATTTGATTAAATGAAACGATTTATCTTTATCTTTATCTCAAAATTTACTCTCGATAATTTTATTTCCAATAATCGGAGACTGTCGTTCTTCAAAATTTAACGTGAGATATTAATAGAAACTCAAAGGTTTACTCAGACAATGAAATGACAGGTAATTGCTGATAGAAATTGATGAAACCCCACTTTTTTATATAATAATCTGCAACAGAGAATGCAATTTTATTTTCAATCATAACGCTACTTTTCAGATTTCTTATCCGAGTTTACGAAAGCGGTGATATGATAAAAAGGATACGAAATATCGATCCTGATTTTCTAATTGTAATTATCCATCAATCGGACAACAAACTGACTAATTCGAATGATTTGTTTATTCCATCGCAATGCCAGTGATTTATTTCATCGATTAATTTAAAAGAAACCCGGTAACTTTCAAGCACACGGTTTTTAGAAAATCCAATATTGTGAACTAGCGGCAGGTTGAAACTGATTCTATACCATAGCTATACCATAAATGGCCTACGCCAGAAAATTCTGTTGTTGCTGGAATAGACAGAGAAATAGAGTGGAATGGCAATACCAAGGATCAGTGTGAGAATAACAATGGCTACTTACTCTGTGCTCGTTCTCTCGAAAAAGAAAAGAAAAAAAAAAAAGAAGAATGTTTAGAAAGATTATACGTTACATGATATATATCTGTTGTGCAGCATAACGTTTATCACGTGCATGATTTTCTTTTACTCTATAATTGTGCAGCGTGGATACTAAAAGAACTCCTTTCTCTTTCATTAGTACTTTCAATCCGCATAGCTGGCTCTGTAAGTTTTGATACTCCAGCTAAGGATACGTGCCCCGTGAAAAGAATTTTGCAAGAGATTAGTATTGCGAAATACCTCGGTGCCATGGAATCTTAATTGTCCTTTCGTGGAAGGAGCGACTTCAATTACGATTACATCTGTATCTGTACATCCGCGAAACGATCTCGAAGCATTGTTATTGTTTATCATTTCTATTTCATCATGAATTATCATGTTCTTGTAATTGTAAAGTGTTTTTTTTTCTTTTTAGAACTCGTTCTCGTCGCCTCGTTACTGTCGGCCTTTTTTTTCAGGCGGTCATGAAAGCGAAAAATATATAGATTTCAAGGATCGGCGAATTGTAATCGATACTTACGCACATGATACGTATACTAATGTGCTTCGTATCACAAACGTCATGTACAAAATATCGCTACTGTTAATCGTTGATTAACTGATATCAAGCTGTGCGTGATAATAATCGCACGTTTGTTTAACGGAAGATCATATTTGTTTAACAAGCAGCTTATCGACACTTGCTTGTCCGCAGATGTATTTGCGCATCGAGTCGCAACATATCGAGTCCCCGAGTTAATTTGGACGATCTTCTGTGAATAAATTATACATATAATCGGTGAAGTTAACGTAGAACTCGATTAATCTGGATAAACAAACTGTTCTTACACTTGGGCAACTCGTCTTTTCTCGTCTCGAGCTCGTCTGTTTCGGAATCTCTCCCTCCGTTTAATATTCACGAAATTCTTCTCGTCAATAAGAGGGTGACACCAATTCCTCGACAATTCCCGCAAGTGTCTATAGATTTATTCCACTTTACGTGGAAAAACAGTTTGGACTATCGTTGGCTGGCTTATCAATGACGGTTCGAACGACGATTAAGAAACACCGAGGGTACCCTCGGCCTTACCCGGTGTCAGACATCGGTGGCCTGATTGGTGAAATTGCTAAATGGTCCGCGTACAATTTGTAAATAAAAGACATTACGCCGAGATTTGTCCGAGGGGAACCGCGCAATGGGGACACCGGTGTTTCGCCTTAATTGGTCTGTAACCTTGTCACATTGACCAGCCTCGGTTGTACGCTCTTCGTCGCGCCAACGTCACGAAGGATCAACCAGAAAAATCTGAACAATGCGCCGAACGATCGGACAGAGTGTTCAGGTGCATAAACAAGATTGATAACGTGTTCGAGCGTGACGTGTTCGCAGAGATAAGATGGTGAAGATTACGAGGAATACACGAGAGAGAGAGACAGAAGCTGCCAAACGCTTCGACGAGGATCTCTGTGAAATCTTAATCTATTATCTTCGCACAGATCGGGCAATCTGAAGGATGTTTCGAAGAAAAATACTTGTACCCTATCTCATTTAGCCGATATTACGGACTTTAATTACGAAGTGAAGGTAACTACGAGAATTGTTGCTCCACTTGAGAGATTGTAAATCGTGACGCATGTCACTTAGGTGTCGTAAATTCGCCGAATTCAGAATTTCACGATCGTTAATCTTCACGTTTTTTTTTTTTTTTTTTTGGTATTTTTCCATGCTCGATGCCCGCTTCAAGTTCCCTTTAGGTGTGAAATTTTACGCCACGTAGGCCTCGTCTGATCGATGACCAACATGTCATGAAACATTCCTGTTGCAAGTGGAATAGATCTTTCTCTCTTCCAAGTTCCACGAAGAGGATACATTATATTCACGACGATTATCTACGTAGCTGTCATTACGAAACTGGCAAAAGACGAATTCTCGTAATTCAAACATAATCTCACGGTTATTAGCATATACACGCGTCGCGAACGCAACGTGTAATTAATCACAGTGACGATCGGAGAATCCTAACGCGCAAGAGGTAAAATAATAGAAATCCAGATGCGTTACGCGTACGGCCGTAAATACGTAACGGGTGATAGTTATTCCCCGTTTTCCTTTTTAAATTACCGATCACGTTAATCGCTTAAAGAGATCAAGGTGATCCGCCAACACACAAACAATCGCGAATGGGAATTCTTGTGTAAGACTTCTGTCAATACGTTTCCATTCTCGGATGAAGGAGTAGTAATTTATTGAAGATGCGATTAACTCGTCGAGCGTACTCTGACAGTATATTTTCAAGATATAATATAGTATTATATATAATATAATATTAGAAATATTTATAATATATTAATTATATATTTATAATATTATAATTCTAATATTAGAAATATTAGAATATAATATATTCTAATATTTCTGTTAATTATTACATAATAAAATACACTAATATTAGAATATTATAATTTAATATTAGAATATTATATACAATATAATATTACAAATATTAGAATATAATATAATATTTCTATTAATTATTATATAATAAAATACACTAATATTTAATATTAGAATATTATATATAATATAATATTAGAAATATTAGAATATAATATATTCTATTATTTCTGTCAATTATTATATAATAAAATACACTAATATTTAATATTAGAATATTATATATAATATAATATTAGAAAGCTTACTGTGTAATCATTTAATTAAAAAGAAAAAATCTATCTTCTTCTTCAAAAAAAAATTATCTTCTTACATAAATATTTTAATTTAATGTATAATATATATTTAATTTAATATAATTTAATCAAATTTAATTTTGATATATATTAATTCAATATAAATGTTTTAATTTGATATAAAATGTTCTAATTTTTTCAAATTGTAGGATCTAGATGGAAGAAGAAGTAATGGAAAAAATTCTAAATAAATTGTTGAAGTTTCTTCCTATAAGAGGCATAAGTTCGGAAATCTTCGACATCTTCGCCAGAGAATTTTTATTACTCGCACGCAAAATACCCAGAATTTAATCTTTCGGTGCAAAGCACCGATAATTATGCGAATTACTCGTTGTGTATTTTATTTCGGTACTGTGGACTGAATGTGTGGCGTATTTCATCTGATTTCTGCGAGAGAATTATCCTTGTTCAACACTGTTCTTCGCGTCTTTGCGAATGTTATTCTACTCTTGTTTGCAACGTGTGACAACTCTGTTGAATGCAATTTCATTAAAATTGCTAGTTACAGGGACATAGTTGTGTAACAGACACATCTGTGAAGAATGTTCCGTTCCATTTTTACACACAAGATAGAAAACAATTTTGTCAGACAAAATTAAACGAGTTTGAATAATGTATGACCTGACGTATGTATACATCACTGAAGATGTTACTTGGAGATTTATTACTCGTTTCTATCTTTCTAATGGAAACGGATTCATTTTTTTATTTTCTATACGAAAATAGCGAAGAACGTAGGTCGAAAATTAATTAACTTAGATCTCCAATTCTGAAACATATTTTAACTTGAATTCTTTTTTTTTTTTGTAGAACTTGTCGAACGAAAGATGAGGAAAGCGAGAGTACAGGAACACCGCGTTACATCATCCTCAAGTTCTATCCCAATTCCCAAAGTCAGAGCCGAAATATTCTCCAATCAATCTTCAAACTGCTTTCACAGAGAATATTGGTTCGCAAAGAAATTCGTTGCTGCATGCAAGACTGTTTCATTGCAGTTAAATTTTTTTGTGTTCAGTTTCCGCGCGAGCTTGATCATAGCAACTGGTTTACTTGAAGGACACTCGCTGGTGTGAGAAATGATCGAATGCGTCGGATTTTTGCTTGACTGGTTTATTTACTGAACTGTATCAGAAGATTGAATCTTGAGACAGCTGATTCTACCTGAGATTAAAATAGTTCTGATTAATTCTGAAGTCCAACTGATGACGATTTGATTCTAACGTTATTTCTCAGTGGATTTCTAGAAGATTTTCGTCTTCCCTTTCAAAGACTCTGGGGAGGATCAAGTCAAAGGGAGAGGGACATATTAAAACCAAAAAAGTTAAAAAAGTATGAAGACAGTTTCCAGAATTCTTCACTATCATCTTACTAACTGGGGGTGGAGGGCTTGTGAGTAGATCCATCGCCCTTTTGGGAGGCACTTTGTTCGAGTCATAAATTAGTATGTATCTACTGGGCTTAACAATTTTCAAAACTACACTACGACCAAGTATATATTTGTTAACACAGCATAAGCTGTCGACAGTTCACTCATACTCATCACTATATATAGTGTCAATCAAGTGTTACGTGTATTTTGTTTCATTGTGCATAAATTAATCTATGATACAGCTCTGAGCTGTACGAATACATGTTCACTTGTTTCATTTGGCGTTGACACGAAATAATAGTTCCATGGAGATGATTGCTCGCACGAGAGCCGCAAGAAATGTTGCTGGCCTTTCTAATGCATTTCAGGAAGGCAAGCATTGAATTTACCTGCCCAGTAATCTAGTCATTATAAAATTTTCATGATATCTCATTGAATATTAAGATTGTTCAGACTGTGAATTGAATTTATGTTGGAGTTCCAAAGTTTCGAATGTATATACATTTTATTATATTTCTTTTATTCAATGTCACGTTTTAAATGTGTCGTCCCGATAATTTTGATTAATCTCTATTCTGATTAACCATTTGGGGGAGAGAAATCAATCGTTTTGGAAAAATTTTGCGATACCGCAGTTACAAAAGATACGAGCAAAGTGTTTGTATCCTTTTTCTCGATTATCTTTTGTATCTTTGTTACAAATTAACAATGTTACGATATTTCAAATCAGCGTTTTCGATAAGATGATATTTCATTTATATTATTATGAAAAAATATAATAATATCCACATCACATCAAAAATATGATAATATTTAATAATAATAACTCTTTACAGAACTCTACAGTACTCCATTTATTTGAATCAAATATTTTAGGCAATCTCTCTCTCTCTCGCTCTCTCTCTCTCTCTCTCTCTCTGGTTGAACTTGCTTATTTAAACTTATTCAAACTCCTATCACATAAACAATCTCTAGGAGAGAGAAGAACCATTGAACTCCAATTATATAAACTATGTTTGTTTCTCGATAAGTTCGCATAAACGCTTGTACTTGGATGCTATGTCATAATATAAAAAAAAGTATGTCAGGAAAGATAGATTTGCAAACGAATAGCTCCGTGCTTCGCTACGGAATGTACAATTATCGATAATTGTAATTTTAGCGATAATTTTCACGAAACGCCTTATCTCTTCTTATATAAATATACTTATCGACGCTCGAAAAACTTGAAGTTTCACGCTGTCTGTTATCATCGTTTACCGTCTCGTGAACTTCTCTACTGTTTGAATCGTTTATGTCGATTTAGCACAGATCAAACTAAGAGGAGACGCGTGTGAAAATTTGAAAAACAAACGTGAGCGTGACTTCAAGTGGCCTAGCATATTGACAAACATTCTACAGATATAACTCTACCTAACAAATACTAAATTTAATCCACTATGTGATCAAGCATTCACAGTCCAAATAAATAAATAATAATGATAAAATTCGGCTTAACGCTCCACGATTTGTTCAGACTTGTGTACAACAGTAACATCTTTTATTTATTTCCAGATGTGGCATTCCGAGTTTGAAGTTTGGATAACTGCGAGTTGTTTTCTTCTTGTCCAAGGCACCGAATCGCCTAAACACCTCACTTTTATCGGCGCTTGAACAATACCGGATGAACCACCATTCTTGGAACCAGTGAATCTTAAAGATACCTTAAAGCTAAAGGAAGACCACGGCTAGGAATTAATTATTCACCGCTACATGTGCATATTAATCATAATCGTATTCAGTTTCACGGAATTGTAACTTCGTTTGACTTATGTTTCGTCTTAAATTGTATTTTTCGTTAAACTTCTGTGCTCTCTCAAGCTGTAGATCTTATCCTTTTACATTATCAGTCCATTTGTCAACTTTCAAAATGCTGTAAAGCAAACTTTCAAACTTTCCCTTATCATTGAACTTCGCTTCATAGAGTTATTAACCCGGGATTACCCACCTGGGGGTCTAGCGCAGGTACATCCCGGCGACCCGGGTTAACAGAAAGCGAACAATTCAAATTCAATTTCCTTTGTCCCTTTCACTTTGCTCTCGTGGAGATAATCTCCAAGGAAATTCTTTCGCTTCGATTTCAATCTGTTGTGAGGAACGTCCGACTGAAACGAAAAGCTGACCGGCGAATGTTATTTCAGGCGAAGGTGAAACGATCGGAAGTGAAAAGGCTCGATTGCCATGGCGAGCCAATTATGGAAGGTACTGTCCCGAAGACGGACTGAAGACGACGTCACGGACAAACACGAGCTAGCGAGGGTGTTGGGTTTGTTCGACCTCACGGCGCTTGGCGTCGGTTCGACCCTCGGTCTCGGTGTCTACGTCCTCGCCGGCAGCATCGCCAAAGAGACGGCTGGCCCTGCCGTCTGCATCTCCTTCCTCATTGCTGCCATCGCTTCCGCATTTGCCGGTAAATTGGGCTCGCGTTCGCGCCAGTTGCCCGGACATTGACAATTTGTTCTGATTAAAAACATTATCAGTTGATGAACCGGAAAAAAAAGGAAGATTCACACTACCGTCCGTTAAGTCGCCCGCGAGACTATACTATATTTAGTTGATACTAGTATGAATGATTTATACTATATTTAGTTGATACTAGTATGAATGATTTATACTATATTTAGTTGATACTAGTATGAATGATTTATACTATATTTAGTTGATACTAGTATGAATGATTTATACTATATTTAGTTGATACTAGTATGAATGATTTATACTATATTTAGTTGATACTAGTATGAATGATTTATACTATATTTAGTTGATGCTAGTATGAATGATTTGCATAAATCATCCACATTGTAATTCCAAGGGGCACGTGTCGTTGAAGCATACGTTTAAATTTGATTGTAATTGAACACGTGTTATGTATAGAGCTACAGTGAATACACATTTGCAGACGGGAATGTAAATGCTTCTGTTATGTTAATTTAAAGAATGTATCTTCAATAGATGAGGATGTTAATACATTTTTGAATTTCGCAGGAATGTGTTACGCAGAGTTTGCCTCCAGAGTTCCCAAGGCAGGGTCCGCGTACGTTTACAGCTACGTGACAGTGGGAGAGTTCATTGCATTCATCATAGGATGGAATTTAATTTTGGAGTATATAATTGGTGAGTTTACGCGCTGTCGCTCACAGATAAAGATTACTTATTACCGAGGAGTAATTAATTTTATCGAAACGTATCAGATTAAAATGTTTTGTATGATAAAAATGTTAAAAATTGTTACACATCGATGGGAATTATTGATTGTTAAATTCGTGCATGTGTTTCTCGATTAGGTACAGCGAGCGTCGCTCGGGGGCTCAGCGGTTACTTGGATGCTCTGGTTGGAGATGTGATGCGCAAAACGTTACAGGCCGCGATGCCTATAAACATCGAATATCTGTCAGAGTATCCAGATTTCTTCGCATTTGGTGTAGTAGTACTTCTTACAATCCTGCTCAGCGTGGGAGTGAAGGAATCGTCAATTTTAAATAATATATTCACTGTAATAAACCTAGCTACTATCGTGATAATCATAGTGGCAGGATCCATCAAAGGTAATAAGTTCGCAGTTGTCGTCTAATATTAACTGATTAAGGAATTGTTCGTTCTCAATATCATTCTCGTGTCACTTCTATCTCACTTTTTCCATGTCGTCCAGTTGCCTGATTATTATCTTCTGTTTCACTGCTTCTCTTCAATCGCGATTTACTTAAGTTCTCAATATCAAACAAATATTTATGAAATTGTGTACTGAAAACAGACAAATATTTATGAAAATGTAATTTAATTTGCCTTATCGTTTGATGATTCTGTCGTGACCCTTGTTAATATGGCTGTGACCTTTTTAGCTGACCCAGCTAATTGGAGGATACCGGTAGAAGATATACATAATGCAACGAAAAACCCAGGATCGGGAGGCTTTATGCCCTTTGGCATAAGCGGAGTGATGATCGGAGCGGCAAAATGTTTTTACGGTTTCGTCGGTTTCGATGCTGTGGCAACTACCGGTGAAGAAGCTAAGAATCCTCAACGCAATATACCCATAGCCATCGTTATTTCCTTAATTATAATCTTTACGGCTTATTTTAGTATCTCGACCGTGTTAACTATGATGTGGCCTTATTACGATCAGGTATATTTGTAGACGCGTGAACTTAATATACATCTTCTTGTTGTTACGCTTATAAAAAGTGTTTTGTATATTCAGAACGCCGATACGCCGTTTCCATATGTTTTCGATCAAATTGGATGGCCTACCGTTAAATGGATTGTTAATATTGGCGCAGCATTTGCGTTGTGTACGAGCGTGCTCGGCGCGATGTTTCCCTTGCCAAGGATACTGTACGCGATGGGCAGCGACGGAGTGATTTTCAAGCAACTTGCAATCGTACATCCAAAAACGATGACACCTATCTTGGGCACAATGGTCGCCGGTTTACTTACAGGAGTCATGACACTTATTTTTAATCTTCAGCAACTAATTGACATGATGTCCATAGGAACGTTGTTGGCATACACAATAGTGGCGGTATCCGTTTTAATATTGAGGTACGAGATAACAATACTCAAATATATTTACACATTTGCTTTCTTACGTTACTACATGTTTATTCTATCATTTTAGATATCAGGCAAACAAGGAAAATACATCAAATGTTCATTCCGCATCGGCAATGAATGAGTACAAAGTAACACCGGTCAATATTTTAAAACAAATTATTAATTTACAGAATCAGAAAGAGATAACTGAGATGTCAAATAAAGTTGCAACATGCAGTATTGGAATTTTATGTAAGTCTCAAATTTTAACACACAACCAAGATTGTTCTTTACACATTTTATTATTGTTGCAGGTATCGTTATATTTGTCACAGCAATTTTTATTAATTATACAGATACCACAGCATTAGGCAGCAATGTGATAGAATTAGTGATATTAATCGTACTTGTAAACATATTGTTATTAATAATGGTTATTATTGCAAGACAACCTACCCAAGATATTGACTTAGCATTTAAGGTGAATGAAAGAAAGTGAAGTGGATCCTTGTATTGCGATGAAAAAATTATGACCAATACGCAATAAACTGTATTTAACATTTTGTCATACTTTTCGATTCTTATTTAACAAGGTATTATATCTCTTGTGAACTTTTTGTTTAATAATTTGTTAAAGACCATGAATGCAAATTTGAGTTTGCACCAGCAAATTCGTATAACATTAATTTCCTATAATGTAGGTATTATTGTCCGTATTGTACAAGGATCCATTGTATAACAAAAATATTTAATGTTATGTTTAATCATTTTTTTCATTTACAGGTACCGTTAGTACCACTTCTTCCATGTTGTAGTATTTTCATAAACTTTTATTTGATGTTGCAGTTAGATGGTTTTACTTGGATGAGATTTGCTGTTTGGATGCTTATAGGTACATATACTAAAAAACTTTAATAATATTTGAGAGAGAAAACAAAAGTATTATAATCTATAGTCGTATAATATTAATTATCTTTGTTTCACATAGGTTTTTCTATCTATTTTTTTTATGGTATATCTCACAGTGAACAAGGAAATAGAGACAAGAGAGAGGCTGAAATAATAAAACGAAAATATGCAGATCAAGTTAGAATCGTAACCAGATTCTAATAATCTCGCTACATGTGATATTTTTTTTATATATATATTTAAATAAACATTTGCTCTAAGAGAAAGACTTTAGCTATTACACATGTGACAATTTTAAAATACATTTTAATATTAGATTCACTTTTTAATAAATATAAAACATTAGAAATAGGATATCATTCTGATTGTACAGATTATTTTTTACATGTTATTCTCATAGAGCAAAACTTTAAAATTATTTCGTTGAAAAAACCTGAGATATTGTATAATACATAAGATTTTATGAAAACTTTTGTTTTCTTTTGTATCTATACACTAAAATGTACTAACATAATGTACATATTTTATTATATTATTTAGATACTGAATGCATAGATGAAATATATTGTTTTATATCATTTATTGTGCATTTATCAAGAAGTATATTATTTTGAGGAAAATCAAATTTATTAATAATATAATTCAAATAAATGTGAGAAATTATAGTACACATTCAGCGATAAGCTATACATCACTATAGACAATGACATGATACAAGTATAGTAGTCGAGTTGCAAAGCTTAATATTATAATTCACAACAAAATTTTAACATTTATAATAAAAACAGATTTGTAATTAATTTACTATTATAATGATACATTATAAATTCACATGAGAGAGACTTTATAAAAATTTATATTTACTTGTAGTAATTTTATCATTTTGAAGTAAGTTTATGCACATAATACAAGCAAACATAAAGTCATAGCATTAAAAGTATTAGAACTACATGAAATTCATTTATTATTAATATATTTAATGCATTGTTTTTTAAAAAGGGATGGGACATTTTCTTAATATGATACATTATGTTATGATCTTTTTTAAACATTTACAAATGTCAATTTTTAGCAATCTTTTTAAATATGTCATTTTTATAAATGGAAGAAACATAACAAATAAAGGATTAAAAAATAAAGATGTATAAAGCGGCGTTATAATCTCCATTCATCAAATATTTGCATTAATAATCTCATCTTACCGTTTTATTTTTATTACTCTTGTATTACTCTTTGTTTATTAGTCTTTTATAATAATAAAAATTTATAACTAGACAAGGCATCTTGTAGACTTCAATAGAGTTCTATTTTAGACAATAGAGTTCTATTTTAGAGATATTCTATTTAAAACTAAAATTAATATTTCTTGCATTTTCTACTTAGTACGAATTATTTAACAGTTACTTCATACTTAAATGCACATATCTGGAATGCTCTGTCAATTGTTTTAATATAAAATTTTATAATAAAACTATATGAATGGAGTTTGTAATAAATGTATTCTATAAAATAATCTTGTTAATACTATTGTTTTCTTTGCACATATTTATATCTACTTTCCTTATTAAATGAAAGTAACAGAAGCCAAGTAAATTTACTTTAAGAACAATGCAATTAATTATGCATTCAACTAATGTTGATTTTTGTACATTGTAGATAAAATAATGCCTTTCTTGTTTATTAAGTACATTATACAGTTAAGTTTGTGTGATTAAATTGAGTCTATCACGGAAGCTATGCCACGTAAAGCATACATATACGCATATGCATTGACTTTTTTTTAATTATGAAAAGTATACGAAAATCAAACTATAGTAGAGTATTGTGTTTTTTTGGTAATAATTCAATACTTTGTATACGCGACTTTTTAAAAGAATCGTTATCCATGTAAAAGTCAGATGTTTATTTGATTTTATTTACAAGTCCCTCTATGCTTACATGTTGCCAATTTGCCTGTTAATAACAATTACAACTATGTAATTTAATTTAATTCAAACTACTAATTTAATAACATCATATAACATCAAACTTACCCCTATTCCAGTTGACCAACCAGTTCCAGCTGGATTCTCATCGCTAATACCTATTCTACGACAAAGTATACCAGCTCCTGAGATTGCCCAAACCTGTCCCTGTTCTCTTGCAACGGCAATATGTCGAAAGCCTTGTTTCGCATTTATAACAGACATGTCTATACAATACAAAAACACATTATATATTGAACATGTAATATAATACATAATATGAACATTATTATATTTATAATTATGAAATAATTAAAAAATATGATTATTATATTTATAATTATGAAATTAAAAACAATTCAGAACTTTATAATAAATTTATAATAAATTTCAATATACTATGAATCATCTAAACTGATATGCTAAATCACAACTATAGACCTAAGGTTATACCTATAGAACAGGAATCAGAGAGTGTATTTAAATAAATGGATGTGTTGTCAATATTAGCGTTTCCCAACTCGAAGCTTGTTTTCAAGGGTAATACGCAGAGTTTCCCGAGAAATGCAGCCCTTGAGGTTTGCATCTTATATTTTTCTGGAATTTTTGTAGAAAAAATTAAGTGGTTTTCTGTTGAAATCGTCACGTAACGCTTTGATAAAACACGTATTATTCGTTAGTTTCAATCTTCGTCTAACTACAGATTAACACGCCGATGTTTCAAAAAATTAAGCTAAACATCTAAAAAAGTCAGCACAATCACTCTTGGGATTTATAAGGTTGGGAAACGCTGTTCACTCGACAAGCAAATTTAAAAAATACCTATGTGTATAGGATCATTCGGCATCACAGGAAGCGTTTGCCAGTGCGTTCCTTCCGGGAAAACGTTCACCTGTACACCACGACGCACGGATAATTTACCTGCCGCATCTAAAGCCCATACCACATCCTTCCCAACAGAAATTTGTTTCAAATGAGCACCCGACGGCGGTTCAACATTTTGCCACTGTATTCCTAAACAATCAAGCAACAATTAGAAAAAAATTCAATAATAACAAAAATTTATTTACACTACTATATACCTGTCGGTTTTGCAGGAGTAATACCTAATCTCCAGTAAGAGGAACCATTCTTTCCAACAGCCCAAACTTGTCCACATGGACCACATGAGATACCTACTAAAGCTTGATCACTTGGTATATGTTCCCATGAAACTCCCTGTAAGTAAATATTAAATAATTTCACTTAATTATTTATGATTATTATTATTAATTTCACTAATTATTTATAAAATTAATACTATGTATGTATACATATATTAACATTATGTATATATACCATCGGACAAGATTCTGAAACACCTCTTCTAAACAAAGCTTCACCATTAGAAGCAACAGCCCATATATAAACAGGAGCATCCGAACTAGGTTTCCCAGGTGCCTAAAAATTAGTTAGAAAGTTGTTTTACGCTATTGTTTTACCATTCTTTTTTGTAAAAGAAAAATATATCATGATTTTTTAATATCTCTTACGTGTAAAGAAACATCGAGCAATTTTGTATTCCCTAATTCTTGCCACGGTCCGCTAGTTGTTAACTGACATCTTCGAAACCATCGTCTTCGTCTAACATAATCAGTAAATTGTTTTTTACCATGATATTGAGAAGGAAAATCTTTAGCATATTGCCATCCTTCTCTATCAACACCTCCAGGGGTATGAAAATCTACTATCCAATCTGATACCTGTTACAAAATAAAATATTTTAACATAAAACATTTGAACTCTGTTATTTAAATACTATAAAGAATATGTATATTATTACCCAATGCCAGTGCATAGATAGTAGTTTAGTATGTTCACGTGTACGTTTATGTCGTCCAGATGCGTCACTCCACATATAACGATCAGTTGGAAGACCATGAGATGTGTATCCAGTCACCGGATTCCAACGCTGGTTTTCATAAACATAATAACTGTGAGTATCCACCATGCTGTTTATTCCCGTATTACTATCTAATCCTATATAAAATAACATACAAGATTATATATATTATATATTTTCAAACATAATTTTTTTTTATTTTAGAAAATATTACCTTTTAGGAATGAACCACCCCAACCACCAGTATATACCCATGCAGTACTACCATATCCTATTCCCCATGTTACACCAACAGAACAAGTTTCAACCTTTTTTAAATGTCCACCTATTTGCCTCCAAAACATTGTAGTTGGATCAATTATTACCTACATAAAATTTATATTACGATCAAATTATATAAAGTTACTTATATCTAAGTTAATATTGAAATTAGTACGTACAGACGTAGACTTATAAAATATGTTACATAATGTCATCAATCCCTTGATTCGTAAATGAGTAATACTTTGCGGTAATATTCTATGGCTATAAAAAGTAAATTCTGTATCATCAACATAAATTCTATATCCTCGTGTTTCGCAAACAATCTCTAAGGTGAAATTAGAACCAGGTTTTAACGGACTACCTCCGTTTCTCTCTTCGTCGCCCCACTGTCCATTTTGATATGTATTTCGTACAATTATATTTTCTTTTAATCTTGGATTAAAATGTAATGCTACGTCATGGCTGTCCATCACGGACTTCTGTTTCAAAGACATTGTTGAATAACAGACGAAATTAATCGATAGCCTAAAAATGATGAAAATATGAAGAAATTTGAAAATTTTAATAAATCTGATTTTAAATCATTATCGTTTACCTATCCGCATCATCATGGATACAAGCTATAATTTTTAGAGAACTGCCACACCCAAAACCGTTTTGTAGAATACATTCAAAAGGTAAATCTTTTCCAGTATTCAATTCTTGTATATAACCACCATTAGCAAGTTGATTTTCCTACAAAAATAATCATACGTAAAATATTATTGAAAAAATTTATTGCATAACATATTTCATATAAGATGTGTTAACTTACTTCTAAAGAAGCAGGATCATATACATATACATCTCCTAATGCAGTTGTAGTCCATATTGAATTAGGGCCAGGAGTCCCGTAAACGTTATTCATTTGGCAAGAAACTAAAAATATAATGAATACCTTATGCCATTCATCCTTTTATGCACATTAAATACGAACATACTTATATACCTGAAGTTAAGTGCGCTAACCAATCTTCCATTTCAGTATCAGTAGAAAACTGTAGTCTAAGAACCTTAGAACGAGGCATACGAGGAGTATGAATTGCTATGCGTGGATTACCTGGTTCACTACAGCATACTACGCACATAATCTCAGACACAGGAAATTGCATCTAATATCAATTACATAGATTAGAAGTTCGGAGCTTTATCGAAATATAACAGAAAAAATTATTTTGCATTTTCTATTTAACTTACAACTGTTGTTGCTCCGTCCGAATTTAAAATGGTTACGATTCCAGAATCTAAAGAACCACTGTCGCTACTTATCCATTCTAATTCGATAATGCAATCCTCATATGAAGTACTGCCTTTAAGTTTACATTTTGCGTCCCCATTTTTTACCCAAGACGATCTGTAAAATTATTATAAATAAAACGATCTCCAACAATTTAGTTAGATATAAATAACTTTATATAATTTGATCATAATATAACTTGTAATTTCAATTTTGTATACTTATCAAGGCCTTACTTCTCAACTACTTTTTCGTATATCGATGGATCGTACTGTACTTTTTGTAATCTCTTCTTCAGTTCTTCTAAAATATATATTCTCCATGCCTCTGCTATATCTCCGTGACCTGTACCATTTGTATCTGCAATCCTACAAGTTTAAATCAAATATTTCAGTAATTATATTTTGTTATAAAATAATTTGATGATTCATAGTGTCTGGTACTACCATTTTGGAAGATTAGACGTATCAACAAAACACGCTCCAGCTTCTACTTTATACCAAGAAGTATCACATTCAGCCCAATACATTGCTCCAGAACTTTCGTCTTCTCCATAAACACCAGAATCGCTAGTCAAATCGGGATCGAAAATACTTCCATCTGTTTCTGGATGAGCTTCGATACCTACCATGGAGCCAACTGAATGAACAGGGCTCCATGCAGCTGGATTGATCTACATTATTTTAATTTCAAACTTTAATTTAAAAAAAAATGATTATGCACAAAGGCAATGTGTATAATAATTTACTAACTTTGACAACATTGCTCATTCCTTTTCCAGAAACTACTATAGATTCTCCAGTTTTGGTCAATGACTCATTTGATATAGTTATATTCGCAACACTGGCTTCCGTTAAATCATCCATATCTAATGAATTCGCCGATCTACAATTTTATCGATTAACAAAAACAATAATATTACTTGATATTAATGTTTACCTTTTTTTGCCTTCATTTAGATATATATCTTGAAAAGAAGTTTGCTGTGGATTTTTAACAGAACTACTATCATTTGCACGTTGCCATAATTTCAAAGATGTTGGTGTTGGTGCAGAACGAGATTGTTCTTCCCACTCTCTAATCAGTGTAGTACCCTCGCTGGTACTATGTGGTCGATTCTATAAATGAGTATTATTTTTTAATTACTAAATGATATATTTGATTATCTACTATACTTAAAATTCATGTAAAGTAAATACCAATGAGCCCCAACTTTGATGTCTCTGTTGTTGAGGTGTACCACACATACTATGTCTATTACTTGATGACAAACTGGCATTGCTACTTGCACGACTGAGCTGAAGAGGTGCATTTATTAATCTCCACTTTTTACCCGTTAATTCCGACTGTGTAATACCGGAACGATAATATAAGCATCTATCTTCATGACCAATAGCCCAAACCTTTAAGAATATTAAATAAGCGAACATATATAAAAATTTTATCTTTTCGTTATAAATCGAATTACCTGATCATTCGGAGCGACAGATACTAGTGACATTTTACTTAACATTTCCACCCAACCAGTACCAACAGCCATTTGCTCACATACTCCACTCATTTCTCCTTTGATACCTTTTCTAAACCATACGTTCCCATCTTGAGTTATAGCCCATACAGCGTCTGCACCTACACTAACTTGTATTAATTTTAAATCTTTTTGAGGAGGACCTACTTCTACCCAATCCTCTCCTATAAAATAACATTACGCTCATCAGCATCAAATATCTCAACCAAATATTATTGTAATAATGTAATAATAGTTACAAACCCATTGGATTTTCTCTAGTAACGCCTGTGCGTACGATTGCTTTACCAACCATCAATACAGCCCACACAAGACCAGTTATTCCAACACTGATTTGGCACACCTCGTATCCATTTCCTAATTTTATAGTACTCCATCTTTGTCCTTCAGGACATGTTGTACTAGTGCCAACACGAAACATCACCTATATATAAATCATTGTTAAATTGTTATAAAATACATTACAATTAGTTATAACAAGAAATAGAATCAGAAATACAAAATTTATTGTTACAAATTATTCGATAAATTATTATTATTATTCACTGAATAATTCGAAAGATTGTTTTAGATATTATACCCTTCCATGAGCAGTTACTGCCCAGACAACTAGACATCCAGGATTACCTCCAGGTATCTGATTTCCACCCACCGATATGTCAATAAATGGTTCCTAAAAATATGTTATATCATTTTATATGCAAGTTCTTCAATATTACTATAATGTAAGAATTTAAACATCTTACTTTGGTTGCATCTTTATGAAGAGGTGCAATAGCACACCATGAATTCATAGCACTGTATCTTCTATAACGAACCCACTTCCTTCTTCTAACACAAGATTTCCATTGCTTTTTTGTTGTAAATATAGCTGGAAAATCAACTGCATATGTCCATCCCTACCAAAATATCAGATTCTCTGTGATCATAACACTTTGTTTCGATGTTGACAATTCACAACAAATCTACATATAAACAGAAAGTCACAAGAAATATGACAACAGAGGTAACTGAAAAACGAATTACTCCATTATTAACTCATTGATCACTATACTCAGATTGTTAACAAATAAATTAGAATTTGACATGATTTAATTCATATTTCAAATGAATATGATCGCGTTATCAATGTAAAAATTAAATTAACAAAATAAAATAAATTAAAAATAAATGTTATCATATTTACATCATGATCTAGTGGTTGGCCATCTAATGTAGTTTCTATTTGCCAATCACCTTCCCATTGCCAAGCCATGGATGGTAATTTTACTTTATCTCTGCTACGGTCAACTGTACCATCTTGGTTAGAAAAATTATACCTATCTGTAGGTAATAATCTTCCGCTAAATCCCTCTAGAGGAAGCCAACGCTACACATATTACATTCTATTAGTTTGTTAAAAATTACATATTATTATACAATACCAAACATTTTAAACATACTTCATTCTCATATATTTCTTCCTTAATTCTTATAGGTACATCTAAGCCATGTACATGTACATAAACTTGACGATCACCACCTATAGCCCACATAAAATGTGGCACTGCTGATAATTGCTTAAATTCAAGACCCAAATACATGAATTCTCTCCACATAGTCCCAGACGTTGACAATCCAAACACACGTCCCTCATTATTTATGGCATACAAGTATGAGCTTGGCATTTTAATAACAAAACTTCTTGATTCTTCTATGAAGCAATATCTGATTTACTAATAGAACGTTCCCATCAATATTATTAGATCACTGTGTAAATAAGTAATAAGATAACAATAATCTTTACAAGAGTGATTCATAATTGATAATATATGAGTGTATAGATAATACCTTCGTATGTTTAAAATCAAACACAAATGATTCTCTTTGCACTGCAGACGATATTATAATAAATAACAGATACAGTTTTTTTTTCTCTGCATAAATACAATAAGATAAAACAATAACCAAAAATGATTTTGGTTATATGAAGTATTTATATTCTACATTTTCCATCATTGACATTATACGTCACATCCAATAGATTGGAATATAAAAACAACTAAGTTTTATCTTACTTCGATACGAAGATTTAAATTAATAAATTATTAATCAAAAAATAAAGACATTTTTATACATTATATATATATATATATATATATATGTGTGTGTATATACATAGAATAACACACCAGCCACCTGTCATTTACTATCCCTACCGATTACAAGTTGTGAGTGAAGTTGCCAACAAACTCGTCACATTAAGGGAATTTCTATTAAAAAAAATTGAACCACCAGGCGCAACTTTTCCTCCTTTTTTTATATGAAGATTTCTTTGCACATCATAAAATCCTATCGATGTTCATAGATATTTGATATTCAAACTACTATTGTTTGATTATTTTTTAACCGAAGGTATTCTCATGTTTCAAAAATTAAACAAATTATAAATATGTGAAATTGAATAAATTGAGAATAGTTCGATTTCGTGACATTGGCTTGTGAACGTAACTTGTTAAATTTAAAATTTAGTGTGTTGACATTTTGTAGAGTCACATCTATGCAACAAACTTGTTCATTGATTTCTATGAAACTACCCACAAAGCCCAATGTAATGTAAGCACGATATAAATTCTAAGCATTCGATTGCACGTGTTACTATATAACTTTGGAACGAGGAAATTTGGTTAGCTTGAAACACCGAATTTGCACAACGTGTAGATTTATTTTTTATTATTTTTTTCAATTACGTTCCGTAGATTTGTCTTCATTTATATTTCATAAAGATAGTCTTTGATTATTTTTGAAGCAAAAGTATACAAGATGGTTGTTTTCACTTGCAATAACTGCGGTGAAACGCTGCAAAAACCAAAGGTTGCGAAGCATTACGAATTTCAGTGCCGTTCCGCGCCTTTTTTAACATGTGTCGATTGTTTCAAAGATTTTCGGTAAGTAACTCAGTCGAAATAGAATTTCTTCGTTGTATTTCCTTCCGTAAGATCTATTTATTTGTTATTCCAAGAGGTGAGGAGTATGTGGTGCATACGAAGTGTAAAAGCGAGGCTGAGAGATATGGGGGCAAGGACTATGTTCCAAAGGCTAATGCAAATAAAGGTGAAAAAAAGCAAAAACAATGGATCGATATAGTAAATAATTTACTAAATAGTGGGACAAATTTCTCAATTGCGGAACGAAACTTCCTAAATATCTTATCAAAGTATGATAACATTCCACGCAAGAAAATCAAATTTTTAAACTTTGTGAAGAATGCAATAGGCAATAAAGTAAATGGACAGGTTGTTAATACTGTGTGGGATAAAATGGAAACGGCTTTTAAGAACAGCATGCCAAGTACTAATACACAGGATGAAAAGCAACAGGAAAATGGTAAGTTCTCAGTAGTTATTTTAATGTTGATTTAACTATAATTATAAACTCATAGGAAATATTGTATGTGCTTAATACATAGGTAAAGGAAATGAAAAGGTAAATAATGCAGACAATGTGAATACACACCAGGAAAACAATGTAATTGAAAACCAAAATAATGAAAATATATCTAGAGAAAATAGAAATGAAGATCATCTAAACAAAAGTAAAGTAAATGATACAGAAAATGGCTGTAATGATGCAATCAATAAGATTAAAAAGAAGAAATCGAAAAAGAGGACAGTGTCTGAGACAGTCCAGGAACAAGTGGAAGAACCTGTTATCAAAAAAAGAAGAAGTAGTGTAGAAGTTACGCAAGATGGTGTAAAAGCTACGCAAGATCAAATTTCAAAGAAGAAAAATAAAAATGTTACAAATGTACCTGTGAAGAAAAATGAAAATACTTCATTTTCTGAAACATCGGTCAATCAATGTGACAATACCAGAGAAAAATCAACTTTCAATTGGAAACATACTATTTTAGATATAGTGAAGAGTAAAGGAGAAATCTCCTTAAAGAAATTGCAAAAAAAAGCAATTTCACAGTATATGAATTCATGTTCAAATACCATATTGCAAGAGAAAGCATCTAGTAAATTCAATAAAAAATTAAAGAAAATATCAGAAATAACTATTTCTGATGAAAGAGTAACATTAGCTTAAATTAATTGAGTGTGTGTTATTTTTATTACAAATTTCAATGCTTTTTTTTATCATAAATTAATTTATGATATCTAATATACAACATCGTTGTACATTAAGAAAGACTTACTTTTACACGTGCAAAGAAATCGATTTTACAGAATACTATTGTATAAGATCATTGTAGAAAAACATTTATTGTTTCTTTTTTTTAATAAAATAAACAGATAAAACTTGTAGTATCACAGAATTTATCTAAAATTAATCTACTGATGAACGCGTATAAGATATATAAATGACAACAATAAATTGTACAATATCGGTTTCTTACAGTAAACATTTATGTAAAATTATGTAAAATAATTACATAAAATTATTGATATATAGAACATGTTCACTCTGAAACAACGTCATATATGAACTTTTAAATAAATATTTTGAAATTAAATATTTGTTTTGTTGGATTAGATTCTATCAAGTCTTTAACATATTTATGATCTTTACAGAAGAGTCTTTAGCGGGAAGAATATATTGAAATACCACTTGAAAGTGGATAATAAAATTTGAAGCTTTAGTATTTCCATTAAACATTTGAAAACTTATCTAAATACCAAGCGTGATTACTCATGGTAGCTAAAAGGCCCCATTGAAGTACTTTGGAATCACTTGGACTAAAACTTAATAATTGTTGGTCAAACAACTGAGTAACTGTTCCACCAAGAGCAGTAAGAATTGCAGTTCCTGCACAAATGTCCCACTTTTTTATTGCAGTCATATGGACATACGCCGTTGCATTTCCACTTACAACCTCTAAGAATTTGTAACCTAAGTATAGGCAATGTAATAAATTTATTGATTCATAAAAGAAAAAGATTAGACTAAATGAAACTAAAAGAATTACCTGCACCAGCTGCTGAAATAATGTTCACATCTTTACCAAATGCAATCTTGGCAACATTGTAAATTTGGCCTGCATGTGATTGTGATATAATCAGTATTGGCGTTTTTTCATCTTCTAACTAATTTAAAAAGAAAGATTTTGTAGAACACATCTTTTACTACATTTTTAATGCATGTTACCTTATGCAATATTTGTAAATTTTTTGAAATTGCATGATTGGTCCATGACCAAAACAGGCTAGAATTTTGTTTTGTTTCAAATGGTTTATATATAACACCCATTACAGGTTTTCCTTTAACAGCAACACAAACCATAGTCGTAATATATTGCAGTAAATTCTCTGAAAGGAAAATGATTTATTGAAATAGATTAGAAAAAATTAATAAAACAGATTATAAAGAGAGTATGATAGATAAAAAGATATAATTTGAAAAACCTGTAAATTCTTTTGTTGCATCTAAAGGATCAATCCACACAGTAATATCATCTGTATTGATAATTTCGTCCTTAATGTCATAATCATTTAAGATGTTAATATTATCTTTTATATTTGACATTACAACTTTATCACAATTTTTTGATGTTTCCTCTGATATTACTGTTATACTTGGAAATACTTCTAACAAGGAATGATACATTGCACAATGTGATCTATAGTCTGCCTCCGTTACTAAATCATTTAATCCTATCAGAATAAAAAATGGCACAAAGTCACTTATGCGATTATGTACATATAATATGTGTTTGTAATACGCATTTTCTAGATTTATAATATCATGTATTATCCATGTATGAAATAGTATAAATACTTAATTACCCTCTTTTGTTTTTCCTTTGCTTTCTATTTCAAATTTTGCTTGATTGTGAACTGCTATCACTTCAGAACCACCAATTTCTGCTGCTGTTATAGCAGCAGCAAGAAGCAACTTTAAAGAAATGTTCTTATCCCGTACACTTGTATATAAGAACCGATTTGTATACAAGTACAACAGACTTAATGATATAATGACACCACAAATGATGGTTTTCCTCGTTCGAATATTCATTCTGATATGTATAATATGATTAAATCCTCGCATTAAATTAACATGCACGCGTGACTTCGACTTATTTAATACATTGAGACATTTTAATTATCTCGTACGCGGCCATTTTTAATTCATTTGAAATCTCCAATAACATTGGATCTTTACATTCTATATGCAAGATCGACACGAGACCTGAAAGTTATATGTGTGTATATTTTAACATTTTGTAACATGCGTATTTCGTACATATTGATCGAAATTTCGTCCAATTATTGTAATAAGTTAATCCAAATAAAAGAAGAACTAATCAATTTTTTTTAAACATACTTTGTGATAACTTCATTTTAGTAAGGTTATGTTAAATTGTAAATTTGATTTAATCTGTTAGCATAGTTCAATTTGAATGGATAAATTCAAATTCTCTAAGTTTTGTATTAAATTACAAAAAAACAACGACAATTAAGTTATGATGGATGTATTATTGAATTAAATCATTTATTTTGAAATGAATCATGTTTTTATTTGTCAAATACAAACTTTGTATTGTATATGTTACTTTAATCTTACATTACAAGATATTATTCAGGTCTCTGTGTAATTGAAGCATTTCTAATAAATATCAGTAACAACAAATCTTTTCACATTATTCTATAAAAGGATGAGTTTTATTGATCAATAATAATACATGTCAGAATTCTAATGACATTATGTGCAACTTAGCATATTCCAGTTTAAAAAATAGTGAACAGCATTCTGATTGCCTCCAGAAACATAGAATTAAGTAATATTGTACATTCAGATATATATTTATGCTTATAGTTAATTTAGATTGCACACCGCAATATTCAGTTAAAGTAATTGCTTACATTTTTTTTTGTCTAAACTGATATAGTGAGATATGAATACATAAATAAACAAGATAACAAGCATAATCTATATTTTTAAGAATACTATTTTAATAATGATTATTGTAATATATTAATTTGATACCATTCTATAGTGCATTTTCTACACAAATAATGAAACACTTTCATTGCTTGTTAGTATTATGCACTCTCCTTGGCTGCATTTTTTGCATTTTGTAATTTATGCTTTTTCTATTCAACTGTGGGATAATATGTATCATTTATAATAACATCATAATAATTTATAACTTGATAACTCACGCATTTTACATCACTCCTTTATTATAATAATAAGTAATATGCAGCCTTTGTTTTTTCTTTTTTTTTTCCTTTTTTGTTCTCTAACTTATGCATCTAATTCTTTAAATACGTGATAAAATTACTTCAGCAATTTTGTCTATGAAACTTTAATAATAATTTTAAGACACAAAAAATGTTATTCCACTTGGTCCAGCATTAACTGCATATTGACAAGTTGTTAATAACTTTTGCAGTTGCTGTTACACATTGTCATCTGTACAAAATATAATAGAAAATGCTGCATAATTTTCATAATAGATATTTGTTAAATAAACAAAAAATCTTGTTATTACATGTTATAAAAAAAATTCTGAATATAGAACTTACAATCATAATGTATCAATTTTATATGTTTATATGTATATACTTACCATGATACCACCACTTTGTCTTCTTTGGATTTTTACTGCATGTTTTAACATAAAAGGAATTATCAGGTGGCCTTTTCTGCAGTAAAAAATTACTTTTAAGCATATTTTTATTAGGTCCATGCAAAAAAACTTTCTCTCTTACCTTTTCTTTACAACTGCTCAACATTGATACAATACTTAAACAAATGCTTTGTACACTCAAAGCAGGAGACCAATCTTCTGTTAAAATGGATAAACAGATATGCCCATTGCTATAAATATGTGGATGTATTGGTATATTTCCACCTATGAAAGTCACTTCCGGTGAATCAAAAGGATATTTGGAGCTGAATCTAAATTGCAATTGAAATTGTTCGCCTTCGTACAAGGTGCCTTTTGCACCTTCCATGTGAACAATCCATTGCGTTAAATTTTGACTAGTAAGATCTTCATCGACATGTACACCTGGCGGAGGTTCACGTATTAAAGATGTTAACTCCTTCTGTAGCCTTCGCTGAAATGAAATTTTTTATATATAACAGAACTATCTAAGGTTCTTACTACTTAAAGTCTAATCATACATTAAAATTGTATAAACTGTTTGCTTGAATATAAAAACTTTATACACTCAAACATTCAAAAAGGTTGAATAATAACTTAATGTGTCAATATTATTAGTGTGTAATAATATCTTAAAAATGAAATATAGTTTTCTGATTGTACAAAAGATATCTATTCTAATTCAAAAACATATAATGTACACGAGACGAATCGCCACACAATACAATTGATCGAACGCAAAATAAAAATTGGTTTATCGTCACGCATAATGAATTGTCTTTCAAAGAGGCAATTGCAATATCAGGTCCTCATTTATTCGTTACTTTTCAAAAAGAACTAGCTATCAAAAAATAACTCTCGATGGAGATAGAACAGTGAGATGCAACGCGTCCAATTTGACATGAAACGTCATCCGAATGTCGATGAATAATACGCGAGCGTATTTCCCTTTTAACGAAGGCCACGTTTCTCTAACTTTTCAAAAACACGTCAAGCTTTGAACAACCTATCCAAACGTTCATCAAAATGTAAAGATGCGCCGAACTTCGACATATATCAAAAGAAATTTTCCCACTAACTTACCTTCGACGGGGACATTGCCGCCATTGTCGATTTATCGCTCATTGCAACATAACGCGAATTACTTTGCTCTGCTTGCTCCTCTCGCTTAAGAATATAAAGTTGCCACGGTCAGGGCGCTTTGCATTTTTTTTTTTTTTTTTTGCTTTTATTTCTCTCCTTTTTCTTTCTTTTCCTTTAAATTTCGCGTTACGCAGTCGTGCGTTGAAAAAAGAGCGGTAGCACGACAGTCAGAAAACGCGTAGTGGGGACCAACGTAAATCAGTTGAATTTGACAGCCATTCCCAGGTACTAAGGCGAGTACGTAATAAACTACTGTCACTGTATTACAACGGGTGATAAATATTTGAAGTGAATGAAACGCAACAATTTTGCGACTGTCAACATCAAGTGAATCAAAATAAATAATTGTTGTCACTTCAGATCTGATGAATTTTCAGACGAATGATTATTTATGTAAAAAGAACTGTGATTACGTGTGGATATGTATATTAAATTGTACAAATTGTAATGTACGTTAATTTCTGACCCCCTTTGATTCCGATTCTTTTGATTTAAGTTCATTTAAAAAAAAAAAAAGAAAAAATGAAATAACTACACGAGGCAATCTGTATATAGTTGTTAATTCTTTTTTTTCTTTTTGTTTTGTTCTAAGTTCAAGTCACAACTATTGCAATTCTGGTTGATATTGGTCGTCGTTTAAACAACCAATAAAAAATCGTTTATACATGTATATTACGAATATAATATTTTATTTGTATGATTAACATGGCAGAAATTATCATGAACAAATTGTTTAAAATCGTTGCAAATGAAATATACATGTGGTTTATTATATCATTAATTTTATGAACAATCTGCAATTACATTGTAGGCTGCCTAAAATGGTAAAATTCACTGGTTAAATCATTTCAGTTACAATACAGTAGTTTTTAAGGACCTGCTTGTACCTATATTTATAGGTAATTATATTTAAATTTCTATAAGTTAAATGTATGAATAATCAGTCTTATTGTTTGTGCAACATTCTTACATTCTTGTAAAATAGTTTATTATAAAGACAAATTTTCTGTTTCAGTGTCGATGTAAGCAAAAGATAAATTATTGATGACTTCAGCAGAATATTTTATTAGCTTAATTACTGTAGCAAGTGCTAAAAAGCTAGCTACCGCACTTGTCTTATGTTTTATTCTGTATCATGGATTGATGCACCTTATATATGGTAAGTATTTTTAAACTTTTCCATGTAATAGCATTTTATTGTAGTACATTTTGTTATATTACTTTGCATTAAAAGTATAAATCGTATATATATGTTATTCAGGTAGCGATTCTTGTAAGTGGTTACTAACAGAAGGAAGATATAAAGGAGACAAAGAATGGCAACCTTATGGCTGTATGATGCATTATTATACACAAACGTAAAAATCTAAGCCATTCTAATATTGTTACAAATGTGTAAAAAATACTTTTTAAAAATATCATTTTCTACGTAGAGACAGCCGCAGATGTTTGAGATATCTAGCTTTCATGGGCCACCGTAATCATTTTGCATTTATCGGAGATGCTAGGATTAGACAGTTATATAAATCTTTTATATCACAATTTGTAATTGATGGAAAAGCATCAGATTTGACAGAATTACCAGAGAATTCTGACTTAAATTTTAATGATGCACAACTTAGATTAAATGTACAATTTCTATGGAGATCTCAATTAGATAATTCTATGATAGAAGATCTTAGGAACTGGATAGTAGTTATCTATTTTGAGTACAAAAACACACTTTAAATTAAAATATGGGATAATAATGATTTTTACTTTTCAGAAAACTGATGCACCTAGCTTAATTATTTCAGGTTGTGGAGCAAAAACAATTCTTGCTAATAATAATAGTGATGCTCAATTGTATTCTGAGTATAGTATGGGATTGGTAAGACTTGTACAACCAGTGGACTTTTTAGTTAAAAAAAATACAAAATATTTATGGATGCTTCAAGATCCAGTGTTAAAAGAAAGATTGCCAGCCCAATTATCAGGCATAGGTAACAGGCAGATTAATTTATGTAATAAAGCAGCAATAAAGGTAAACTTTATTTAAGAATTTTTTTTTGTACAATTATTTTAGAAGAGTTTGCTTACATATTTATCATATATAGATACTATCTCATAGTGAAGCTCACATATGGGAAAGCAGTAAACTTGTTGGTGCAGGTGTATTAGAGCAAAGTCCAGACGGATATTTAGCTAGTCCTTTATCTTTGAGACATAAGATTCAAATATTATTGAACACTTATTGCAACGATCATATGAATTTTGATGATGGTAGTTGTTGTAGTTACCCAGAACCAGCTACAACATTACAGCTATTAAGCTTATCTGCACTTGCTTTATGGTAATCTTTTATATGTGGCTGAATTTTCTGTTAAGTAAATAGTAAATAACAGTTCATTACAGTGTAGTAATTGGTGGTGGAATGTGGTTGTACAGAAAATTTTGTCATCGAACTGAAATTTCTTACTCGCGCCTTACTACTGTTGAAGTGAAGAATACTGAGGAAGCAAATAATTCTGAAATTAGACAAATTGAGCAATCAGAAGTACAAGATTTTTATACATTAATGACATCATTGGCTCTTTTATCGATCATCTTATATTATTTTTATTTATGTGATAGGTATATAAAAACTTTTTCCTTATATGATCATTTTGATAATCGTTATTAATAATGAATTTTCACTTGTATTTGTATTTAGAACAAATTTTTTTATGAAGGAGAATAAATACTATAGTGAATTTAGTTTTTGGTTACCTCTTGGCTACATATTGGCTCTTGGTTTATTTTTTACTGAGGATAGAGAAAGAGGTCCAAGAACTTTAAATCGAGAACAAACAGATGAGTGGAGAGGATTGATGCAAGCTGTAGTGTTGATCTATCATGTTACTGGGGCTAAAAACGTTTTGCCTATTTATATGTATCTAAGATTAATTAATTCTGCTTATTTATTTCTTTCTGGATATGGACATTTTTGTTATTTTTGGCAGACAGGTGATGTTTCTTTAGTGAGATTTGCACGAGTACGTATTATTAAAATATTAATCATCATATATATAAATTACGTGTTATACATCTATTTATTATTTTTCAGGTAATGTTTAGGCTAAATTTTCTAACAGTGTCTCTATGCCTTTGTATGAACAGGCCATACCAGTTTTACCATTTTGTTCCATTAGTTTCATTCTGGTTTTTAGTCATTTATTTCTTAGCCTGGTTACCACCGAGAATATATTCTGGCAATCTAAACGAATATGGACCAAGAGCTTTGTTATATCTCGCACTGAAACTTTTAGGTCTTGTATCAATGATTACAATATTGTATATGTCAGAGGTATTGATTTACAAGTTATTCACATCTAGAATATATACTGTAACAAAAATATACAATGTATGGTCACGTAATAGGTATTCTTCGAAAAAGTATTTGTAACAAGGCCATGGAAAGCATTATTTGTTACAACTGATGACGATATACGTGAATGGTGGTCACGTTGGAGAGTGGATAGATATAGTATAGCTTGGGGCGTAACTTTTGGGGCAGGTCTTGTAGCTTTGCAAAGAATAGATCACATTCCAGGAACTGCGTTATCATCTTTGCTAGCATTAATTTCTCTAACCGCTTATACTACTTTTACGATATTGTGTCATTCAGTATCCGAATGTGAAGAAATTCATTCATACGTTGCATTTATACCAGTAATTATCTGTGAATATAGTTTATTTTTAAATTTATTTTCGAACGATTAAATTTAAATGTAATTTCTTAATTACAGATTATAGGATACATAGCGCTTAGAAATGCATCATTAGCACTACGTGGTAAACATTCAGCTCTTTTGACTGGCTTAGGTCGCATTAGTTTAGAAACTCTAGTCGCACAAGGTCACATTTGGTTGGCAGCAGATTCACATGGTGTATTAGTTCTACTGCCTAGATTTCCAGTGTTAAATCTTTTAGTTACGTCATTCATCTTTATATGTGCAAGTCACGAAGTAAGTATTTTATTATTTTTATATTTATAATTCATTATGTTTAGATAAATTTGTAATGATGTTTGTAAAGTGTAAAATATGTTATAATAATATTTCATTTATTTTAACAGATACATAGATTAACTCAAGTATTAGCACCATATGCAGTACCAAATGATTGGAGACTGGTGGCTCGTAATTTGTTATTATTTATTGCAGTGCTTGTACCTATTGGTATTCATGATGGAATGTTTTGAAAAAGACTTCTATGATTAATAAAATTCACTGTAAAAAGCAGATTTCATGTACATGTAAATATAAAGTATAGTAAATGTATAAGTTTGTACAATTTTATCATAAAAGCTTTGTGAAACAAAGGAGAATGTTTAAGACGATTTATTCAGTTTTTTTTTACATTATTAATTTTTATACGAAAATAAATAAGTATATTTATGTTTCTAAAATGTTATTTATTATTTATCTATTTTTCTCTGTTCATTTAATTAAAGAACATGTACAGTTTATAAGTAGAAGTTAGGTTTTTGTTTTATTTCTAAAAAATAACATTACTATACAATTTACAAATTTATTTAGAATTTACCACAATTTAGCCTATCTAAAAGTTTATTGCCTATCTAAAAATTTACTATTTTTTTTAACTGTGTATTAAATTATCATGTTTCACATGACTAGTATACACATCATAGCCTAGAGATATAGTATTATCATAAAGAATTCTATATTTATTGGGCAGAAAATAGAAATTAAAAGTTTGGGCTGGTGGCCAAATAATCCATTCTGCTATGTATAATCTATGTGCTTTCTGAATAATTTCATTTTTCAATTCGGACCAATCACTTTTTTCTAAAATACCTAATGTCAAAAAGAACATTGCAATGCAAAGAGGGGAACAGACTAACTGATCTATAACAACTTTTTTCATAACAATGTTAATTGTACGACCTGGTAACTTATTATCTAAATATTTGTACCAGTAATGACATACTATACCAATGGTCATGCCAGATACTGCCATGTTCCTTGTTCTTTTAAAACTCCATTCATACCACTCGCCCTATAATAAAACCAACTACATTATATATCTCAATTCGATGATCGAAAACTAAGAAAAAATTTCACGTTGAAATAAATGTTTTATATGAATACCTTTAATATTTCATAATGTTGTTCTAGTACATCTCCAACAGCAGAAAGAGAAACAGATATTGTTACATTTGTATAAAATAAATATTTTGGGGAAAACAACTTTTCTTTAATTGCAGGTACTTTGTTCAAAGCTAAACTTAGACTTCTAACAATGTTCATAATCTAAAAAAAGAACAAAATAACATTTCCAATAACTATGATTTTAAGGTTAAATCAGATTGAATAAGGTTAGTTTATAATCTGTTACATGAAGGAAGCTTCATTTAATTAAAACAAATATTATAAATTAATATATATATAATATATAATATATAATAATAAATAGATTTACAGTTAGAAATAAGTATTTAGCACAACATTTAACTTCAACATTTCTATTAACATTTGCAAAATAGTTTTATCACTTCGCATGTGTTTTTACAAAATTATTACAAATTGAATTGAACGTTCTAATGCGAAAATTTCATTTTAATCCGTACACGCGGCATATACTTTAGAATTGCTTTTGAATGCGACGTACACTGCAAATTTAGATCTTGTTCTATTTAGATATAAAATATTTAAAAATTTAAATGCCGCGTTCATTGAGACATACACGTGCACATATAATTTAAAGTGCTGCGTATGTACATGTATAAATAACAAAGATTATATTTATTTTACAGATAAAAATATAAAAATGATTGTATATGAAGTGCCAGATTTACATCAGGCAGGAAAGAAAGCATGAGAGTATAATTGGTGAAAATAATTTTTTAATTCCAAGTTGTTGAAACAATGAAATATTTAGTTTTATTTTTGTTAAGTTATGCTTTACAATGCTTAAAATGTCTTATGTATTTTAAAAGTAAAAGTTTTGAGTGAGTAACAGATCAATTGATAAATGTCATTATCTGAAATTGTTAAGATATGCTTTACAATGCTTAAAATGTCTTATGTACTTTAAAAGTGAAAGTTTTGGGTGAGTAACAGATCAATAGATAAATGTCATTATCTGAAATTGTATTTGTTTACTAAACAATGATTCACTGTGGTTCTGAGTTATCATAGAAAGTACCTAGAAACTACTGTTTTCAGAGATTGTAATCATTATTATAATTATTTCAGTTATTTAATGTTTTAACAAATGAAACATTTTTTGGTTTTACAATCATGTTTAATAATTTTAAAGCATTGGTTTAATGCATTATATTATCGAGTTCAAAAAAATATGTACTTTGATGTATTCAAAGGAGTTAGTCATATTTTCACGTTACATATAAATATTTTTACATTAAATGTATTAATTATTGTATCAAATTAATTATGTCTTCATATTGTACATAAGCATTTTGCAAATATTTATATCTGATTGTTAGATTACGAGAAAAACAAATGTATACACGTACTTGAATGAGTTCGACGTTCAAATTTCGCGCGCTGATGGTAGAGATAACAGTCCGTCGTTTTGGCGCCTAAACTAATGAAAATAGCGGGAGTTTATGCGCGACTCGTCGCCCGCACAGTTAGTTGTGTCAGTTGGCCCGGGCACATCATACAAAAATTTTGAAAATCTTTAACGGATTTCTTCTAGTGTATACGTATATAAGGAATGTCTCAACCGTCAGTAACAGCGTATTTTAATACGCGTAAACGACAAGCAACTGACGATTTGCGAAGTAAAGCAAAAGTTTTGCTTCTTGATCAAGAGAGATCCAGATCAGTGAGTAACCAAATTCAATCGTCGACTGACGAGGATAATTCCGAGTTAGCTCCGATTCAAGAGGAGAAAACAATGAGCACGAGTCCGAAGGTTATTTTAGTTCATGCCAAGGAACCAGACGATGATCGTACGTCAAGGCCCAATACAGCTGTTCGGAACATCCAGTTTGATTCTCCTAAGTCTAGTGGCCAGAAAACGCCCAAGCACAGTGCTCGCGGACGAGCCACAGGTTCGCGAAAATTATCTGGCCACGAGGAGGGCCAGGCAGATATCAGGGAGAGTTTTCAGAAGATCGCCGACGATTCTGGCATTAAGAAGGTACTCTTTGAGAAGAAAGGTGCACTGAGTCCGAGGAAGAGACTTCCAGAAACACCTAAGAAGAACGATCATTCCACTGAGAACGATCAATCTACTGAGAACGATCAATCTACTGAGAACACAAGGAATACTTCAACCGACCAGTCATTGGTTAACTGTGTGACACCAAAAAAAGCTTCAACCATGGACAGATTGGCGAAGCAGGAGTTATCCTTGAATGATATAAGAAATAAAATGAAGAAATCTTCTAAACTTAAGGAGTTGAAAGCCTCTTTGACTCGTTTCAAGAATAAAGAGCAAAGGCTGGGACAGTCACTCAAACAGAACAATAAGAAACCACAAATACAGAAGTTCGAGAAGATCCAGCTTGAGATACCAGTTAGGTAGGACATTTATGAAACAAAATTATCTATTTTGTTAATTGTGTACTATTGTATCTACTAAACGTTTTTACGTAACATTTGCATTATTGTTGCTGTTGCAGTCCACAGAAAGCATACAAATCTCCTAGCAAAACAATATTAAGTCCTTTGAAAGACAAGCAACTGATGAACGTCAGCCCTCAACGTAGAATTTTATTCGATCCTAAAGAATCAACGCCAAGCCCTGTGAAAGGTAGCCCAACCAAAGCACCTGCTTATCAACAGTACTTATCAATTGCTGAAAGTGCCACTCCTATTTTACCATTGCCGTATCACTATAGATTTTTGGCAGAGGCGTTCAGATGCGTTGATACAGTACGTTATTTTTTATATAAAAATTTGCTTTGTATTGTATACTACATACTATATATTTAAAAACATATTACGTTGCTAATTTTACAGATTTCCGCAATGTTGTTCAATCGTAAAGAAACAATAACTTTCAAGAAGCTGAAACCTGCGGTTCAAGAGCTGTTGCGTAAAAATTTCACATTGGAGCATTTAGCACAGATCAGGACCATTTTTCCGGACGCGTACGTTTACAGTCAAGAAAAGCATCATACATTTGGTTCTTCGTCTAAGCAAGATAAATATGAGTTAATTCTAACACCAATTGTTGAAGAAAGAGATGGAAGAAATACCCCAGATGCAGATGATGTTTTGAAAACAGCATCAGAAGTCAGTATGGGACCGCGAGTATTGCTTGATAGACGAAGGAAATTTTACAATATCTTGCTTGGTACCTAGTTTAATATCAAATTTTTTGAGAAATTTTTTTTTTTTTTTATATCTTGATAAATCACCTTTTTATCTTTTTGAATGCAGATAAAGTAAAAGACGAACATGAAAAATTTTTGCTCAATTTGGAAACACCAATGCACGTTCCGAAAGAAAAAATTCTGCGTTGGCATCCTGAATTTGATATTGAAACTTGTAAATCAATTGAACAATCTGATTTGCCACGACCACCTAACACGGAAAGAATGACAAGTGCAAAAGATGTTCTTGGTAAAAAGAAAAGTGTATACTTCTTGATTTTCATGTATTTTAATTTTCCTACTAATCTCATCAACTGTTTTAGACAAAGCAAAATCTTTATTCAATTGTGGCACACGTATGGAAAAAGCGTTGCAACGATTGGCAGAAGCAAAGATGACGCTTTCTCCAAAGAAAAATGAAGTAAATACTACTACCCAAACTGATGTGCAAAAAGTTAATATTACTATCATAGATACTCCACCTATTACACCTACTGTACACAATAATTATCTTACTAGTGCACTAAAAGGCATACCAAAGACTCTTCTTGAAAAGGTAAATATTTCTATGTTTTATTATATCTTCATAAAAAAAAATGTTATATTAATGTTTCAAATTATACATTAGGTTCGTGCTAAACAAGCTGCTAAAGCGTTGGAAGCTATGACACGTTCACCAAATGCCGAAAAAGAAGCTATGATGTATTCAAGATTACCCGAATTGGTTAAAATTTTGCGTAACATTTTCGTAGCCGAGAAAAAGGGAGTTTTAACATTGGAATTTGTAATTACTAAATTGGAAAATTCCTTTAAAGCTAAATTAACTCCTGCTGAATTAGAGGAGCATCTACGTTTATTGTGTAAATTGCTACCTACGTGGACTAGTATACATAACGTGCGACAAATACATTATTTGAAATTGCAGAAAGAAATCGATCTTACGAAGGTAATAAAAAGATTAGAAATCATAGCTAATAACAAAGTAAAATCATCATGACATTTATGATGCAATGATTATTCCCTTTTCTTTTCTTGCTTCAAATTGAATTATATATATGCATTTAATTCTGATCAATTTTATTTTAAATAGTTTGATTGTGACTAAAAAAAAAAAGAAAGTAAATTAAGCTTTTTTCGATAAATATCTGATTTATTTTGTATTAAATATGAGTTAACTATTTGTTATACTTTATATAAATTCATAATATTTCTATAAAATGTATTATATAACGATAATACAATTTTTTATATAATAAGTATATGCAACATATTATTTTTTATCTTCACTTCAAAAGTTTACTGATTTAATTCTCTTTGCTATAAGTTCATACTAATATATATACAATATCATATTATGTTGTAATCAAATATTAAAATACTTTGTAAAAAAATTACTTGAGTTCTTATTTTTCTTTATATATATGAGTCACAGACAAGGAATGTCACCTACATAGATTGAAAAATACTTTAAGGAAAAAATTATTTAACCCTTTGCACTCCAAATTATTTTTCAATTAACTTTTTTTTTGATTGGTAATTTAAAAATGTCGAATGTGATTTGATAGAGTGCAAAGGGTTAATGTATCTGTAGTTGATACATCGAATATGTACCATTATTTGTAAAATATGTTTTCAACATATTTAACCGATGGTAAAGTAGATTAAGTTCTATCAGGGATTTGGTGGATGCATCGACTAAGAATAGAACCTCTTAGTCAATGGTGCATGTTAACCTTTTTCGTTTTCTTGTTGCTTTATGCAAATACAAGAATATTACACGTTAAATCTTGTATACATATCTATATACATATATATACGTACAATTAAAAGTTATGTTTTTAACTAATGTATTGTGTAAAAAAGTTAAAAGCAAGTAAGTATACAAATCAAAATGTAATTTGACTCTAAGTAAGAGGTTAGGTTAATTTTGATATGAAGTACTTTTTCTAACATTTGTCTCCTTACTTTCGGTTAATAGTATTATAACAGTTTACCGTGAAGATCAAACTTCAGTGAAAATATTTCTTTGTACATGTATACATATTTATACACATTTATATTTACATAATGAGTGATCGAGTTGTAAATAAGGTTATTCAATTTCATGCAATTCGCTTTTAGACATATTTTGGTATTAGTAGAAAGTGTAGCCAGTGGTCATAAGCGTATTAAAATGCGAGAGAGGTTAGGAGATAAAATAGAAGAAGTGCAGTTTGATCCTTATGGTAAGTTTGTTCTGATATATAATTATTACATGAATTTAGTTCTTTCAGTCATTTACATTCCAATTTCTATTTAAAAATTCTTTATTTTTAGTTCGAGCAAATGTGATCTACCGAGAACTGAAGAAAGTTAAGAGTTTATAAAAATTAATTTAATAAACAATTTCTTCATGATAATTTGTATAAATATCGCTTATAAAACTAAAGTGCATAAACATCATTGCACAGAATGAATAAAATAATATTAAGTTAATAGAGAACTATTATGTTGTTTTCATTGAGTCAGCTTGTGAAAAATATAAAACTCGTGCTATATTAAGAGCCAGACTGATGAACGTCGGATTTCTCAGTTTCATTTGATAGATGTACAATTGATATTTGAGTTTCCAGAAACAGGTGCGTTAATTCCACAAATTTTCATTTATCGCAACTAATGAATTCCAAAGATAGATACTCTCTGTTTTTCAGTTCTTGTTTTTTAATTTTTAATCTATCAAATTAGCCAAAGTGGCGTTCAAATTCACATGCACAGTTGAGAGAGAGAGGAATTAATTGCCATACGAAAAATAAGATGTCATAGTAAGTAGTTTTGAATAGAGCGTATCGCTCGAGTTACTCTCTCAGAAAGAGCGAGAGAGAACAGACAGCGAGGCAGAAAATGGGGAGAGAGAAACGGACGATCACGAAATCGAGATTGGGGTAGGTTCCCTTTGATCCTTAACAAGGAACGCAAAGTTGTATTATTTCCACCTGGATTTCAAACGGTTTGAAATTCACGAGGCGTGAAACACGGCTCCATTCTCTTTCTCTGTTTCCGCCTGTCCCCCCTTTCCCCCAACTCGCGACCTCTTGCGCCCCCTCTTTCTTGTTCTTTGCTGCTTTTCGGCAGCGCGGGAGCAACTTCGGCGTCGTTCACTGATGTTGCCAATTCAATTTCACCCGGCGAACCATTGTCGTTGGTAGAGAAGAGGGTTGCAGCCGCGGAAAGGGTTCCCTTCTCGACTGACTCCTCTCTATCTTTCGCGATTGTGCATCCGACAGCTCCTGACATCTACGTACCCCGTGATCTTTCCTTTTATTTCGCCCGAAATTTTTCTTACTTCTTTCCCTTTGGTTCGACGTTCTAAAACCATTTGAACGAACGAATGTGAATTGTTTTTTTTTTTTTTATTATTCGCGAGTTACAACGATTGAGATTCGAACAGTTCTTAAGGTCTGTTTAAATTTTCAAATTTTTGGCGGCGAGCGAGTAACGGTCAACTCGGGATAATCAACGGGCACTAGATCGGTCACCCTGGTGAAAAAAATACCAGAGTCCGCGGGGGTATGAGGTAGTTAATTCGGGTGCAAAGCGGAGAGAAAAATCGGGAAACAAACGAACGGCTTTTTTTTCACCTCCTTCCTCCCGGCACAGTGAGTTTCGAAGCAGTGCGCAACAGCGAAATTGTTAAAACGTCCGTTGTTTCATGGTTGGCTCGGTAGAGCAGCCGGTAAAGGAGGAAACAGTACGCAACGAAAACCGTGGTCGGGAGAGGTGGAGTGGAGCGTGAGCAGAAAGAAGAAAGGGCGAGAAAAGCAAAACAGAAACGAAAGGAAAAAAGGAGAGAAAGAGAAAGAGAGAGAAAAGAGGCTCGTCTGGGCCTTGGCGCGTTTCAGTTGCCTCGCGTTCGAGGGCGTTTTTCGCCCCGTGAGTTGTTCTTTGCTTATTACAGTGTGTGCACTGGGCTCGAGCTCGCTAAAGTGGTTTGCTGCTAATTAACTGCGTTATTTTTACAACTCTCTCGCTCCCATCCCACCTCCCACGTCTCCTACCGCCCCCTTTCCCGCTCTCCTTCCCCCAACTGTTCTCCCACATTTGCAATGGGGTTCAATAATTCTGCGGCCGCAACGCCCTCTCTCTTTCTCTCTCTTACTCGCACCCTCTCATTCTATTTTCACGTTTCTTGTCATACGTTCTTCGTTTGCACGTTTTTTGGCCACACATTGGCGACTGATCGTCAAGAAAAATCACGTGCGTGTGCGTTATGATTGGAATTACGAAATCAGTCGAAATGACTAGTGCGTAGCCCCTTAATTTCTTTGTCACTGTATCACGAAGTCATCGTATTTATTATTACAATCTTAGGCTAATTTATGTGCTGAAAAATTTACCAAAAGAATTGGTACGAATATTAAGAAAAATCTGGTCAGATTATTTATGAGAGTACGTGGAATTATTTAATTATTGAATATTATTTTTGTATAAAAATATTTATCTCCGAGTGAAAAAAAAAAGATGTATTTACTTCCGTAATTGAAAGTTTTTCTATTTACTTGCTTATTCCCTTGAATTTCGCGGAATGTACGATTCCGTACGGAGTAAGAAATAAAACGTGCACGAGGATTTCTCGTAAAAAATGGTTCTTTCCGCGGACTTTTTTTTGCTCACACTTACCACTGCCTTGGTACTTGCGTCTGGTTTAAATTTACCGGCGTATTTTGTATATTTCGAGTGCGCGTTTGTAGAAAAATTAACGAGAATATCGGACGGTTTTTAAGTACTTCAGTTTGAAATGGTTTTCAAGCGCGCAGCTACTCCACCGTCATTTCGCAATATTATCAAAAAGCAAGTATCATTGACCGTTCGAAAAGTGATTAAAAATGAAATCGGCAAATGAAACCGTATGTCGCTTCGACATTTCGTGCAACGAAAGATTTTCAACTTCAAATCGCGTTGAGAAGAAGAAGAAGAAGAAAAGAAAAAGAGGAGATATTTCGAAATTTACGTTTTCACTGGAATAATATTCTGTTAATCATAAACTACCTTCTCTAAAATAAAGCAATTCCTTTTACACAAAAGCTACTCCATATTGTCTAAAAGATAATAAAAGTAGACAAAACAAAATTCACATGAAATTAATTAATACTGGAACCTACCTGGATCTCATAGAATATTTTCTCGGGATATTTTTAATATTATTAATTTTAATATTATAATCATTATATTATCATTATATATATATATATATATATATGTATATATAGTGCAAAATATTCTTTATAATATAATATTAGATAAATATTAATAATAATATTAATATTATAATATTATAATAATATTAAAATTAATAATTATTAATATTATAATAATATTAAAATTAATAATATTAAAAATATTATCCCAGTTCTATGAGATCCAGGTAGGTTACAGTATTAATTAATTATAATATAATTATTATATATATATATTAGGTAATACATTTATCATTACCTTATTATAGATAATTAAAATGATATAAATGACAATAGATCATTTTTGTTTCAGTGAAAACAGTTTCATTTCGATAGCTTATATATCTTCGGTAATTATAAAAATAAAAAGTCTAAAACCTGCTATTTTAGTAAGTCTAGTATTACTAACCATCTAGTAGCCAGTTAACGTATCGCAGATTACTTATTTTGAATCGTCGTTCGATTTTTCGATCGAGAGACGTACGAGACCATTGATGAATCATTTATAATGAGGAACACCAGCCAAACGTTGCCTGACGATATTCGAATCGAAATAACTTTAATACCTTAATATCACGTTCGTGAAACGACTATTGGTTACGGCTGCCGATGGAAGTGCTCGGAAGCAGAGAGAAGTCGAAGGTCGTTTGTATAGGTATCTCTCTGGCGGGGTAGTCGTGGCACCCTTCTTTTCTCCGCCACGAAAAGGCACTTGAAATAAATTGAAAATGGCTGGTATCGCCCCGCTCTCGGATAAGTGATACCTACATCACCTACACGCACATCGGTCACCACAGAATTCCACGGGTGTTCTTTCACGTATTCAATACGATCCATTCAAAAGCGGATCCGAATCCTCGCGAAAAAAGATGATCAATTAAAACCATGTTAAAACGTTATACTAATTCGCGTGCCTCGCCGAGCCACGGAAATTAAAAAGCTGAATATAAACGTACAAAAAAAAAAAAAAAAAAAAAGGCGGGAGGGAGGCGCCGAACACGACGTTAATCGAAATTTCACGAAGAGTTAACGAATTCAATATACTAGCTCTGTTTTACATTCTCTGTTCTATATACCCTGTTTTGCATTCTACTTTCTGATAGTATTGAAAGAAGCTAAAAATTGAACAACTGTACACATGGTGGTAATATTATATAGAAATGATTCTACATATGATTTACATGGATATCTAAAGTTTATGTGTTTCGAATACTGTAAATTGTAGTTGAGAGTCTATTTCGATGTTGCAATGAACATATTTTTTGCTTCTTTCAATTTACATTTTTCAAAATTGCCAGTTAACTTTTACTATGTAACGCCAGAAATATCATCAAACGTAGGAACGTGATGTCCTATAATTCTACTGGATGACTATGAATTATATAGTCGGGATAGTCGATCCAAGATTCACAATGTCTTTATAAAACGCTTATAGTTTTTTTTGCACACGACCGTGCGACGTTAAAACTCACAAAAGAGTCGAAAACAAAGCTTTCGTTTAGCAACCTGCGATTACCTACCTAAATCTACATTGAGCAATTGAAACAAGTTCGATACAACGGTTGAAAATTGATTGGCTAAAAAGCTTTCTTTCCGTCTTGTACACGGTGAAACAGGAATTTGAATATCACCGGTGCTTCTATTACGACGGATGGTCTGTCTCATTATTCGGTGAAATCGAGCTCGTCGAAAATTTATGTACCACCTCGCGCTCTCCCTCCCTCCCTCCCCCTCGTCTCTCCCCACACGACCGTAAAATCATTTCCAAAATTCGCGGTTTACCCGAGCACGGGCTAATTTTCAGCGTACACGCGTGTACCAAGCTACACGATGACACACATACACATACACACACAGGGCGTGCAAAACGTTTATGAGACTAAACGCGAAACGCGAACTGGCGTACGGTGGCGCGCGCGCGCGTGCACGTTCACGCAGGGGCACACGCACGTAGAAAGAAGCACGTGTGACGGCACACGAACGCGAAGGTGTATTGAATCGACGAGTATCATGCAGTTGACAGCTAGAGCTAATTGAATCTTGACTCTATCTATCTGTCGAATCGAGCTGAGACTCGACCGCCCCGGCGCCGCAGCGAATTGCATTTCCGTTCGACAGAATCGTTCGCGCTCGAGAATTCTATCTTCTCCCTTAATCCCTCTTGGTTTTTGCCGTGTGGAATTAGAATAGGAGATCCATCCGATTACGAAACTGTAAAAGACTGTTGCCCGCGTTGTTCGTCACTCCCACTGTTCACGCCACTTTTTTTTTTCCCATTCTCGTTCGTTACATTTCTTTTTTCTTCTTTTTCTTTTCTTTTTTTTTGAAAACCTGGAAGAAGCAAATTTTAATATAAGTTGATGGTGAATTCTGGCGAGTTCTGGCATTAAATTCGCGTAATCATTTAACGAAGAGAAAGTTGTTTCATTCTCAAAGATATTAATTTCAGGAAATACAAATTACACCGTATTATGTGAGAGACTGAATATTTTTCACGAGGGAGAAGTATGAAGGGAATTTCGACGCTATGCAACGAAATTGTTAACGTTCAATCTTTTTCAACGTCTTCCATTTTTGCAAAATTAACGAAAACGTTGAAACGATATATTTCGTTTTCGTTTTCTTTTTTCTTTTCCCCCCTATTTATCGAAATACGATACAGGATGTTATAAAGAACCGCAAAGGCACAATCGTTCAGAGGGAATTTCTTTTTTTTATTGGGAACGAAAATTTCTCTTCACCATAAATTCAATGGAAAGGTTTCCGTGTACCAGACTATTCAATAAGGTAGCAGGTCAATGGAGATTCTCGATAAAATTTTAATTGGGAAAGAGTAAAATATACTTCGGCGAAAATGCAACACAATGGTTGTAGATCAAAGGTGTGCAAACATTTTTTTTTGCAATTTAATTACTAATTACTAACTTGTATTACCGATACAAGGAAAAATTAATATCATTTTCATGATATTATTAATTTTAATATAATTGATTTAAATTATATTAACTATATTTAAGTGTCATTTTTAATACAATGCCAGAATTTAAGTATAGAACTTACCTATTTGTATCAGAGAGATCATAGTGTAAAAATTGAAGAAAAGTTTATGATACAATAGCTTTGATTCATGTGTTTCACGAAAGATCGTTCAAATCCTTGAAAATGTATTGTTGCAAATCCATAAAACTTCTGTGGGATCATCTTCACGAGTTGATCATTTTGATTACTCTTTTTTACAGCAATTTTACTGTTAATCTTGCTACAGTTTATCCATCTTACCCATTTTAAAAATGCCTGTAAATAGGAATGAAAAATAACAATTTCGAATTACAAAAGTAGATAACTACCTGGAGAATATTTCAGAGTGAATTGAAACATTGTTACATTCTCATTGACTGTCTTGTAGTAACAAACAAAATTACCGCTATGTAGCAGCATAGTTGCAACAAAAAGAGTAATGAAAATGAATTCATCCAATTAGTCCTTTTTTCGTCCTTTGCATTCACATGGATTCGCGATCACCTAAAGTGAAAAAAAGTGTAAAGTAAAGTCGATTTGAGTAACCGGTCAGAAAAGAAACGGAGACGTTGACTTACCGAATGTAACCGTAACGATGACACGATATCGGTTTCATTTAACGGAACGACGTGTCTCGTAAACAGCGAGGGGTTGAGGCTCGTAATACCGATAAAGGCACAGAGAGCCCGGGAAAAGGAGGATAGATAGGGAGGGAGGAGGGCTCTGTTCCCCGTCTAGGATTCTATAATCCGTACGATCTTTATCGTTAAATTCTGTACTCGTGGACCGATGCCTCGATTGCGCAATCAAGATGGCATCGAGAAAGGCATCTCTCGCCTTCGACTCAAACTACCAACAAGTATTTCAATATCCGCTCCAATATATTCCCATCGACCCTATAAACGTGTGTGCAGTTATATTGGATTCCCTTCCTCCTTTCTTCGATCCTCCCTCCTCGTCGCTCTCGTTCTATCGCTTTTTCCGCTCTCGCTTCCTTCTGTGGTACGCGTGCACGTGTGTGCGTGTGCGTGTGTGTGATCAATTGGTTCACGATATCGCTACAGACACACACGCGGCGACATATGCGTGTATATCTTTTCTCGAAGAACGCGTTTGCCATGTAATCCTGTAAAAGATTCTTGGTCTCAATTATTTCAGTTGGAAGAATCAAGTTCAAGGGAGAGAGAGAGAGAGACGTGGGCCACTAACAGTCATTGTTATCATTGCCGGAGTTGTATTAGATAAAAATTACAGCCCTGAAGAAATTAGAAATTTCAAAAAAGAGCTCAACCGCAGGGTTGTTTCTTTGTTTTCTTTCTTTCCTTCTGATTTTAAAATCGACTTGCTTCAGCTTGATGCATCTTCTGCATTTTAACGTTTTAAATAACATATTAAGGTACTTTTCAAAACTTTTTCAGAAGAGACTATCAAGCGACAACTATGACAAGAATCTTTGGGTCGGTTTTTTCGAATCACTGGGACGTTCCAACGGTTGCCTAGAAGGAAACCATTAGCTCCAAATTTAAACGTCCATGATTCTTCGTCCATCTTCCGCTTGCATATCTCCACGACGCGGCGTGGCCAACGGCGATCAAATAGATTACGGAGCACAATGGCCGCGGATAATAATCTAGGAAATTCTTTCCGGATTAATTAGCCGCACGAAATTCCTAGATCACAAAGATATGCAGTAGGCCAATGGATATGAAATAATTTATCGTAGAGAGCCCGCCGTGTGGGCTCTGTCCACAACCACCTGGGCACACATTAAAATCCAGAGCGGTTCTCCCACCTCTCTCTCTCTCTCTCTCTCTCTCTCTCTCTCTCTCGCCTCTCCACTCGCGCCACTCGTCCTTTTCATCGTCGCTACCTCCCATCTCTGTCGCTTCTTTCATTCATTCTCTTTGTTGTCTCGTAATCTATATACGCGCGCGCGCACGGACCGCCGCTTATTATACTAATATGTCCGTCGTGCGTTCATCGCGGTGCATCGCCATCAAAGGGGTTTTTCTCGTCCGAGTCTAATTGTTCGGCCCCCGATCCCGGCCAAAGAAACCGAGTGATACGGTCGAGGCTGGTTTTTCACCTCGTTTCAACCGGTGGCCCGCGATCAAACGGACCCTCCTCTCCTTATCCGTGAATCTTTCCGCACGGTTCGCCGACTTTTCGGCCACCGAATCCTTCCCGGATACCTAAGGAAAACTTGGCGTATGCGCACCTCGGCGTATGCGTCCTGCTGGCTGGGAAATCCTTGGATCTCGGTATGGGAATCAAAATTGTAAATAGAGAAGGTGAATCTGTTGGTCGAATGGAAATACTCTTGAAGTTTTGTGTGAAATTTAGACCCAGCTCGACCGTTCCTTCTCTGAGAGTAACTGCAAAAGAATTCATCACACAGATCAATGGATTCGTGGTTGAAATTCAAATTTAGAAAGATTCAGAACGATGAAAATTAATCACCAGAGATAAGGCATACCTAATGACGAATAGTGTCATCTGTTTTTAGGTCAATAAACGAATCACTCTAAATTTCAGAAAAAAAAGAAAAAGGAGATGATAACACATTTCTTGAAAGGAACAATATTCTTGCAAGCTTCTTCTTAACCTTAAGAATAAAGGGAAAGTAAACACTTTCCCAATGAATCTACTAAACTGTGTTTAGCCTGCACGAAGAAAAAAGTAAAAAAGAAAAGAAGAAGGAGGGAAAGAAAGAAAATGGTAACGGATAATCAAAAGTGGAAGAAGTGCCCGAAGCGTGGCTTTGCACGATCCGCGGTTATCGAGCAGAATAGACGCGTTGTACTGGATCGGCCGCACAATGAGTCCAATCGGTGAAAGGGTTTTGCAATCGTACCCACATTTATACCGGGTATATCTGCAGGGGATACAGGTACGTTTTAGGCACGGTTCCTTTTATAAGTGCCATTATAAGTGCCATTTGAGCATGCCTACACCCGCTTTGTCCGCGAATTTCAAACTAGTCATTGTCCTCCCGTTGTTGTTTGAAAGAACACGGGATGACAACTGGCCGCGGTTAAAAAGCATCCCCTCTATCTTTCTTGAGGCAATAGGCGTCCTTTATTTTTTACCACATATTGATCATTTCTAGATAATTTAGGTAACTTGTCCAAAAATAGATCATGGTGAATTCTTCTTTTCTTTTTTACTTTTTTACAAATAGACTGTAATTTAAAGGATCTTTGATTTTTTAAAGAAGATATTACGGGACTACTGGATTATTAAGGAAATTTTTAAATTTACACTACCTATTTAGCTGATCGTCCGGAACTCTTCTGATGGATGGTACAATACGGTGTTTGCTATGATAACTCCATGATAGATTTTGTCGTACAAAATATGCTTTCATTGTCATGCCATAATAGGTCTCAAATAAATCCTCACAAATTATCGTCACAAGCGTCAAACATTTTATTTTAATGCGATAAAATGAAGATTTGAATTGTGCATTGATGCCTAAATTTAAAGATAAAAGCAAAAGATAAAGTCGTTTATACAGCTTGATAGAACGACAATATATAGATACATTTTACAAAATAATAAGTGTGAAATATGTATACCTGAGTCAGAATCGACATTTATTAGCCTTTGTCATCCGAGTTATTTACGATATTCTCTGCAAAGATTGATTGTTGAATTAATTCAAAATAAATGAAAAAAAATTGTCCAACAACACCTCAAAATAACCAGACCGTGCAGTCTCCTCGCATAATCGCTTAGCCACAAGAAAAGATCTTAACCGGGCCGATCCGATCGAATCTCTATCCCTTGAAATCTACCCCGAAGGTGAATCGTACTTTAACGAAAAATTGATTTAAAGAGTCTTCTCTTTTCTACACCGTGGAATCGTTCAACCGGCTTTCATTTCGTTTCGTTCGTCCGTATCCTTTCTCTGTCAATCACCGGCCGCGACTTCACAATGGCCACGGCGACACATTGTGTAATTTAAAATGAATGCTCCGCAGGCCTCTCGACAGGGGTATAATTGTTTCACGAGACAGGTCCACGGAGGTCTGGTATTAATGTAGGAAAACGGACTGGTGGTTTTCCAATGGAACAATGACTCTGTGTGTGCGTGTACCACGGTGGATATCTCGTTACACCGTAATCGAGGAATAATCGATCGCAAAGTTGTAGCACAAGGCAAATTGCTGGGCGTGGTGAGAACGATCCAGGAAACTCGAGAGGGCAAAAGACAAGGGCGCGTAGCACCAACGAGGAAATCCGAGATTTTTCTTCCTTTCCTCTTGCGCGAGCGGCCCCCTCCCCCTCCTCCACGTCCACGTCCGCCTTTCCACGATCCTCCTTTATTTTTCCTGGCCACGTAGAAAGCTTTTTATTCAGATCCCGCCGTGTTCACCCTCGATCGAGCCGGCGTGCGTGTGCTCGCCGAACCGGGAGGTAACAAAGATTCACTTCTCGTCTTTGAACTGGGTTAATTAGGGGACCCCCGAGAAATTTTGTTCCCGGCCATTCGAGGGACCTTGTTGCGGCTTCGCTAATGCGGAAACGCCGGTCAATGAAACCTATAACAATATATAATATGATATGACACGAGCTGAGATTGGCGAGTTGTAATAAATTAATTGTATTGATAATTTTAAGTTATGTTACCAACGTTATCTGTCTTCTACCACGGTAGATTTAATTTAATTTAATATAATTCAGAATTCTGTACACGGCAGCTGATAAATTGGATTTTCTTATCTGATTCATACTTTACATATATGTATGACGATGAGATGTGATAAATTAATCATGCAGATAATTTCAAGTTACCGGTATTGGCCAAGGTATTAGTAATTGATCGACTTTGTTCTTTTTCTTTTCCCTCCCGCTTGACCTTGATCTGAATCATTGAACATCAATGGTATCAGCTTGATTTTCATGCGACTCGTGTCGTCATCGACTGGAACAAAACGCGTGGGCAACCCCCGCTGACAGGATTTCCAACAGAATTCTAACAGACGTGCATCAGGAAAGATGCTTGATTTCCGTGGAAACGAATATCACGCTCGACGATTAGGGAGAAAGAGAGAGAGAGAGAGAGAGAGAGAGAGAGAGAGAGAAAGGGAAAAAAAGAGAAATACGAGTAACCAGTATCCTGGTCGATCACGGGATTCCGTCTCTCTCGTGTCTCTTTCCTTCTCGCAACAAGAGCGGTCCTCGATCATCCTCTACCTCTCGTCAATGCATCCGGGGACTTCCGCGATTTCTGAATAGAAATCTCCATGGTGGCTGACAATGCAATACGTGGACAATTGCATAGTCTAATGGATCTGCCTCACATCATCGTAACTTATACGTACGTGTCGTTCGTGAAAACGATATCGACAAACGTCCATTCCGCGTGTCTTCCTACCGTTCGCAAAAACGAGATCGACATTCTCTCCATGGTGGTCGTGTCTTCCCGCTGTCATCATACTACTCTCTACTGCGTCTCTCCCTCTTCTTCTTCCTTTGCCTCCATGGGTTTCGCGTGCGCGCGCGCGCGCGCCGAAAAACGAAAAAAGATTCGGCGAGCGTCGGGCCGACCGGTAAAAACGATTATATGTCGTGTCTGAGTACCCCTCGGTGCCCACCGTGTGCAAATGAAAATTATTCTGCGGTTTAGGCTGTCTGCTAATCAATCAATAACGATGCGTTCCCCATGCGCGAATGAATTAATTAGGTCGGCTCATTCTCGCATCTCTAATCCAACACGCGGGTTCGTGTGAAAATTTCTCGCATCGAGCTCCGATAGAAATCTCTTTTGAAGGAGCATAAATCCTTTTCGAAGATATTCTAAAAATGAAGAGTAATGTAGTGTTTGGCCATCAAGTACTTTTAATGTTAATGAATATAATACTTATTAGAATATATATTAGTGTTAATGAATATAATATAGAATATAATATAGAAATATAATATAGTAATATAATAGTAATAATAATAATATAATAGAAATATAATATAGAATAGAATATATTAATGTTAATGAATATAATACTTATTAGAATATATTAGAATGTATTATATATTATACTATAAATATGTATTAACACCTATAATATATAAATATATATTATACCATATATTATAATATAATCTATTATTAGTATAATATTACTTGGTATGTAGTGTTATAATATAATATTAAAATATAATACTTGCCCAAGAAGTAATTGCATTTCAAAGAAAAACTCTATATATGTATATATCTATATATGTATATATATTCTCTCTCTCTCTCTCTCTATATATATATATATATATATAATATATATATATATATATATTGTCTATTTTGTTCAATTTTTCCTTTTTCAATCAACTTCAAACGTTCTTATCTTTTTCGACAAAAGACAGTTCCAAGAACGATCTTCATCAGCAATGAAATTTAACAAATATGCATGTATGTTTACCTATAAAAAAGAAAAGGCAATTACTTTGTGACCAATCCAGAATTATAGATTATTAAAAATTAAATTTCGCTGGATTAATAAGACTTAGATCACGGAATAGAGTTAGATCGTTCGATCGTTCGATCCTTTAATGATGAATTATGTTATTAATGTCATGAATTTTAAAGTTAGTTTTTAAATGATGATGTCACGTCTAACTTACTACGATAATGGGTTGCAGGCACACAGGGGACGACAAGGATGATCTGTAAAATACTAAACTGATACGAAATTAATAAAACTTACAAACTATATTTGTACATGATACATGGCATTCGTAGAGAATAATAAAACTATAAAACAACTGAGCAACAGCGCTGAACAAGGGACAATTTGTTGCTACTTTCCATCATGTTGCTATTTCCATTATATTTGTTATTTTTTTGGTCCATTGCTCACCGCTGCAATTACACGTCCGCGTTCTCTTGCACATATCCGTCCTCTGTTCCCTTTCTTCTTCTTTTTTTTTTTAGCAACGAAAATCCTCAAGACATTTTGCGTCGCGTCTCTTTACTCTCTTTCAGTAGTGACAGAAGAAGACAAAAATAATAAAGAACAGAACGAGAAAGATAGAGAAAACGGCGGAGAGGGGAGAATGGGGAATCAAAGAAGAGCAAGAGAGGGAGGATCTTGGAAATCTTTTGGATTCGTGGCTGGATGCGAAGGAGGTACGCGGAGAGATGGTCCAGGCAGTTACGGGCATTATATACCTAACAGGAAGAGAGACAAAGCAAACAAAACACTGTCGGGGCGTCGCTCCGCAAACACACAGCGCCCTCGCGCGAACGGGAGGAGCGAGACGAAGAACTTAAAACTTGGAACAAAAGTCCTCACTTTTGTTCCCTGGAAAGTTTTTCGAATTATGGCCATAGCGAGGAGTGAAAGACGAGGAGGAAAGGAGGACGCCATCGAGAGAAGTCGCCTCTCCGGTGATTTATATATCTCGCCAAGGTTTCGGAATTATTAAACTTTCCAGGGTGCTAGAAGAAAGGAGGTGAAGGGAAACGACGGAGAGGAGTTCCTAAGAGAGAAACAGAGAGAGGGGAAGAGAGAGAGAGAGAGAGAGAGGACTTGTACTGTAATTAAGCCGTTTTCTAATGAAGATTGATCGGTCAATTAGCACCGTTGCCTCCCACCTTGTGGCTTGTCTCTTCCATTATTTACAGCGAACTGTTCTACTTAACACTCTGCCTATAGTTCCGTGTCCTCCATCATGTTAATGTTTTCGATGGATGTCTCTTCCTTCTCACAACAAAATCCCTGACGAGCAGGCAAGTTTTAATCATTTACCTATAGACAAAGAATACTATAACTATAACAATGTTTGTGCAACTGTGACGTATTATTTACCTGCGCCGTCAATATTTGCATCATCTTCTTCGCAACAGTTCTGCGGATTTCTATAGTCGCTGCGTTGATCGTCAGACAAGTTTTTAATTAAATTCTTGGCGTATCTTCTCGTTCGATCGGCTCAAGTTGAAGTTACAAAACGCCGGGCAAGGTGGAATGTTTTACCACCGTGGTAACGGTGGTCAGTATACCTACTTGGAGGCGAACCGTGAAACACTTCGATTATCCATTAACAAGCAATTAAACCGCTGGTAACGAGGTACAATTCAGGCTCGAGTTGAGTTATCCCTGGAAGAGATTAAAAGCTGCCACTTGTGAGTCTGGGCGAAACCACCCTTTTGCGTTTCTGTCGTTCAGCCTCTCTCTCTCGTTCATTTCCCTGACCCGTTATGCCCGTCTCTGTTCAGCTCCACCCCTCGATCGTCCTGGACACAATAGAGAGTGGGAAGCCTCTTTCTACGGATCACACAATGGATATAGTATATCAAACAAATTCGACCCCGCGAAATTATTGGCCAGGGTAATCCCACGGATACCAACCGTGGACGATAGTTCTCCCATCGACATCGGTACGTAACCCACAACCAGACACAAGGGCCTGGAAACCACAGTGAAAACTTACCCGTGAAATGCGGAGACGTATACGTCCAGCCCCCTCCCGCGCCATTAATATTCTTTCGACTCGGTCTCCTTCGCTACTGTCGTTGCACTTGAACACCACGGAGAGGAAGTTACATTTTTTTTTTAAATTTCTTTTAAGTACTTCATCGATCAGTCTCGTGTTAACAGAATTATTCTTCTGCCAGAGCTATCGGAACTAAATATGAAGTTTCTCGTTTCCCTCGGAATTTCCAAAATACTGCTCGTTGTGATATTAAAATATTGTTTACAGGCAGTTTTCACAAAACTTCGTTATTTATTTCTGCCCAGGAAGTCCAGATGTGATCTTCGATCGTCGAATCGGTGAACGTTGCAGTCAGCTCGAATGGGAATGAAATCGTAGGAAGTTAATTCACAAATTAATCCGTAATGTAATTTTCTAGAAAATAATGGGGACTCTTTAGTAAGAGGAATTGAAAAAAACGTCGAGGGAATATCGTCCGCGTTCGTTTAATATATTCCGCAATTTGATCGGATCATAACGCATCGATTGAAGCGCATCCTGATTTATGGCAAAGTACATAACAAAGATTTCGATGGCAAATCCAGAGGCGACACGTCCTTCATTCTGACAGGATTGAAAGCCGTAAAAATCCTTGTCGGACGAAAGGGTAGCCCGATCTAGGTACGCATGCGTTTGACAGAGTAGATATATTTCGATCATGGATTTTCGATAGGCCGCAAGGATTAGGGGCTACCCTCTGCTCTCGTGTGTTTGTTCGAAACAATGCTCGACTTAACTGATTGGCCGCTAGCTGGTTCCGCGTGTTGTATTCTTCGTTCACTATCGGATGAATAACAGAGTGACGACGTGGAGTGTGGCACACAACAGATTACCATAATAATCTCCGCTAACGAGTATTGTCTAGTTAATTGAAACGTTACAACTCCTCTCTGTTCGTATTTCAAATTTATTGGAATTTTTGTTCTTTCAGTTTGAGTTTTTTCATGCACGCACACCTACAAACCATAATGAATATTAATGAATATTAAGCGTACATATAGTTACTAAATATTTCTATTGATATTGCAGATAAATATCCTTTACAAAACGATAAATACAAATTATAGATTAACATGCAATAACGATTTAAATTATATTAATATGTTTATCTTGCGCACTACTAGATATAAAAATGTTTGTAAAGAATAGCCCAACGATTTTACTAAAACGTTCTAATTCCCTAAATGTTCTAGCTCATCTTCAGCGGCGTGAAATTAGAATCAAATTCCAATGACGATCAAGCGGCGGAGGGGGATGAAAAGAAGAAAAGAAAAGGAAAGACACTTGAGGCAGCAAATCAAGCAACCAATGAAAGAGAGGAAAGAGACAGAGCAAGGGGGAGTGGGCGTAGCTCGCGATAATTTGCATGGAAATTTTTATCGGCACGGCCGGGGAGGCAATATCCGGCAGACGCGTTTAAGATCCGAGTCCGGATAATAATAGCCACAGAAATGGGATCGTAATGCCCGAAATGGGTGACACGAGTAGGTACCCAAAGGTTGCCTATATACGCCTTACATTTTCCTACGTAGCTATCGCGGGCTAATGCGCGAAAAATGCAGCGTTTGGCGGGGTGCACCTACACACAGAGTCGTGCCTACGGCCACGCTCGGCGAGAAAAAGAAATGACATCGTCCTCCCTTGCCTCGCGTCGTTAAATTATATATAGTCTTTCTTTCGCCCTTGCTCGCTTGTTCTTTATCGTCGCCTTATGTTAATATTACTTCTATTCGACGCAGAACCCGTTGCGGAAGTACACGATCCTCCTTCGCTTTTTTTTTTTCTGACTGCTTAATATTCTCCGCTATGCTTAAACTACCCTCCATTTGCCGGGCTTCATTACATCCTGATGTTAATTCCCCTTTTCTCTCTCTTTTCATTTCCAGAGCGGAGGCGATGATCTTTTTTTCCGACAAGTACCTAAAATTTCGAAGTGATAAAGAGAGGAGGCTAGTAAAAAATGGCAATTGAATTTCGTTTAATACTTTTCTTATCTTACGCTTCTCTTTCTTTCGATCGTCGATTGTATAAATCCAAATCCACAAAAGTCATCCGAGCGTTCTCTATCTTCGAGCTGATCGATACATGGATCTGAAGAAGGGATCCATGGAGAAGGATCGACGAAGAAATGCTTAGGAAGGAGCATTATACGAGGGGCACGTAGCGGCAGGATCGGTTGCTCGATGGACTGGAAGCTGGCGGATCACTTCGAAATGCCGTCTTAAACCGAGCCAGGAAAGGCTGCAAGTACGTACTCGTGCACGGCCAGTGAGCACGTACACGTCGTATTACTGTGACCGAGTATCTAGCTTTCGTGGCTGCCTTCAGGAATCCTGCTGAGTTCTTGTTTTTCCTTTCATATAGGTATAAAAGAATATTTAAGAGACTTTACGCGGACTTTACGGGCAAGGAAAAAGGTAAAAAAGAAAGAAAGAAAGAACCGAAGAAAAAATTGGATCGTGTAAAACTACGCAGAAGAGAGGCAAAGAAAGAGAACGTTGAAATAGAAAAGAGACAAGAAGAAACAGAAGGAAAAATCGTGCTCGTACGTGCGCTCATACGCGTGTACGTTTGTAGATATGCTTGTCAGTTAAATGCGTGCATGTGTGCGTGCCCCGTGGCGTGCACCCCGCCGACAGGCCTCGTCGTTTTCGACGAGACCATCGAAAACAATCGGGACAATGGGTCTTCAAGCATTCTTATTTATTATACTTACATGGCACTGTACACTATACATGACGCGAGTGAATGGGAGAGAGACCGCGGTTAGACGAGATGTGGAACGCGCGTGTGCGTTTCGCTTAGGGGGGCCCCCACGAGTAAACGTGCGTGAAAGAACGCACGCGATTTTTTGAATCATGCAGCACCGGTAGCACAAGGGAGCAGGGCGGGGAGAGGCGTCCACGAAGAAAAGGTTAAAGAGAGTTGTTTTGTGAACGGTCAATTGACAGCGTTTCTCGATGTTAATGGTCGTCCGCCTTTAAATGGCATACCTTCCTTCCTACAATTCTTCACGCGCCACTCGGATGGCTCTTGCTAATTGTTGGAATTCGAATCTTACTGTCCGTTCTATATTTCCTGGTGTTGAATTGTAATATCACGTCAATACGCAAACAACTAAAAATAAAGGAAACGAAGTTTCTTAAGCTTTACGCTCTAGGTACTTAGTAATTTGAAGATAGTGCGGTGTAATAATCGGCTAATCCACTAACAAATATAAATTGACAAAAAATGTATTGCGACGGTACTTAAAATTTGAAAGTTTTTAGTTATGGCTCCTTTTAATTTTCAATTTTTTCGATTAACGCACTCTTTTTTTTTGTGAGAAACTTATTTTCAAAATGTTATTTCGTTATTCTTAATTCAGTCGATGACTTTATGAATTTAAAAGATGCAACATCGTTTCAAGATTATTAACAGATAGTAAAAAGTAATAATCATTGTTACATAAGAGTGCTTCGATTAATGTCAAGCATGGTTATGATCTATTAAATATTAATAGCTGTGCTTAATGAAATTTTTTTCTTAGATATACTGAGCTAGATTGTGTCCAACGAAATATTTGATTTGCAAGCTGATACTTTTTACTTTGTTCAGTGGATCATTAAAGTAGTATCATGGAAGGGGTAAAAGATAAAGGAGTTAATTCTGAGTTTACATGTATTACGCTGAAGATCACTGGTTGTGTATAGAGATATCTATACGCATATTCCTAATGCCTCTTATGCGGGTCTCATTGTGCAACGATCTCTTGTTGCCTGTCGTTACGAACAAAGATTCTCCAGAGGATATATCCTTATCCTTTTACTGTGCTGGATGGTATAATGATGGATGGGTAGATAATAAGAAAAACTCAGTACGCCACAAGAATGTTCTGGAAAGCGGTTGTAGGTTCTTCCAACGAAATTTAATAGAGCTATGATAATCAACCTGTGATTATACAAAATTATACATAATTATACAATATATTAAAATTAGATTGATTACAAATATAGATAAGAAATACTACCTTGTTGAATTACTGCGTGTCTCTTCTTTTTTTTTACCGTACGTATATTTTCAAAAAAATAAATAAAAGCCAAGGAATACAGTTTATGGTCCTTCAAGTTCTCCAATAGAAAATCATTGCGATCAAGATTCCTTTCCTTCCTTGAAATCAAATAGTTCTCAAATAAACAGATGAAAAGTTGACAACTCTCAATCTCTTTATGACCGTTCAATCTCTCACAGTTATAAAATCGTCGAGTCGTTTTTGGAACTTTCTTCTTCATAGGTAACCAGCAGCATGTGTCGTTCAATTCTGTGATCGTTCGATCTCTGCCGCTTCACCTAGTCAAAAATTTGTCAATCAACAGGCGAATGAACTTTGAAAACATGCAACAATGGCAACGGCGTAGCTAGGTCCTCGAGGATCGTCATGGACCGTCGAAAATTCGTTATCCACTCGAACAGCACTTCGAGCCTTGTGTGTGCACGTTCGTGTGTGTGTGTGTTTCATAGAGGCAATAAAAACTCAGTCATTTTTCGCGGGTCCGTTTCGGAAAAAGAACCGGGCGAAAATATGGGAAAGTTTCGCCGGTGGTGGATTGCCGTTCCGAAATGAACGGTACAAAATGATTCTGCGTTGCGCGCCGGTGCTCCACGAGTGGCTGCACGATCACGCGCTAGCCTGTTGTAATGGATGAGTCCCGATGCCGGGATGTATATTGCCAAAGTACTTATGGCAGCACGTTTATGGCATACAGGCTGTACAAGCCTGGCAGCGGCCGACATGAAATCCAGTCGAGCACCCTCCATCCACGTCACGTCAGCCACTGATTAACATTAACTTCATGGAAAAAATTGTACCAAATGCCGGGCAACGTCACAGTTTTCGATTTGGCCGCGATGCCTGATCTGACGCTTTTTCGCCGTTCCTCACCGTTCCTGTTCCCCTGTACGACATACTCGCAAACGTTGGGCTAGGTTTAGGTCAACTGCAGTCATCAATTGATCGATAGGAACAGCTTTCTTTCCGACATCTGTTTTGCTGCTCTTTCATCGTTTCTCACATTCCTACTTCCCTAGAAGACATTCGCAAAAGTCAAGTTTAGGGTAACGTATGTATAATATTTTGTACGTCTTTAAAAGGGTAATTCTTACAATTTTATAATTATTGTATAACACAATTTACGTAACGAGCATGTATCAACTCTCTCGTACTGTTGTATTTCTCTACGTCCCCTAGATCTATGTTGCTAACAAATTAAGAATTGACCGTGAGATCGCATCTCAATTTGGGCTTTAGAATTTCAAATATGTTTGGAGACACTGTTGCGTGTCAGGCGATGCGTTTGATTGTCAAATTAAAAGGAAACTGGGAGCGAATTCTGTTCACCGAGCCCTCGTCCCCGAGATATCGCAGGCCCCCACAAAAGCACGCAGGGGTGCAGTTAATTCTAAAGCGATTAGGCGCACGCGACGGGGCAAAGGTGTCGACCTGCAATTGACAACGGGCCGAAGGGTCACGAAGGAGCAGATCGCGAGAAGGGGAGACGAAAAATTAAATTAGTCGCACGTTCGATGGTAATCCCAGATTAATATACGTTGCCTGGATGTCAGGATGCGTTTCAGCGCCATACAAATGATCTCGAACATTTTCAAGGAGATTCCCAAGTGCTACTCGGCATTTGCATTTGCAATCAGAAAACAAAAAGGTTTCCTCAAAACTGCAATTACTCACGAGAACAACTGAAAAAGATAATTTAATTCGTGATTAGGAGACAATTTTTGTGAACTGGATTGTTGATGTTTTTTTAAGACTAAATACATATCTCTAACATCGTAATGTTTTTAACACGTAATATCTCTGAAATTTCTTTTCTGTTTAAGAATATTTTAGGAGTGAATAGTTGGAATTCTTTCGCGATAGAATATCTTAAATTGGGTAGTGGTATCCCTGAGGGTAATCGTTGACCTAACCTCAAAACTCAATGATATAGAGGTATCCATTATACTGTACCACTATATTGTAGCTACTATAATACATTCTCATACATTCATTATTTTAACTGTCTTTCACATTATATATGATTACATCTCTTATATACATTTACATTTTTATCGATAAAAATACGTACCTGCAAGATTACATTTATGAAATTCATATCAATATTTCTCCTTTCTTACCCATTTTGCTTATTCTAATCGCAAGGATTGTTATTGTCAAGCGATCATAACCAAACAACAGTGGCGCCTGCGGAACTGCAGCATTCCCAATTTTTCTCGACATGTGAATATATTTATTTACGTCTGCTTATAACATTTAATTTTGTACAAAATTTTTATATAAACAAGATAATATAAATCCAACGTACTTGCACGTATATTTTGAAAGTTGCAACAACTTCACGATTTTCAGTCACGAACTGCCATTGTTAATTGGATCGATATCGATACTGTTGATGATGTCAATCAATTCGATATCGATACGATTAACAATGGCGACTTGTGGCTTGGAAGTGTGGAGGTGCTGCAAATGTTGACGTATACAAAATTGATATCAATAGTATTGATATCAGCACGTACGTATTGAAATTTTAATCATCTCTTGCTCGATATATTGTAATGAAGTATTCATAATTGTAAAAGTATTTGAATATCAAAATATTTGTTTTGTGTATGTGTGTGTGTTTGTGTACATGGTGTGTGTATACATATATATGTATACATATATATATATTAAGCAAAGAGATGATATATATATTCAAATATATATTCATATGTTTATATATATTATTATTATTTCATATATATCAGAGATTATTATTATTTCATATATATCGGATTAATATCGATACTGTCAATGATGTCAATCAATTCGATATCGATACGATTAACAATGGCGACTTGTGGCTTGGAATTGTGGAGGTGCTGTAAATTTCGACGTATATAAAGGCAGTATTAAAGTATACAAAATTGATATCATAAATAGTATCGATATCAGTACTTACATATTGAAATTTTAATCATCTCTTGCTCAATATATTGTAATGAAGTATTTATAATTGTAAAAATATTTGAATATCAAAATACTTGTTGTGTGTGTGTGTGTGTAATATATGTATGCGCATACATTTATATATATTATTATTATTTCATAAATATCAGAAGTGTCAAACGAGTATCGACATTTTCATGACGTAGATATCAAATAAATGTCGATTCAGTGTAAGTAACTTTTCGATTTGATATCGATTCGATATATATATATTTCAACTTCAGTGTTTTGATATTCAAATACTTTTATAATTATAAATACTTCATATCAATATATGAAGGAAAAAGATAAATTATATTACATTATATTGTATTTAATATGGGTATCAAACAGGTATCGATATTTTTATCGAAGTATCAAACGGACATCGATACTATCGTGACATATCGAAACTTCCGTACAAGTGCCAAACGAGTATCCGGTTCATCATACCTACGTCTCGTGTCTACGATAATATTCATAATAATCATCATAATTTGCAGGTTTGGCATCAATAACATTGATTCAGTTCGATCATTAATCGCAACGAAACATTAAAATGAGAACCACAAAACCAACAAAAAATTAAAAAAAACAAGGACAAAGGGAAGAAGAATAGTCATCACACCGAGTATTCAACGTCATAATCCTTGCTGCATTAAAATATTAGGTCGAAGACACTCCAGTGCCTGGAAACGTTCTGTCCCGGAAATTATTCAAGCCGCAGCTCGATTATAGAAGACAATTTTAATATCGTCGAATAATGGAGGGTCTTCGATGAGAGAAGCCGAAGAAGGAGGAGAAGCCTAGGGTGGATGGGAGGCGTGAAGGGGATGGGAGGAGATCGGTGGCCTGAAAACTCGCGTTGCGTTAAGGTCACCGCGATAAGGGGACGATAGAATCGTGATCCTAGCGATCTGGCTACGTGGCGAGCATGTGGAAACGGTATTCAATATCGTTGCCCCTGGAAGGAAGCTGGATGGCAAAGTGGGGAAAGGATGGAAGGAGTAGGCATGCTCATTGTCACCGCGAAACTATTCCGGGCGGACCGGGGATCACGTGGCCTGTAAAAAGGACAATGGATCAGAAGTACGTGTCTCGGGATCGACACGATATTGGAACGAGGTTGCACCGCTATTATAATACAGAAAATTGTATAAAGGTATCTGCATTTCTTTTCTTTTTTCATCGGCATAGACAGCGTATCTACATTTCCTTCCCTTTCTCTTCGATCTGTAGAAGGTGTAACAGAGTGGATGTACAAATTTTGGGATGGTGCTCAATTTACGATAGAATTTAGACGATGAAGAGAGAGAATAATTAGGTTAGGTTTCTAAATTGGCTCTCAACTTTTTATATATTTTTCTTAATTACACTGAGTCAGGTTTCGTGTGTTTAAACGTTGAAATAGAAAGTAGACGTAGCAATGAATAATACTTTTTTAAAGAAAAAAAAAAAAAAAAAAAACGACTTCCAGAAAGATCTCCGTATTTACAGAGAACTAACAGAAGGTTCATCATTCAACAAACTGAACAAACGTTTACCATTACAACTAATAGCACACTCCAATGACACAAAGTCCTCAGTTTGAAGGAATGAAGGCAAAGAGAGAAGAAACAATCGTCGATTCCACGAAATTAAAGAGAGAAAAGCTACCACGTTCGAGACTTTCGATTTGACAAGTGGAATGAAAGATGAAGAAGAAAAAAAAAAGAAGGTAAAAGTAGACTAAAGGTAAACGTGAAAAAGAGAAATTAGTTATAAATTCGCAAAAGGGAAAGAAATGGAAGAAAACAATGTCTAGAGATCTCGGGATCTTCCAACTCTCCGCAAATCCCAACAAAAAGAAGATAATACGTATTCTTGACATACAGAAATTCAGGTGGAGATCCTGACGGCAGCTCTTTCGACAGAAAAGAATACGATCCCGTGTATCCAGCGATCTCAACATCACGCGATGTTGAAGTGTGCAACAATAAAGCGAAGAAGAACGTTACAGGTACTTCTTTCACGCAGTAGACGTTGCATTCGTCGGCCGTGTGTAAGTGTAAGTAAGTACTTACTTACTCGTCAGGATTCTCGTGGAACGAGGACGAGAGTCGTGGTTCGTCGAACGATGTTTGAAAGGAGAATAGGGTCAACACGATGTAGAACCGATCTGCCTGTTCGACTGTTGCCGAAGAAAAAAAAAGAAAAGAAGAAGAGAAAACGTGGACGATAGGTGGACGTGGACGAGGAAAAGAGACGTGGGAGGATGGAAGCGGAGCCGATGGAGCGGACGATCCTTGTTATTGTAGCCATAATGGATGGGCAAACAGAAGGACACGAGATCAAAACCGTGGCAGGTAAAACGTACCTCACGGTCTTGTTGTATCTGCGTAAAAAGCTGTATCACGAGTCAAACATTACATAAGAATCCGATTTAACACGTTGTACGAGACTATCAAGACCAGCTTAGGAAGATTTTCGTAAGTGTCTCTATTGTTCATCATTTCTAAATGAAATTTCTTAAATATTAACGTATAGAGTAGTCAACTGTCACAAAAGGAAATTCTTCAATATCGTTAAATACTTTCACCGAAACAAAAAAGAAAAAAAAAAGAAAGAAGAGGAAGAAGAGTTATAATTGGACAGACGAAGAGAGAAAGAGATAAAAATAATTGGAAAGAAATTAGTAAGTACATAATTAAGAAGTCTCTGACTTCTGATCGCCGATAGGCGGCCGTTGTATTTCACTTACAATGCGAAACGTAATTCAATGGTGAACAGAGAGCGGCGGATTCCATTGGAAGGGGATGCCGGCGCGGCGGTGGAAACGGCGTCGACGCGTGTAGGCGAGGGCGACGACGATCATTGAAATGGAAATGCCATTGACGCAAAGTGAAAGTAATTAATGGAATATGCCCGGGTGATAGAATGAATTTGATGGCGGCGCGGCCTTGTCGGGCCGAAACGCCGCGGTCCGGAACAGTGAAATACGGGCATATAACCGACGATGAAAGGGCGGCCTCGAGGGTGGAGGATGGAGGAAAAGTAATTTCCTTCCGGAGGGTGGAAGGTGAGTTTCCGCCGTTTCGATTCTCTATCTTCGAAACCTTTGAGTGCCTTGATGCAATTTATCTATATATTTAATCATATTAATTGAGTCTTAACTGTGATTACAACATTACAAGTTACACATCTACATATATCTATACAAATGTACGTGTATCAAAATCTATACGCATGTGCATATGTATTTTTTAAATCTTACTTTGTTAATTAATTATAGGTACTATAACTAGATTGCGGATTCTTTACATTTATGGGATATTTAGATTCAGAAGTGAAGAAATGCACATAATGTGCAAAAGTATGAAAGATATAGGCACAAAGTAAAGAGTTTGCCGTGGTATTTAATTGCGTCAGTAAAAATATGAGAATGCATAAAAATCCGCAGTTTAGTAACCTATTTATTACAATTCTTGATTTTTATTTTTCAAATTCGACTGAGAAATTGTAATCGGTTGTTATTTCTCTTTTTATAAAATAAATTGCGTTGAATTAATCGAATAGCAAATCTTTCGGTAAATAAAATTTCAGAACGCTAAAAAAATGAAGTACAAAGAATCAGGTTTTAGAAACTAGCGTGAAAGTGGTAAACTAAAAGAACAAGAACGGCCAAATTAAAAATATCGTTCTGCTTTTTGAATTTGACATTGGCAGATAAATTTTATAATTCGTACCTTTCTGTAAGTGACAGAGACTCGCGGGGGAAGCTTTGGACTTACTCCTTCCAGCGCGGCTTTCAGTTCTAGCGAAGTGGAGAAATTGCCGGGTGCGAAAGTGTTAATCAGAAACTGCTTTGGACACGGAGTTAAACACGCTACAAAAAAAGGAAAAAAAAAAAAAGGAAAGAAAGAATGAATAACCATGAGTTCGAGTAAAACATCAAAAGGAAAGTGATAGAAAATGAAAGAGGGTCTAGACGATAAAGAATCTGCCGAAAAAGCAAGAGAATCGGAAAATGGTGGAAACGTGGAACGGTAACAGACAAGAAAGCAGACAGTCGTGAACAGAGATAGAGAATTTTAATAGATTTAATTAATATTTCATTTGCATGCTATTCCTCACCCTACCGACGAGTTTCGTACCATTCTCTCTGCAACTGTGTGCGATGGTACTATGCGCGCTGTTCCGACCAACACGTAGACGAAAAAGGTACAGAGTGCAGAGCCATCCTGGACTCGGCAATGTAATCCGTGAGAGAATAGTAGAAATTTCGTTGCACACGCATTTTCAATGGGAGGTGCCACCTTCGTACGGAGAATAAAATAGAGATAGAAATATATAGGGTGTCGGCTAAGTGATGGTGATATACAGAGATAATTCTCTATCGGACGATGAGTCGAAAACTTGAAAGGAATTTATTTCTAAATTTCATTTTATTTTTCTAAATCCATGTTACGTGGTAATAAACGGAAACTTATAAATAACTGCCACTAAATACATAATATGCACAGTACTTTTTATCATATAAAACCTAATTCATGACTACGATTATCGAGCCAGTTCAGAAACATAGACATTATATGTATTTACGTGTCATGAATAAGTCAAATCTGTCACTAGCCACAGGAGTTAATAAATCAATTACGAATACTGTTTATCATCGTTCAACCTTCCAAACTGCTTCGAGCAATGCTTTCGTTTTGCTGAAATTAACTCTCAATTTTTCGTCTACGTAAAATTTTGTCATATACCGGATGTTTCGGTAACAATTTTCCGATTGCTTTGTGCAAGTACTATGCACACAGATGCAATTTAAATTGCCGTTATTAATTATTCTTCATTCGCTTCAGTTACGGGACACCCTGTATACGGAGAAGTCGGAGGGGGTGGCAGGGGTGACGACACGGTCCTTTCGCTGTATTTCAATTTAGCACGTCCATTGTTAGATACTAATATTATTCAGTTGGGAATTGTTTCGTGACACCCCTCAGGAGTACGATTTGCACGAACCGCTGGTGTCCGTGGCCTCCGATGTCTGTTCTATTACTCTGTTTCTATCCCTCTCTCTCTCTCTCCTTCCTCTTTCCATTGTTTCTCTCCTTCTTTCTCTTCCCATCATTCTCTTTCCTTCTCTCTTCCTCTCCTCTCTCTCTCTCTCTCTCTCTCTCTCTTTCGTCCCCCATCCTCTGTCCCGTTTCATCCCGAATTCTCATCGAGACCAACCACCCCCGCTTCATAACCCGTGGAAGATAATAAAGTATTGCCCAATGAAATACCTCGATATATACCTCGATAGAAATAGAGGTGAAGCGGTTCACAAAGAAGCGGCCACGTATCTCGGCGATATTCTCGCGCGAATTTCTAGAACGTGGTAATGTTAAAAATGGTAAAATTTGTTCTTGCTGCTAGGACGTTTCTTCGTTTTCTTTCTTTTTACTTTCGCTTTCCATTCCTCTAGTTGTAACGTTGCTTTAAAATTTTTTACTATCTAGTGCTGAGAGTCTATTCACGTAATATTAAGTTTGTAAATTTGTTAACAGCCAGTGTCTTGAATGCGACAATTTTATCATTATATACTCTTTCTCTCTGTTTTAGACGTCTAGAATGCAAGAGAAGAGGACCTGAAAGAGAAACAAAGTAGGAAAAAAGGAATCGAGAAGGAGGAAGAAGAAGAAGAAACAAACATAGCGTCTGTTTGCCAGAACGTTCGGCAACACTATACACTCTTCCCTGATCCGTGACGAGGATCCCGGAGGATCCAATTCAGGATTGGCTTCCAAAACGCGCACTTGAGCCAACCACGAGCAAATATACGTGGCTGCACACACCACACGTGTACACGGTCGATACAGGTAGAGGGTGAAGCTCGGTGATCCCGGAGAGGTGAACACAGGAGTGGGTGTAAGAGGAAGGGGGCAGCGGAGTCAGAGCAAATATTGATGGAAGTCGAAAAAATTTTAAAAGCCATACCAACCAGACCGTTCGCTTGTGTTTCGCCGCTTTTCCGCGGGATCCGTGCTTTTTAAGTATTCGACAAATATCGATGTTTCCATTGATTTTCGATTTCCAGCGCGATCCCGTTCTCTGCTCCCCCCCTCCCCCCTCACTTTTTTGTCTCTCCCTCCCTCTCTCTTTCTGCGTTTTGTATTGAAATTTTTTACCAGCGTCACCTTTCTTTCAGTTTAGAAAAATGCCGCGGGAAAACCGCTCTGTTTTTACTTTCTATTTCTTTTTTCCTTTCGTTTTCATATTTTTTTATTGTCAGGCTATGAAGTTCGATACCGATAGTTGGTATATCCTAGGTATGTGCGGAGAGCAGAAGTTTTTGTAGTTTATTGAAATCTGAAAACGAATCGTGAAGAATGCAGTGTGTTTGACTGATTGTTTAGAGAAAACTTGGTTCTGAAACAATAGTGTTTTTTTTAGATATATCCATATGTTGTGACTGTAGAGAATCCATTGATACACTTCTGTGTACATTCGTTCATGGAACTGAAAACCACCGACATCGAATCATCTTCTGTTCTCACTGTATCTTCCCTGTAATCTCGGTTTCCTAAAGATGCCTACTGTTGCCTTTTCAAAGAACAGTACCTGTTCCTAAGTATCTAAACTCTGCTTTCCTCCAAACCCTCTTCTCACAATTTAAAATTCCAAACTTTAGTGGAGTGTATGATAATTTCAGTATGTTGTTATAAAAGTATCCTACCTACTATTTAATAATTCTGACAAAAGAAGGTAGGAAGCTTACTAGCTACTATTTAATAATTCTAATAAAAATAAGCTTTCTTCTCGAAAGAGTTACAATGCTTGTGAAAACTCACGGTTAACGTGGATAAAATTTCATTTCAGTAGGTTACTTCAGAAATCAATAGTATTCTCTAAATCTTTTACCATCGTATTACTTCTAAATAGTTTATGATTGCTAAATATTAGACAAAAAAATATAAAAAGAAATTACCACTTACAATAGGTAGGTAAGTCTTCTGAATAGTTTATCATTGCTAAATATTAGACAAAAAATATAAAAACTACCATTTACAGTAAGCGCAGTAACACTAAAGCAGAAATGTTGAAATTTCAGCCGATGACAGGTTTTTAATTGGAATAAATAAAAGGCAAATAGGAATAGAGAGATAGACAGACAGAGAGAGAGAGAGAGAGAGAGAAAGGTATTGTATACAGAAGCTTGGTAGTACACGGCGATGGGGGGTTGTTGCACTCTGACTGCGGATTAAACCCCCGGGCCGGCTGCCCTGTGGCTTGGCTACGGAACGACGGAAGGGAGGGGGGGGCCATTATACTCCATTATGAATGGTAACCAGTAGCCAAAGGAGGAAACTCCGCGGGGTGTCGATATATTGCCACCCCTTGGAGCCAGCCAGCGATCGCTCGTAAATAATAAGCGGGCCGCGGCAGCATTATAATGCAACCGCGTGCACCGCCGCCAGCATCGGTACAAATTGCCGGGGTATAGAACGGGGTAGGCGCGTGTTCAGCCATCGACCTACCGGATATATGCCTTGTAGAGGGCAATCGATTATCGGTATTTCATCGATACCGTGTACTAGCAGGCAGCCAGAGGCTGGTGCACGCGCGTAACCCGCCACCACTCGTAATTATCCCCCGCGGTGGAGTATCGCCGGCCGCGAAAGTGATTTTATTTAGCAAAGTCGTGGGCTCGTTCGAAGCTGGCGCGGCGGCAGCGGCTTGGGAAAGGCCATTTTCAGTTCTGCTCGATTTCGTCGCATTCCTCGTCGAGTGTTCCCGCATTGTTCGTGCCTGGAGAACGCGTGCCAATTGCTGTTCTTCATGACGTGTATCACGACGAAGTTGGTGAAAATCAACTGCAATATTGTCGCGGCTTTACTTTGCAAACGTGTGACCATGTATGGGTACGCGTGTAACGATGCTATATCAATTTCGATTATACTTGACGTCTTTTGTTGACAAGAAACAATTGACGCATCAATTGCCAGGTATTAATTACCTTGAAAGGTTGATACAATCGACACCTTTAATTATATACTATGTTATTCAGGTTATTCTTGATGTAATAATGTTTTCCTTTTGTTAACAGAATCTGATATTATCGACAAAAAAGGAGATATTAAAAGGTTGCGCTGACTCGCGGACCATAACGAGTGACCGAACCGTATACAAGAATTCGTCGCTTTCTTCGATATCACTGGATAGAAATGATCAAGAAGTAATAAACTTATCATTTGTTTTGCCTTGGGTTACATTTAAATATACTTAAAACGGAGAAAATGTTGCAATTTGGGACAAAAAGTTTCTCGACGTACGTGGCACGTCATTCCAGCGCAAGAGGTGTTACTAGCCAACAATTATTGGAGATTTTGAGAAACTGAGTAACCTTTGAAGATAGTTTGAAGTAAGTTCTATACAGAAGAATATGTCTTACCTACTCTGCGTATTATCAAGAGCTTCAGTTAAAAATTGAAAGACACTCGCTGTTTTTTGTTACTTTCCAGCGGTGAACGATTGACACAGGGGCAGGATCGATCATTCACCGGGGGCCTGACGGCAAATCGAGTGGTAAAATCGATTAGCCGCGTCGACGGGAATCCATTCGCAGGAAATCGACTGCTCGGAAATCCAAATGGTGCATCGAGCATGAAACCGATCCAATTTCAAAGATTCCTTGGCCCATGTCGCCCTCTATATAGGGCTATCTTTCTGCACCTGCAAACTGTATCCGACATCCGATACCTTTTTCTCCTGGAGGTTCCCTTCGCTTGGGAATCTCAAGTCGAGTGGAAGATTGTCCCTTCGTTACGAGACGAACCTTGGTGGTTCTTTCAACCTTCGTTTCACCTGCGAGAACGAGAGTTTTCCGGACTCCGTCGGTCACACGAGAACGACGAGTCTCTCCCATTTTATATGGAAAATTCTCGATCAGGAATCGATCCTCTCGTTTCTTTCAAATGATGTTGAATTGAAGTTGACGTGCCGTGAGACATACAGAGATCATAAACGAAAGTAATAGATATTTTTTGCTTGGGAAAAAGAACGTCGACGTAAATGCTTTCTTAAGTAATTGCGTTATGACATTTGATTCGCTTCTGTATTGCGTCAAAAACTGTTGATTTAATAGCTGTTTCATGATATGTATTCAAGCTACCTACACACAGTGACGCTTCGCTAATTGGCTAGGTCGAGATTTTACTCGACTAATCATCAAGGGAAATATGTTTCTAGGTTTTCTTTCTCTCTTGTATTTGTATTTATGACGTGTGGACATCCGCCCCCACGTCATAAATACTTTTCAACAACTTGCGGAGACGAATAACAACTGTACTCTAAAGTTGCTTATTGTTAAATTCATAAAAGAAACACGAAGTAAGAAATGCGAATTTTGTTGAATTTTGTTCTTGCTGCCTGTAACAATTTTATGGAATAACAATAATTTACATGTACCTATTTCATTGCAGTTGCGGCGGTGCCTATGGTTCGAAGTCGTCCAAGTGCATTCTAAATTACTATACATAAATGTTTATGTGAACTTACCGTTTGTGTGAGTACATGGTCAAACGATGTCCATCGACGATGATATATTGACACACATTGACAATTGTGACCTACTCTTTCAATCATCTTTATAGCAATAACAGTAGAAATTCAATTAATCTGGAAAGAGTTCAAAGATAATTTCACTACAAAAAACTTAAATACACAGCGAGTGAAAAAAATTAATAATTTAAGCCTGTTTCTCTTCAGAACGAAACGAATTTTCAGACTTGATGCTTCCTCTTTTTCAATTATGTGTAATTTAATTCGATTTTTAATGAAAGAGAGGAATCGTCTATCATTAATTATTGGCATTATAATAATATTATTATAGTGACATAGTACAATAATGTTTGTTATAATAATATAATGTAATATCATTTTACATTATATTATTATATTTGTAATATATTTTAGTAAAATAATATAATGATATTATCATATAGCATTATCGTTATGTAGTAATAAACACACTAAGCATTCGATCGAATCATGATGCATGTTTCTAGACAGACTGGTTATAACTGTGATAAAAAAATGATGTTTAGCAGCACGGTGTATGTGTACATAGTGCCACGAACGATGAAGTTCCGCGCGAAGAGAGAAAATTAGAAAAACGAAATATCGGGGCCCTCGGGGGGGAAAAGCGAATTCCTCACGTTCCTCTATGCTCTCTTTCTGTTTTTTCGCTTCCGTATCGCCGGCCCGTAGCAATCACTTGTTCATTCGTTTCCTTTGCGAAATTCCGTGAAAACAATATTGGAAACCAGTCTTCACTATGACGCCACAAGTCTTTACCTCTTTCTAACTAAAGAATTTCTTTTTCATTCCTTTTTTTCTTTGCAGGATGAGTAATTTATGATTGGTCAGAATTTCACGCGTCAATCTGAAACACAAGAACCGAGTACAGAGGATACATCTCAGGATGGATATACGTGGCTCGCGGCGAGTGAACAATATCAGATTGACAGACGTTTGCAGAAGCACAGCGGTGCGGAATGAAAATCCTCCTCGAGATTCTCGAGATTCCTGAAGAGGGAAGAAAGGAAAGGAGAGAAGAGTTTAATGCGGACGAGTTATCGATTGTTACGTATGGAGTATCAATATCTTATTTATTATTCTCATAAACCGTCTATACATTTTCTCGGATAACATATGGTAACTACAAAGAGCGACGCTTCCGGTCGCCGGCAAATCTAAACATCTTAGAGCCGTGATACTTACAGGCAAACACTTATGCATAATCGGTCAGTGTTATACGCACACGTTCCTGCATCCAGAAACACGTAGTTTATTCTCCGGTTTTACGTTTCATTTTTTGCTTCACAACGTCATTTTTTTTTTTTCTCTTTTTTGGGAGTTTTTCTTTATTTTCTTTATTTTCGTTTTCTGCTCTTTATTTTCGTTTATTTATTACGAGCTAAACATACTCCGTGAGACAGCATTTTCCGGTTAACTGCTTAATGGATGATCAGGCTAAAGCGATTCACGCGTATTTACAAATTCATCGTTCCTTCTTCTTCTTCTTCTTCTTCTTCTTTTTTTTTCTCGTGTCGTATATACTCTTTCGTCCGTTTTCCTTTTTATTTATTCTTATCTTATCGCGACGATGTAATTTTCTCCTTTCATTCTTTCTCGCAAACATGATCTGCACACATACACGCGCGTGCACACACACACACACACACGCACACATACATACAGACGTGCTTCGTTAAATCGTTTTATCTACACATGTATAAAGATATATCATTGGAACGAGGCAATCGTTCGCCAAGAACTATGCGGCTCGCTTTTCATTCCTTTTATGTTTTACAGTGATCCGTTCCCTTTTTTTGATACGTTCACGATACACTATACAAAAACGGATCAACGGAAGTCGTATACTCGGTGGATTACTGGCCACGCTGTTTCGCAAATTTCTCAGGGACATTCGACGAAGAATCTCCAAGTTGACAGAGGATTGAAAATTCTCTAACGGTATTACGCGGCACGCGGTGGAAAGGGTCTAAGGGGGATTCTTCATTTTGTTTCACGCGCTATGGGAATTGTGGGACGTCTTCTTCCGCCATACGTGATCTTCGAAGAACTACGTGATTCATCGAAGAACTTCTTTCCGTAAGTGATTACGTATTACGTATCTGTACGTCGCGCCTACATTTTTAAAGAAGTAGCGTGTGACTATTAGTGAGGCTATTAGTGACAAGTTTCTTCTTTGGATTAGGCTACATATATATATATATATATGTATGTATATATATAGTAGTCATTGATTCTTCTTCCATATCGAGGTTCCACGATTCGTTTTGTGTTGTTCTTAAATTATTCTCACGATCAATTCTTCTCGACAATTCCTGGACAGTCCATCACCTATTTGCTCGTTGAATTTTCGTTCACCTGTGGCAACTCGTTTCGTTTGTAAAATGAGGGCAGAGTCTCCTTGCAGCAACCAACTCGTAACTCCAACTTTTTAACAGTTTTTGTCTGTTTTGCAGATTTCCATCATCCGCACTTCCTCCGTACTTCCATCGTGTCGTCAGGCTCTTCAGATTCATCTTATTTGCAAGATGACATAGAATTCTCTTCAAGAAATCGTCTCGTACCACCTGCGCCCAAATTACTCTAATTACTCCAAATCGTAAGTCGACACTGAGTCAAGTTCACCTTGAATTCCTTGAAATTGAATTTCAAGATCTCCTCTGATCTGCTTGAAATGTTCTTTCTCAGAATCCGCATTCCTCATCCATCCGGGGTCATCGTACAATAGAAAATTACCAAGTGTTTCTTATCACAATGAGCTCGAACCATCCTTCACGGTCGCTGATATGACTTTCGATCCTCTTGAAGAGACGCGCCACCATTTCCACGGCCGAAATCCCTCCCCAGCGTCGAGACCTAAGCTTTATTGCAGGTAAGACCAGGTGGCGGCCTGCGCGTCGTCCGGTCACTCGGAATAGCTTGTCTTGTCGCTCGCGTCGTCGGGACTGGTCTCCCGATAGGCGTCGCCTGTACCATTCGCGTGCAGACTCTGATTGGGCGGCTTGATCACCGTGGGCAGGTAACCGGTACCGGCGTACGGCGCTGCCAGGAACCTGTGCCTGGTCGATGGTATGGGAGTGGTGCAGTAAGCGGCTCGGCTCGCGTACGCGGCCGAGACCGAGGCAGACGCGGCTGCAGCTGACGCTAACGCGCCCGCCAGCGGCGAGAACGCAGACTTCGGCTGGAGATTGTCCTCGCATACCAACACCTCCATCGCCGACACCACGTCGCCTGTGACACACAGACAGCCCCTGCCAGTTTCTGTTCCCCAGTCTTTTCTCCTTCTTGGTTTTCTTTCTCTTTCCCGCTTGTTTATTTAGAATAGGTTTGGGTGGAAGTTTGACACAGGTTCTGACAGGTACATAGGTGAGACAATGGAAGAGAAGGCGAGACCACAAGGATCATTAAGGAGGGTTGAAAGACCAATTAGTCGAGTCATTTTTCACTACAAAACAACTTGTTCCGTGCGAATATCGTTTTGTTGTTGAAATCTGAAGAGATTGGTTTGTGTTGACATGGTAACTAAAACTAAACTGTTTCATCGGGGGCTAGAGAAGTCTCGATGACGAAAGTAGAGATATTTGTCATTTTTAATGGAAAATGACTTACACCGATTGGCTTTTATAATGTATAGGTAACTGACAGGGCATTTGAGAGTGTAGGATTTGTATATCTACTATTATTTTGTTTGCTTTGTGAGAGATTTAAAAGTACAACCCCTTCGGTGACAAGTGGTTTGACAATTTAAAGAAAACACCTACTATTTGCATTTAAGACTCCTTTGGAATAATTTACAGCCTAATAGTATCTTGTTCCAAATTTGCTTCAAAATTAGAATTGGTCTTTACATGTTGTGCTTGTTTCAATAGTTATATAATGTTGTATAACTAATTTACTATTAACTATTAATTAACTATTAAATCCTCTTTCAAATTAACATTAAAATTAATTATCTAAAAATTAAATTTTTCATAATTCATTTATTTTTAAATACAAAATGAACACAATAAAATGAACATTATCGTTATAGTTATATACACTACATGATCTGATTTGTAAATATGATTCTTTTGAAGAAAATTTGCGCGTTCTATTTTGCAAGAAAAAGTGAACTTATTGACATGTTTCTGCTCGAAAAAAAAAAAAGAAACTTCCATTAGCGCTAAACACAAGTCACTCCAAGTTACTTCTAAAATTTATTCCCTTAGAAAATTTCAAAACCACCCAAGTTTGAGTATCTCCAAAACTTAGTTTAATCCTGGAACTTCATTCTATAGTTAACTCAATTTTTGAACTTTATTTTAAACTCAACCCACCTAAAATTTCATCATTTCCAAGGCCAATGTCCAAATTACGCGCCACCGTTCCTCTTAAAAACTCCCCTCCAATAAATTCCAATAAAACATGTCCCTAATGTGGAAGGTACCACGAGTCTCGCGACCGAAGGGGTTGAAACTCGGCCGTCGGTTGTAATGGAAATTCGAGAACACTATGGACGAATCGTTCTCGAATCGTTCCTCGACCACGTGTCGGCCTGACAATCTTTCCTCTCGACAGAGGATCGTGTTCTGTCCACGAATAATGGTCGCGGATATCGGATTGCAGGGCCTACCTTTGCACCGGTGCAACAGAGCCTCGACGTCCGCGCGACGCCTTCCGGGAAACACTCGTAGCAGAACGTCGACGGGCGATCGCTGTTGCTGCTGCTGTTGTTGCTGTTGCTGTTGCTGCTGCAACTGGAGGCCGCAGCTCTGTTGGATACTTTGCATCTGCATCTGCATTTGAATCTCGCGTGGCTCTGGCATGTGATGGTGGTGCTGGTGCTGATATAACGCTGGTGAACAGTAAAGGGAACTCGCTGCTGGACCATAAAGGGGAGCGTAAGGTGGAAAGTGTACTGCCGTCGCTGCAGCCTGGAAAACAGATTGCAGTCGCTGTTGATTTTGTTAGAAATAACGCGTTAACGGCGAGCTGATCTCAGACTTCATATCTTTCTTTTCTTCTTTGTAGAATTACAAAAATAAGTTCAAAGGAAGTTACATTTTTCCCTCGCCAACAGTGTTTGTCTATTATACGATAAATTCTACAAATTAAACAACAATCTTAACTTTGATTGAATATCCATTTATGACATCTCATATGTATCATCCATTATGAGATTAAGGGATATTTAAATTAAGTTGAACTTGTTTATGTGTATTCTCTACATCTAGGCATACTTTTGTACATATGGATGGATATTTCTTCTCTTTATATATGTTATATATAATTAATTTAGTCACAAATGTGTGAATTTTTACAACTATTTATACTACTATTATTATTATATTATTATATTTATACTACTATTTATTAAAATATTATTATTTATATTATTATTATATTACATTTAAAATACTATTATTATACTATTATTTATTAAAATATTATTATTATTTATATTATTATTATATTGTTATATTTATACTGCTATTATTCTACTACTATTTATATAAAATCACCGTGCATTATCTATAGAACAGAATCACAGAACTTTTGTTTCAGGTGTGTACATGTGTAATCTGTCTAAAAAATTGCAAACGAAGTCGGCGAAGAAAATAATTGCAAGAGGCGAAGCCAGTCGTACATTGGGAAATTTGCGAAAGGTGAGGCTGATTGATTTCATCGCGTTTTTAAGCTGATAGATCAGGTCTCTCTGCAATCTGTGCCAAAGGGCTTCCGGCCGTTTGAAAACGCCGTGTGCGCGAGCTGGTAATCGCAAAAGGATCCAAGTAGAAAGCTTACAGCCAACGAAGGTAACGGTGGGCTAGGTCTAGGCTGTACCAGGTCCACTGGTTGAAGGGTCTGCTGCGTTTGCAGAGGGCTTCCGCTTTTGCGGAGGCTGAGATTCTCCGGCGCCGGCGTGTCCTCCCTCTGCGGTGTCAGTGCTGGTGTCAGTGGAGGTGTATGCGTCGGACTTTGGGAACCCGGTTCCGGACTTCCATCCTCGGAGTCATTCAGGCTGTTGGACCGTTTCCGCGCTGTATCGTTCTCCGTCATTCCAACCGACGTCGGGACTGCTGTTACAAAGGGAACATTCTTTTTAAAGTTAACTTCTCGACTGTATCCTGTAAATATAAAAATATGATCTTTTGACGAAGATGCGAGATTCTGAGAAATACTGGATACATTTCATACTTTATTGACTCACTGGTTGTAGCCGGACGAAAGGAAGTTTGCAACAGCGACATCGTAGGTATGTTTAATAATCTACTAAATATTGGTAACGGTATACATTTTACATCCTAAACTTTCTTTCGCCCGTTACTGTACATACCTGCATACACTGTCTACTCAATTAAAGATGAAATATCTGCTAGACAAACAAGGATGCTCTCTCTGTGAAACGAAATCGTTCCACAATTTCCATTGCGATTCGCTTCGCGCAACAACCGAAATTCACAACTCTCTAATGTCGATCGTTTAATCCACAGATTAAATCGAAATCCGAGGGTGCACGGAGCCTTACCCAATGAACGGTCAGCAAGAAGTTCTCCACCGGAGTCGGAGTCACGGTCGTCTTCGTTACCGGTGTCGCTCGTGGAAAGCATTGTTCCCGTAGTGCTCTCAGAGATTCTCGACCTCTTTGTGCCTGGAACAAAACAGGGCGTATCGTTCGCTTGCGAAACAAAAAGAAAAAAGAAAAAAGACAAAAAGGGAGGAAAAAAGAGGAAAGAAAGAAAGAAAAGAAACGAAAAGAAAAAGCGCGCATTAATACGCACAATACCTATGAAATTCTCCAGCGAGCAAACACTTTACATTGTTCTACGACGCACGCCGAATTGACTCTTACGGATCCTTGACACCCTTGAAAAAACGTTGTGCATCTTTTATTGTGAACCCCGCGCGTATTTACCACCCGCTGATATTCACGTCGGGCCGTTCCGGCCAATCGCGTAACGGCGAACGTGTAACGATTTATCGTCATGTTGATAGAAAGAGACGTGCAGACCTCCATAAAAATGTCCGAACGATCGTTATGTTATAAAATTCGATATTACGTCCATGTCTACTAATTACATACAATTAGTATGTACCTACTCTGATTAGACAAGAGAGTCATCATTAGGTAAGAAGATAAAGTTCGAAACGAATCTGACTATGTACACAAGTATGTAATCAATGAATTATATTTAATTGTCAATTAGTGTATCATATTATTTATATTTGATATAACAAAGTTTATTATTATATTATTGTGCTTATTATGCTTGCATGTTGAACTGATTCTTGTTGAAGTCTGACCCATTTCAAGGCTACTCAAACTTATCTCAATGTTGGAAATATGTTCGTCTATATAGAAGAGAAACCATCTTGGAAATAATCGTAAACTGTATTATAACATTTTAATTTGTTTTAGATGTTAAAACGGTGGCACAGCATCTCGAACACGATCCCAGCCGCAATCTCGGAACACTCGAGGATATCAAGGAAAAAAAATACACCAACTAAATGACGGGCAAGGCCTTCGCATGAAAAGAGCAACTGCGAAGTAGCAGCTAGCGGCAATTAAGTTAAACAGCGGAACACTCGATATATAGTTGCTTCGGGGGGGCAGGCAGACCCCCAAGAGCAAGCTTGGAGGAGCCACTCGAAGCAACCTTGTTATCGAAAGCGTGCGCGTCAAGAATTAACCCGTGGAACAGCAACCACGGGGGTGGAAGTAAAAGAGAAAGGGGGAGTTGATCGTCAGGAACGAGAACGTCAGGGCTTGGGAAGGCTACATTTCCTTCGCCCTATATATACGCGCGTTACTCTTTTTCAACTCCCCTCCCTCCTCCTCTGCGCCTCCACCCCCCGAGTTCTTACACTCGTACCCTCTCTGTTCTGCTAATAAACGGCCGGTTAAACTTTTTAACGAGCGGTCAGCCGCAGCGGACTTTCTTCAACGGGCAACGCACCCCCTGCAGGATTCTTTCACGCACCGACGACGACTCAATGGCCGTGCACGTGCATACGCCCCCGCATGTTATAACGGCACTCACTCCGGTCTGTATTATATACTTTGGAAGAAGCAGAATGCCATAGGTTTTCGTAATTAAGATGTTATGTCTTCTAAATGTTATACATGCTATATCTAATAATTTAATAAATATAAATTTATATCTTCTAAATGTTATTTAGATATAAATCTTAATATAAATTTATATCTTCTAAATATTATATGTACTATATCTAACAAATAATTATAAATATAAATTTGTATCTTCTAAATGTTATTTAGATATGAATCTTCTTAATATTATTTAGAATATATAAATTTATATCTTCTAAATATTATATGTACTATATCTAACAAATAATTTAATAAATATAAATTTGTATCGTCTAAATGTTATTTAGATATAAATCTTCTTAATATTATTTAGAATGTATAAATTTATATCTTCTAAATGTTATTTAGATATAAATCTTCTTAATATTATTTAGAATATATAAATTTATATCTTTTAAATATTATTTAGATATAAATCTTTTTAATATTACTTAGAAGATATAAATATAAATTAATAAATATAAATTTATATATTCTAAATATCTTCTAAATGTTATACATACTATAACTAATAAATAATTTAATAAATAATATATAATATATACTAATAAATCTAGTAAATAATATATAGTAAATTAGCATTATATAGCAAATACTTAAGCAAGTTTATATTTTAATGGTAATAATTTAAAAACTTGGGACAAAGGCAGAGACCTGTTTCACCTATTAATTGTGAATTTTTATGTCACGTTACTTCCTCTCTCATATCATGTAATTTTCCTCCTATCTTTTATTCTAATTATATTTTAGTACATTCATATTAATATCTATTAACATTCTGTTCAATTCAGTTATACAATAATTGTGTTAAATTACATTTCAACTTAATATTTTCAGATCGTATGAATTGGCCAAGCCTCCAAAGCGAAGAGAGAAAGAGGAAAGAGCGTTCTGCGTTCGATAATCCTGGGAAATTACATCGGCTTTAACCGTGAAAACCAATCGTAGGAAATTCCAACTCGATCTTTCCAGACTATGTCGGGGAACTGAGTAACAGATTGCAGCAACTGCACTTCCCTCCAACGGGAAGAGAGAAGAGAAAGTGAGATCAGACGGGGGCGTCTATTTCGGGAGTCTCTCTCGACGGAAGTTACTGTGGAATCCCGTCGGTAATTCGAGGTGAACGGGACTGAAGTGGGCTCGAATTACCGGAGAACTATTAATGAAACAGGGATTAAAAGAAAGGAGCTAGCCGACGAGGGGGGAGGGAGAACAGATGGGTTCGCCGAGGCGAAGGTTCGTGAATGAAAAGCATCGCGGCTTTTTCGCTATTCACGCGATGCAGTTGTCTGCGATGTGATGGTTTTAAAGGTTTCCTGATCGCGGTACGACGTTCCTAAAGGTAAAGGTACACTTCTTTTTTCTTTTTTTTTTTTTTTTTTTTTTTTTTTTCAAGATGAGCGCCTTTGATTCGGTCATTTGAGATGATACTCGTTTGAAATGTAGGCGCGTAATACTAACGTTGATGGAAGGATGTTAACGGAACGTTTAATAAATTCTTCTTTCTTGCAGATGTTTAATAAATTGCCTAACAGAAGAGAAATGTTAAAGAAGAATTTGTGAAATATCTTATGGGATTCCCATTGATGGACTGAATGCCCTCGATACGTGACGTTAAATTGCAGAGATAGAATTCCATTGATAAAATTAATTGAAATGAAATTTTAAATCTTCCATAAGTTGAATTTTCTACAAAGTTATGACAAAAAAGAGTCTTGGCGTTAGACAATTATTCAAATTTCTTCTACAGCTATTTACCTATCCCAGAGAAATGTCATAAACGTTGTAATAATTATTTCACTGTCAAAAGAGTTGAGACTTGTCTCTTTTTTTTATCGTTTACGGTTCGTACCTTGATCACTTTCTTAAATTATTATTCAAAATACTTTGTAGAAATAATAATAATTACATTTCGTACAATTCTATTCTCGGTTTCTAATCTTCTTTCGAGGCATATCAAGTTCGTTAAAAATTTTCACGGTATCTTTGAAATAATTTCCTCGTGTTCTTTTTTCCAGAGCTTTCAAGCAGAAACTCAAGGGAAAGGGAAAGAAAAGAAGAGAAAAAAAGAACGACTGGAAAAGCCTGTCGAAGGTCGTCAATAATAGTTTCCAATACTTTCATGGAGATTTCGTGGTAACGAGGTCCATAACGACCGTCGCGCAAGAAATAAACGAGTCGCGTCATAGTTTTCCATTTCGCTTGAACTCGATCGTCCCTGCTGAAATACAAGTTTCGAGCGGTTCGGTAACGACGAATCGAAGAAATTTTTAAAGAGCCCAAGACTGACCGCGTTGAAGTCTCTCCCGGCGGGGCTCTCCAGGCTCTCCTCTTCAAAACTGTGTACGCCTGTGCACGTGTACAAGCAAATTGAAGTACGGCGGAACGTTCGAGGATAATTTGCTCCAATAAGACTGAAATAACGCGTCCGATATATTGAAGGATATATTTCGAACGAGTACTGTTCGAGATTAGTAGTGCTGAGAATACTACCAATTTGAACAATGAGAATCAAACGAACGGTTAACAGTGGCAAGTAGAAATTGTTGAGCTTATGATACAGAGTAAGCTTTGTAACAATAGGATACCATAATTGATTTTCGTTTGATAGATTATGCGATCAATCGCCACACAGCATTTAGACAAGAAGTTGGACGAAAGTTAGGCAGAAACCTGCCAATTTTCAAAATGACAACAAATACACTGCAATATTTTGCAAAAATTTACAAACTCGTAGAACAATTCTAACATTACAGTCAATAATATAATTCCATTCTACATGTATATTCATTACCATAATCTGTAGGTATTCTACTGGTCATACTAGTCACTATTGAATGAACTATTAAAAAAAACGTTGCGAAACAAGTAGAATATATCCAATAGAAGTAGTGACTCCTTCCTTTTTTTTCAAATTAAAGCCAGATTTACTTAATTCCAGATCCATTGAGATTTGGTGTATTTCTGCATAAGTTGACACTATCAAATTCATCAGAATAGAACGACGTTTCCCGTTTCTGCTTTTCTTCCAACTTCTAATCACATTCTGATAAAACGATTAACGACAGATCATTTTTTATTGAGATCAAACTAAATACTAAATACATTTCTATCTCTTTCAGTGTACGATTCGAGTAAAACGTCAGATGTACTGGCGACTCTGTGCCATACTTTGCTCCCACTCTTTTGTGAAACACGACTTCGAAACACATCCACGCGACCGTCGAAGGTCTCTCCTCGTCTCTCCCCTCCCCCTCCGGGTTTCAAGGACGCGGCAAACACGCACTTCATTACGCCAGCTACGTCGCAAAGGATACAGAAAGACAGGCCAGCGTGAAGTCACCCCTGCGGCGTCAAGCGTCGAGGGTGGGTCCCTCTGCCTGGGGGGCGGTAGGCTCGCCCGTGGAAGAATGATATTTTAATAACTGTCTCGTAATCCAACGACTATGGCGCGTTCATGACACCACGTAGGTAAAGGCTTCCTCACCGTGGAATTTTCTATTGGTCGCAGACCACCGGCTACATTAACACCAGCC